TATTGCCTTTTAAAATAAGTACAAAATGATATTAATATTTTTAATAATAATCGCAAAACTAAAAAGTAAGTAAAAGATTTAAATTTAAAGACATTAATTACAAATGTTAGCAAAACACCGCGCTTTAAATATTCAAACTTTCGAGTTATTAATAGAATCGACTTCAAAAGCTAAAATAGATATTATGTTCCGACTTAGTACGAACAGGAACAAGGGAAATCCTTTTAATCGTGCTATTATATTATATAATCCTCTTTCCCTAACTATTATAAGTAGTTAGTACCAGTTTTGGCTCACGGCTCCCAGGCCTTCAACGGCCGATTCTCGGGTCGGCAATGCGGAGATTACCTTAGTTTCGCTCTACTTCGAGCCCGACCAGCCTATAGACCTTTATCTGGCACACCTGCGCAAGATCCGATTAGAATTGGGGGCCACAAAATGGTTAGTAGCAGGAAACTGTAACGCCAAAAACATGTGGTGGGGTAGCCCCGTCACGGATAGTCGCGGCGAGGAACTGCGTGGTACCCTAGAAGACCTTGGCTTAGATATACTAAACAGGGGGGATTTTCCCACCTTTGACGTAGTAAGGGGCGTACAGAGGTACACCAGCTATGTGGACATTACGACTGCATCGCCTGAGCTTCTCGATCTGGTGGACGACTGGCGAGTGCGTGAGGGGCTAACTTCCTCGGACCATAACGGCATCTCCTTCGCAATACAGCTTACAAAGATCAAACACAATCACATCGAACACACCACACGTACAAACAATACAAGGAAGGCAAACTGGATCCAGTTTCACGAGAAATTGGGTCAAGCATTGCAATCCAAACACATTACAGTTACCGACATAGAACGCATTCACACGATTTTGTACGCCGCCAGAGTTCGTGAGGCAGCAGCATTGTACGAGGCCAGAAGGGGGGTGCCCTGGGAAGAGATAGGAGATCGCGAGGTAGAACGGATGTCCTCGGCTTTGCAGTCTCCGCACCCAGCCTGTCATATCGACCTTGAATACAAGTGTCTGGAGGACCAGGAGCAACTTATGGCCAATAACAGCCATGATTTTAACATTTTTACAGATGGCAGCAAAATTGAGGTCAAGGTGGGAGCAGCGTTATCCGTATGGAGAGGCGCCGCCAAAACCAAAACCCTCAAGCTTTCTTTGCCGTGTTACTGCACCGTATACCAGGCGGAACTATTAGCGATAAGCCGAGCGGCGAGGATGGCGGCTGAACATTTAACGGGTACAATTGGGATCTATTCCGACTCTATCGGCATTGCAGACACTACAGAGTCCCAAAGCCCTTCATCCCCTGGCCGTAGAGACGCGTGGTTTCCTGCGCGACGCTTTGCTCCAGGGCAAGCAAATAAGCCTGTTCTGGATCAAAGCGCACGTAGGATCAAGGCGAAGATTTGAATACTATAGTTGTCCCGGCTCATTCGTCAAGCGAAGCATTCGCATTCGCTCGCTTGACGAATGGAACGAACGGTATCGCAATGGTGAAACGGCTGCCATTACCAAGGCATTTTTCCCTCATGCGGTGGCGGCTTACCAAGTGACCGGTAAAATAAAGGCAGACAAATTCGTCACCCAAGTCCTGACGGGGTACGGTGGCTTCTCTGAGTACTTGCACCGATTCAAGTGCAAGGAGAGTCCGTCGTGCATCTATGACCCTGAACAGTCCGAGTCTGTCCTACATGTCCTCCTTGATTGTCCGGTCCATTTGCGAGACAGACATAGCGTGAAGCAGCAATTAGGCCAAAAACTAACATTGGAAAGTATAAGCCAAATCATGGGTGATCGTGACAATGAAAGTAGAGTCGTATTCCTAGATTATTGTAAGCGAATATGCAAAATTGTAAATAAAAGAAATAGCACCCAGCCAGAGTTGGATTAGTATTATTAGTGTATTTTTAGTTTTAAGTTTATATAATTTTATTACATTGTTAATTGTAACTAAGAAAAATTCAGAAGATAGGTAAACAGATATATATATATATATAATTCGTAAGTAAGTAAAGTATTATGTCAAAATAGTTATAAGAAATAGTTTATAAGAATTATTAGTTTTTTTTTTTTTTTTTTAATCTCCATTTAAAGAGCTTTGTCGCTTAATATGCGACTATGACGCTCTGTTACGTTTACAATGGTATCTTAATTACATTTTATAAATATTTAACAACAAATTGTATTGAGGTACACCCGTACAATTATTATGTATTACTTGCATTTGTTACAATTTTTGCTAACTTATAAATTAATCTTGCTACATTAGAAGAAGGATTTGATAATACAATATTTATACCTCCAGTCGTTAAAAAATTGAATTATTTGTAAAATAATTTTGACGTTGCGCCTCATTCCGCACACATTCCATTAATATATGGAAAACATCTTCTACAATTCCACATTGCAAGCAATTTGGTGTAGCAATTTTACCCATTAAAAATGCAAATTTATTTAATGGAATGTGTCCAGAGCGGAGGCGCATAGCAAGGACAGTATCATGTCTACTCAAACAGGTCATGTCAATCCAAGGACGAATTATTGGTTCAGCCTGAATAGTCCTATACCAGATGCCTTTTTCTTTTGACCTTTTATCAAAAAACTCTTTCCAGATATTAAAAACCTTTTTTTTAACCAAATAAAGACATTCTGTATAATACGGCGCAACTACCAATAAGTTTCCTTCATATGTCGCTTCTTTAGCCAATCTATCTACCATCTCATTTCCCAATATATGTACATGAGACGGAACCCATTGTAAAATTATTTTTTTACCCTCTTTACTAAAGTTATGTATCAATTTCAAAATCTCGTAAGCTACTGGTGTGCTTCTAATATTAGATGTACATCGAGCTATATGTTGAAGTGAACTCCTAGAATCAGAGAAAATTACAATTTTATCGGTATTTATTGTCTGAACGTAGCATAATGCTTCCAAAATAGCCAATAGTTCAACATGCATAATTGAGATATAATTATTAGTTTATAAGAGTTAATAGTTGTTAAGCTAAAGTAAGAATAAAAATAGCAATTAGGAAATATCTGATTGATATCCGGTGGCTTCGCACCCTCATTAGCGCTCCATTGTTCTCCTTATCTATTGTTCCTCGAACACCCCCATTATGACTGCATTGCCGTTCTTATCTATTACTCACTGTGCACATCCATTATGATGCTATTGTATACTTCTATTGGTCATGAACTACCATGCTACTCTAAATCATAAGTAAAACACACTCATTCATTTCTAACAATTTTTATTTATTAATTTCAAAATTTTATTACATATCTATACACATACATAACATTGAAGTGTCTGTTTTTAATTTCAAATTCTCAGTTTTTAACTAAACACATATTGAAGTATATAACGTACTAACATCAAAAAATCAATTTTTACAATTTTTGTCTGTGTGTCTTTCACTGACAGATACCTAAAGTACTAAGGAGTAACTTTTTAACATAAAATTATAAAACCCGTTTAATTTCTTTTAACTTACGCCCAGCGAAGTGGGCCTGGTTTGCTAGTTCTCTTTAAAATATGAGCGGAACATCTCATCCACTAAAATATCGTTGTACAATGTGTTCCCTGTAAATATGTTCGTAAAACTATACATTGAATATCCCTGAAACTTATATTGCAAAAACATTTAGCAATATTCACCACAAACTGAAGTCCAATCATTTTGAATCCTATTAATATTCCAGATCCATCTTTTACAATTCCTTTTTAAAAACTCTAGATGATATCATGTAGGTGTTCGTCCATATGAATCAAAATATTCACCTATGCTATTCGTATCGATATGTAAAGCTACCCAGTGTGAGCCTGGTTTATTATCCGTATCCAAATTGCATATTATATACGTTGGTACATGAGTATACATAGGTAGTCTATTAGCAGCATAAACATTATTTTCTAGACCAGGATGAATCTTTTTCATATGTCGCTAAACATCTAGAGTATCCATGATATTACTGCTATTGGTACATTTATACAGTACCAATCTATTCAATGGTTAACATAGGAATGTTCAATTATAGTGATTTTTTATTATTAAATCGCATTTGCGATGAGTCATGGAACTGTGCAGCGCATCACGAAGGAATGTGAGATAACGCGCCACGAAGGGATGTGAGATAACGCGCCACGAAGGGATGTGAGATAAATTAGTTGAGTCATAAATTTTCGTTGTGCTTAGGAATCTGCTTTAGATAAGAAATAACTATATAAGGTCGAGCAGCTGCCGGCATGCAATCAGTCTATGGTCGCTTGACCGCAGTAAATTGTACTCGAGTCAAGCCACCCAGAATATAGAACTTGATAAAAATATAAACTTTAAGTATATTAAAGACAATAGGCAATTAGATCGCATTCCAGTAACCACACCATGGACTTACAAGAATCCGATAGTGCTGAAAGACAATGAATAATCAGGAAACATTATTTTTATGGACATTCAGCACATTCCAAAACATCGACGTGTGGAGCATCCCGTCGCGACCCCCCGCAGGAGCAGTATATAAACCGCGAGTTGGCGAGCAACAGTGTTCACAACACCCCAGTTTTTAGTAATAGATAGACTTAAGATATAAATTGTAAAAAGTGTTTAATTAATATTTTTTTAACAAAGTCTATCTTTCAAATATTTTGACTCTCGTATATAGTCTATCAATACTACACGTGTGTTACTTCAACCCATCAATACCCATGGAGGTAAGTGTTTATATTCTATTGACAAACTTACTTTTTTTCTGTTTCCTAACGTGTGTGTAGCGTTTCATAAGCGTAAATAAATTGATATTAACATGATAACTGTGTTGTTGCGGAAATCATTCAGCAGCGCATCACGAAGGAATGTGAGATAACGCGCACGAAGGGATGTGAGATAAATTTGTTGAGTCATAAATTTTCGTTGTGCTTAGGAATTTGCTTTAGATAAGAAATAACTATATAAGGTCGAGCAGCTGCCGGCATGCAATCATTCTAGTTCTGGCTCGTGAGCCAGAACCGGTACAAACTAACTACTACTATTTTACTTTTATTTGTTCCCACTAAGTTTAATAATAACTGACCTTTTTTATTATAAGTTTTTGGTATTGAACTAAGTATTTGAGTTGGTGTGTAAAGTGGATTTGTATCATTTTCTTCACTTTTAATAGATCCATTCTCCTCCAACAAAGCTTCAGCATCAACTATACGTCTTAGGTCGCTGTCTTTATTTTTAAAGACAATTTTAGACTCATTTGAATCTTCATTAGATGTATTAGAATAAATTGGTAGTCTGAGTGGTTGACGATCCTCTTCGGTAAAGTGAAGGTATCTTTGTAGTGTTTGTAAATATAAAATCCACTTCTTACGGTCTTCCGTCTTACTATTCATAATATTTTGCATTTCAATATCTAATCGAGACAAATTACTATTAACCTTATTTTCCTGTTTTAATTTTTCAATCAATCCAGGTTCAATAAATATCATTTTCTTTGCATTTTCCATGTTAACTAGCTAGTCCACTTACTAATCAAAATACACTCACAAATACAGTTTATTTCTTCTTCATTACATGTTTTAAGTAATGCTCTTTGATATTTTTGTTTAAGCGTATGCAAAGCGTTTAGCAAATGTTTATGAGTTGTGACTAAAATGTTAAATATCTTATTTGAGTTTTATCCCGAGGGTTTTTAAAATATATTATATAACTCGAGTTTAAAGAAATGTCTCTTTGACCTTTACCCTGATGAAATAAATTTTGTGTTAAATAAAATACACTAAGATTCCTGTGATGTCTACCTTTTGTAAATATATCCACAATTCTTCCATCAGACTCTCTCATTAGATCATCAATAATAACAAGATGTGGGTTTTTACCATCAAACATATTGAGATTTGGAATTCCTTGATCATAGTTAACATTTGGTAAATTATATAAAGGTTGCATTTCGTCAAAACACCATGTGATCTGGCTAAAATCACAATTACATATTTCTTTAACTGATTTTATGAAATTTGTTACAAAATTTGACTTCCCACATCCACTTGGTCCTGCTACAATAGCAGTAAACGGATGAATAAAGTGAAACATTACACACGTCTAGAGTTCATAGAGATTAAATAAAAAATGAAAGTGTTGTTGTAAAAAATTTTAGTATATATTGCTTAAATTACATTATTATCTTATGTTATTTACAATTAAACAATAATTAAATATGTTATAAACTCTACGTAACATTATAGTAATATCATAACTTTACAATCATTACACGTATACACATAGAAATAAAAATATCAACCCTTAGCGTAATTTATAATGACCCCAAGCTAATGTTTCAATATTATTTTTTAAAATATGTCTTTTTGTGTCATTATACGATAAACAAATCTTATTTAGCTTTTGCGTAAAAATTGTGTGTTTAATCAATTTAAATCTAAGCATACTACAATATTGTCCTTTCTTTTTAAATAGAGAAGACTTATTACATTATATTACATTTATCATCATCTTTTTAGTGATACATTTATTTACCCTTTTTGCCTTGGCTATAATCTTATTCTCTAAATCAAAAGCGTACATTTTAGATCGTACACCTACAAATTCTTTCATGATTTTACCATTGTTTTCATCTTTGAAAAAACCTAATTTCTTTTTATTTTATTTTGGATATTCAAAAATATTATTTGAATCATAATCTGAGGTGTCAAAGTATGAGGAAAGATCAGGTTTTATATCAGTGTAAAAATCATCTGTAAATATATGATATATTAAACTATTCGTATCTGTATACAATAAATTGATTTTTCTAAACTTTTTAATCATATAGTTGTAACGAAAATCATACATTAACGTTTTTGAAATATCTAAAATACAAAACCCTAAATAAATTGATTTGTTATATATGAACTTAGTTTTTCGCAACTGAACCGCAACTAGGTCTTCCGAAAATATTGAAACACTATGAAATTGTGGTTTAGCGATTAGATCTTGAGCACCTAAAGCTTTACCCTGGTTCTCCCAGTGTGTAACTAATTTTACGTTGATCCTTTTTTCAATATTCTCCATAGTCTTACCGAAGACTGATATGTTCATTAATTTATAAAAATCTTTTTCGAAATCTGATTTTGCTAACATTCTAAATTTTGTATTTAGATCTATATACTTTTTTAACCATGGAGACTTTTTTAACCTGTTTAAATTTTAAAACTCTATGAATTTTAGTTAGTTTTACCCCCATTTCTATGCATTGCTTTAAATTTCTGTAATGAATTACATATTTAACTTTATTATTTAAATTGGGGACTACTTTACTCTCCTAAGTATTGCCTACACAAAAGTTTTCGGGACATAAAGGAAAGTCCGAATGTAAATCATGAAGTTCATCAGGATATTCTAAATCAACTTCTAAAATGAAACCGAAGTCCGATGTTTCAGACACATTAAAATCTGTATTCGGATTTACCAATTCAAATCCACCAGTAGGAAGATTTTGAGACATAGCCAAACTATATAAATTGTTAGCATCAAAATATGTGATATATGAATTTGGTTTCTCTACATCATAATCCTCCATGTATTTGTTATTAGCTCTAGCATAACGTTTACTACATTGAGATACACCACCCCTGATACCGACCTAATAAATGCAATTTTCTCATAATCTGTTAAAAGTTCTAATTCTATTTGTGTATATTTTAGCATTGCATCCCAACTTAATCCTGGAGGTGTATAATAATGGGCTGGATCTAAATGATAGGTATTCATACATAGATTTCTAAAGTTTTCAAATACATCGGATAAAAGTAAAACATCTGTTTTTAAATACAAGTTTGAGTAATCTAGCATATTACAACAACCAAAGTGCTCCCAAACATCTTTAGCATGATTGTAATCTAAGTTTGAAATATGGGAATCTGTGAGTGAATTAAAAAAATCATTTTTATCAGGGAGCGATGTTAGCTTTAAACTATCATAATTAGTCATAAATTTGTATGGATAAACCCCTTTCCGTTTTAAACGAATGAAATCTTCATCCTTAGGGAAATTTCTGCGTAATTCTTGAAATTGATCATTACTGAGATTTTTGACTAATTGATTACACGATAAAAACTTAAATGAATCCACGAATCTCAATATAACTTCATGGTTATTTATTTTTAATTTTTTGGAAAAGGATATATGTTTTTCTTTATTTTGAGGGATAACTTCGATTTCACCATCACAAAAGTTTAATGCATGAACAATAAAATGAGCATCATAGTGACTAAGGTTGTGTAAAAATATTGGTATATGACGTGGTGTTCTGAATTTCGAGCTACATGATTCATGAGCCACACCTATAAAACTACCGGTGTAGCAATCAAAATCATAAAAAGGTTCTACTAACTCAACTTCACAAATATGACAAATGGTTGCATTTGAAATTTGGTGTTTGTTTTCGTCTGTTAGCGGAACTGAACATTTTTGAAATCTATTTTTTTAACATATTTCTTTCAAATTGTTAGATAAACTTTCCATAAACACTTGTGCGCAGTTGGGTCCACTAATAGTTACAAATTTCAATAACTTATCATCATATGAACATCTATACTTATTATAAAAATAAGTCCCCCGGCCGCGTCTTTCTGTCCTCCTGTCTGTCCTCCTGTCTGTCTGTACGCGATAAACTCGAAAACTACTGAACGGATTTTTATACGGTTTTCAACAATAGAAAGAGTAATTCTTGAGGAAGGTTTAGGTATATAATTTATTATGCTTTTATGTAAATTAGCTGAAATACGGCGACAAATGTTGAAGAGGTCGCAAAAAATCTCGCCAAATGGGAACTTTCCACGCGAACGCCGCGTAAACTAGCAAAGATACAGTTAAGTAATGTACTAGAGAATTCAAAATCTATAAAAATGCTACAAAAAAGTCCGCGATAGCATATCTCTATCTCTTACGGTTGACTTACAATAACCACTTTTATGTTAACATTTTTAATTAAAAACATTACGTTATTTTCAAAGTTATTTTCTTTAGTTCGGTATTAATCCTTATCCAAATGAATATTTTAGTTAGCTTAGTCATTTAATGCAGATTAAAATTGCTCTTTACACTAAATCAATCAGATGAATAGTTTTTGAGATATCGTTGTTAGAAGTAATTAGTAGCGAAACATTTTTAATGCTTGGCGAGCATTGAGATGCCTACGGCGAGTCCATCCCCTCTGCCCCGCATCGCTCGACCGCCTGCTCAAGTTATATAAACCGGGCGATGTAGCGCGCGATCCTAGGATACTTTTTACCGCGGGAAAATATCTTATTTCTGAGGAAAAATACAAAAACTGCAATGTAAGAGTATACTAATATGTAACACCTAAGAATTTAGTTTTTGGTCATCTGAACGCGGGCGGAGCCGCGGGCAATGCTAGTTTTATATAATAACCAAAACTATACACTTCATGTTTCTGAATATTATGTGTGAATGGTTTGGATGGATCGTTAGAACATGATTCTATTGGTTTTAAAAATGCTTCAAAATCAGCATAAACTACGAATGGTATCTTTAACTTTTTTTCATAACTATCAAATTTAATTTTATCATTTGAAATAGGTTGACCAAACCAATTCTTTTTTAAAGTTTCACTGTTTGGTAATTCTGTACAAATGTGAGCACAATCATGTTTTTCATGGTTATTTAACCTTTCCTGAGATGGAAAATGAAGTAGACACACATCGCAAATGTACATGGCATGACAGTCTATTGAAATTTGTTTACTAACTAACCGTGATAAATCCTTTATGTAACAATAATGATTGTTCGTATCCTTAGAAAAATATAATAAATTGATATGTCTAGCTTTACGACACTTTGTTAAAAATAATGGACCTACTATAGAATTACATCGTTTTTCTTTATTATATTCTAACCCAAATACATTAATAATAATATCATTTAACTTCTCTACTTTTGCTATGTCAGTAATTTTAACAGGAAAGGAAATACCGTCAAATTTAAATTTATTTGCATGTATAGCGTACGATGATACCCAATCTGCGTTTGTGTTTATGGGATATAATGCTGAGAGTAACGCCCATTAAAACAAAACTAATCTTTGTTTTTTATATTTAAAACAGCCTTTTTTAATTTTATATCATGAGGAAGATCTATGTATGAAGTACCGCGAAGGGAGTTGAATTTATTGACATTCATATCTATAGATTTTATGTTTTTTTGACTCCATCCACTATCTTTTTTTTCGAATACACTAATTTTACTAGTAATTGTATCATTTAAAGATGAAAGAAAAATATTTAAGCCATCTCCTTGGCAAATAATATAGTCAAATGTTTGAAAATTTTTACTTTGCTTTGTTCACAAAATCAGCATGCAGTATGAAATTTACTTTAAAAATAGTGAGTTGATGAATACACTCTTGTATTAAAAATAAAATATCATCTTTAATAGAATTAAAAAATAGTTCGGGAGTTTCCAAATTTAACGGTTGTAAACGATCTACTCTACTCTTGATTTTATAAGTTAAAATTCTGTTTCCAAAAGCAGATTCAATAACACTTACGTTTGATAAAGAATTATGTGTATTTAAAAGATTATTTTTGTGAACATTACTTTTAAAATGATTAGCTAAATACCTTTTCTTGATCAATATATGACTCGTTAAACATTCAACTTGATCATCGTTACCGACACTGGTCCCTGCAGAGGTAAACGCTTTTTCTTCTGTTCTTGGTTTCTCAACGATCTGGGGGTCTTCACTATTCGTTCGCTTCATTCCTCTACCAAGTTGTAGTGGTTGACTGTTAAAATGTTTTATTTTATTAAAAAACAATGTTAAACAATGTGTAAATTATGGTTGAAATTTATGTTTATTATACTTACTTAAGCAGTGTTTCAACCATCGCACAGTGATTATACAACTCATCATCATATGATGAATCGAACAGTTCACGTTTCTCTATTTCATCACAAACTTTATATAGCTCCTGATTGAGTTCGCTGTTGAATAGTTCCATATTTACTTCCATTGGTGTGGAAAAGAAAGCACTGGTGCACATTTCACTGAGGTTCTCCATCTTTATAACAAATATAAGAATAGGTAGTGGAGTACGTAACAGTTAAGTGTTGGTAGACCAACTGATTCTGAATTTCAAATAATGTCCAATATTTATAGTCTAGCAAAGGATTATAAAATCAGGTAGAATCTAATGAGTACGCAGAAGTAATTTAAGTAAACAGAATCACATTCACTAATGATTGTTATTGTTAAAAAAGTATTTTTAAACTGTTTCACTTTCTGCTATTGTCTTTGTAATATTGTATATGAGGCTGTTTGTGTCGTCGTAGATGCTATCCTTATTATTCTTTACATAATATTTAATCCTCGTGGTGGCATGTTTCCAATGATCAGTAGTTGGCATCTTGCATAGTTTCTTCATATCATACATTTCAACTTTTATTAGATGCGTCGCTTGGTCTCCGTCATCGGAATTAGTAGAAATGTATGATACACCATCTCTAGAGGCTTGCGCCACGGTTGATGACAACAGTTTCTTCTTTTTTATTTTTGGTGCCACTTCAAAAAACTGATCAAGTGCCGGCGATTTCCTTTTTACACCATCGCATGTGTTATTAATCACGATGTCATGACTCTGTTCTTCGCATTGAAGGGAGAGTGACGAGTAGTAATACTGTTTATATGTATTTTCATCGAAGCTGAATGATTTCTGCAACAACTTACGTAAACGTAGCTTTACATATCGATACGAATAGCATAGGTGAATATTTTGATTCATGTGGACGAACACCTACATGATATCATCTAGAGTTTTTAAAAAGGAATTGTAAAAGATGGGTCTGGAATATTAATAGGATTCAAAATGATTAGACTTCAGTTTGTGGTGAATATTGCTTAATGTTTTTGCAATATAAGTTTCAGGGATATTCAATGTATAGTTTTACGAACATATTTACAGGGAACACATTGTACAACGATATTTTAGTGGATGAGATGTTCAGCTCATATTTTAAAGAGAACTAGCAAACCAGGCCCACTTCGCTGGGCGTAAGTTAAAAGAAATTAAACGGGTTTTATAATTTTATGTTAAAAAGTTACTCCTTAGAACCTTAGGTATCTGTCAGTGAAAGACAGACAGACAAAAATTGTAAAAATTGATTTTTTTGATGTTAGTACCTTATATACTTTAATATGTGTTAAGTTAAAAACTGAGAATTTGAAATTAAAAACAGACACTTCAATGTTATGTATGTGTATAGATATGTAATAAAATTATGAAATGAATAGATAAAAATTGTTAGAAATGAATGAGTGTGTTTTACTTATGATTTAGAGTAGCATGGTAGTTCATGACCAATAGAAGTATACAATAGCATCATAATGGATGTGCACAATGAGTAATAGATAAGATCGGCAATGCAGTCGTAATGGGGGTGTTCGAGGAACAATAGATAAGGAGAACAATGGAGCACTAATGAGGGTGCGAGGCCACCGGATTTTTTTTTATCTCTATTTTTATTTAGGGACTTTTATCCTTTTCGGACATGTCAGTCCCATCGTATCTTAACCTAAGTACATCATCACATATATATTATGGAAAAAGGGAAATAGATTCAATGTTGCAAAAACATATTCCACCAAAATTTTAACAACATCAATTATACTATTGAGTTCGCTAATATAATTAAGTATGGTCCAATATTATATCTATTAATATTAAGTTTTTGCATTATTGATTCCCTCTCCCTTTGATGTTTAACACATTCTACAAGGATGTGTTGAACATCGTCTATCATGTTACAACTACTACATAAGGGTGAATTTACCTTTTTCATAAGGTACGCAAATTTATTTGACGGATAATGTCCAGAACGCAGTCTATGTAAAACAACAATATATTTTCGATTTAGTTTAATGTTAAAAAACCATGGTACTCGAGGATGCTCACACTGTATAGTTTTGTACCAAATACCCTTTTATGTGCTTCTTTCGTCGAAATATTCTTTAAATTTTTTACAACAGATAATTTTAAATTTATTAAGTATTTCAGTGTAATAAGGCGAAATATTAAATTCAACTCCTTCCGAAATGGCTAGCTTAGCTAACCTGTCAGCCTGCTCGTTACCACTTAAGCCTAAATGAGATGGAACCCATTGCAATGTTAGATTTATTCGAGAGTTATTCAGCATGTGTATCCTTTTTAACACATTGTAGGCTATCGGTATACCTCTGCTATAACCAGAAGGCCACCGGATATCAATCAGATATTTCCTAATTGATTTCCACATCTCCAGAACCGCACATCGTACGCAAAAATGGACCGCAGATTCGTGATCAGAGCATGCCAAAACCTTTTTTATTTTTTTATTTATTATTTTTTTTATTTTTTTAGGATCCGTCACTCGAGAATCGACCGTTGCAAAACAGAATCGCCCGCGGGTTAGCCCGTTAGTACCGGTTCTGACTCGTGAGCCAGAACCGGTACAAACTAACTACTCTTACCTAAATCATTTATTTTTACAAAATATTTCATTATTTTTTACAGATTAATAAATAACATCACCATGGAACAACAAACATCTAACAATGACGGTATGTATAACAGCAATACACCAATTGTGTTCCACTGAAGCCATGTATAAATGTGTACCTAAGTAGTAAAATACACAGGTCAAGTTATCTTTTGTAATATAATGTTTACTAGATGATAATTATATTTTTCAATTCCTTCCAAATATCGCAACAATCTTTGTTTACTCTAGGCAGGATTCTCGGGAACGTGAAAAAAACATTAATATAATTGAATTCAGCATAGAGATCAAGCTATCATTACAATGCGAGTATGTTTACGAAAAGAAATAAGCTGCTCTTAGAAAGTGTGCGCCCTGACTCCTGACCCGACCTAACCGATTTCGTTCGTAAATCTCACTGAGACTAAAAATGTACGCAGGGGATATTATAGTGCACGAGCTTATGCCCGAAAACAAAAGTACTTTCTATTCCTGTACTCTGGTAGGACAAAAATTCGACACGACCAGTAAAAGATAAGGAGCAAACAAAATAATTGAAGTGTCAACTGTTCGTAGACTTCTATCCTAATACCTCAATAACATTAATTTTAGTATCATTTCAATCCTACGTACATTTTCTAAAACATCTTTTTTTTAAATATCCTCGTAAGTCCGAGGTTCTAGTTTGTATTTATATTTTACGTTAATCGTATAAAATTGAGCAAAATCATCTCACTTTGCACAACATCCCCGCAAGAAATATGAAGAGTACCGCTTATTACTTAATTGATGAAGAACAATATTATTAAATCAAAAAATGTCCTTGTTTCAGATTTCGTTCTTGAACGTATGAAAAAAATTCAATTTGATCGGCCAATTAATGTTACTTTAATACTTGAAGAGCCAAACTTGGATGAACACCCTAAATCAATTGATACGCAGTTGAATGAAATAAATCAAAATATTTATTCAAGAAATGATTTTATTAATATATCTGAAGAACCATCTGCTATCTACTCTTTGAATGCAAGTTCTTCTATTAATACAGAAAATATAGAATTAAGAGACATTTCTTACATGAATAACAAATTACATTGCAATATTTATGAGAATATACATTCGAAAACATCAGCTTCATCTAAAAAAGCAAATATAGAAAGTAATTTAGACACATCAGATAAAAGAAAATTAATAATGTTATTAGACAGAATATCGGATAATATACTTTTACTCGCCAACTGCAGCTTCTACATCCGTAACACGTATAAAAATAACCCATTCAAATACAAAAGCGCTCTAGAAGAATATTCCCGAAAAAAAAATTTCCTTTACAATTTTTCTTATACTGCCATTACTAGCATAATTATACCACTAGAAAATAATAATATATTTATACAAAAATTCATTAATCGCACAGTGGCAATTGCTCACAGTAAGTCTTGGCACTACATTACGGGCGAAATAGTAAAATATATTATTATGGATTTAATTAAATGGACGAAATGCCAAAATAAAGTATTGGAAATGAAATATAAGGATCAAAGAAGGTTGCCAGAAATAAATGCAAATTTAAATAACGTACTAAGCTTCAGCACAGCAACAACAGATGCGACTAATGTTTGCATATTTTCTCATGGGTCTCCGGGAGAAGAAATAACTATAAACATAGACTCACAAGTATTAAAGAATTTTTTAATAGAACAAAATTCAAATATTGAAAACTCTGCACCTACTTGTAAAACTACAACGATAACTAACAACTGTTGCCAGACAAGTATGCATACGTGTAAACGTAATCAAAATCAGATAACGCAAAATCAATCAACGTCCAATAATAATAAGATTAGTAGTAAGCGGCGAAGATGTCAAAAGCTCTAATATGTCACCATATGATCCATTGGTAAGTGAATAATTGCATTTATTCCTTTCTTAACGTACATTTACATCTGTTCAACAATTAGTTGAAGCGCCCTATTGTCGAACACTGTTCAACAATGTTGTATGGTCGATATTGATCAACACATTCGACAGTGCACCTTTAAGGTGCATTTAGGTGGTATTCAATAACAGGCGATTTTGAGGAAAGCCACATGTTGAAGCAACACTGTTGCCGTTTGTTGAATGAGTCTTGCAACAGACTTAAAAAAATCTAATTCGATTTAAAAAAACGGTCTTTATATTGATTTTTTTTTAATTCTGAAGTGATTAAAATTTGCTGTCTTCTATATATATTATGTATATAATAAAATTATATCTAAGCCGAATCTGTACATTAAATTTTTTTTGGAAAATCTTAATGAAATAAACATTATTATCGATACAGAGGCCGAATCTATAGTTTTTAGAATTTTTGTCTGTCTGTCTGTCTGTTACCGCATCACGGAAAAACCACTGGAGAGATTTTGATAAAATTTGGTATGGTGATAGCTGGTTATCCGGGTCAACATATAGGATACTTTTTACCGCGGGAAAATATCTCATTTTTGAAAAAAAAATACATAAACTACAATTTAAGAGTATACTAATATGTAAAATCTAAGAATTTGGATTTTGATTATCTGAACGCGGGCGGAGCCGCGGGCAACGCTAGTTTTACATAAGATGTAAAATGTTTAATTAAAATGCATTTATTTCATTAGCTTTATTATTCGTACCAATTTTTATATATTTATCAATTTCATTCTTCACAATAATTGTTATTAATAACTAAATTTTCACAAATTCTCTTAAAAATCGAACTAAAATGTAAAGTGTGATTAGGTTTAAAGTAAATATACATACTTTTAAATAATTTATTAAATCTCGTTTTTTGTATAAGCTTATTTAAATTTTAAAACTAAAAATCTCTCCTAGAATATTTTATGTAACAAGTCTGAGTAATAACGTTGATCACAATGCCGACAATCTGTATTCTCAAACTGACTGTTGGTGACTTTTTTCTAAAAACAAAGAAAATACCTAATAATATATTTTTTGTTTCAGCCATTGAATCGATTCGGTACAAGCTGAAGTAAACATGGCTTTGTAATATAAATATAATTAAGAAATAAAATAAATATATTTCCAAAAGAAATCTCATTTTTCTTTTTTTTTCAAAAAATCTTGTGAAAATTAATAAAAGTTGCGCCAATACCAAAAAAGGCAAGGGCAACCACAAAAAAGGTACAGGGGTTTTTGTGGTACTTTCATATTATCATCCACAGATAATAAGGTGATGAAGGTGGCGAGTGGCGACCGAAGAAGGTGCGGTACGGAATTGTATAAAAGACAATATAAATAAAATGGGATAGAGATTATGTATAACTAATGTTAAAAATGAACGGAAGAACGTATATGTTCATGCTGTGCCTACTCGGCATAGGTAGGATGAGGTCAAAATAAAGATTTTAGAAGTTATTTCTTTAGTATCTATTCTTATCGCATAATACTTTTTTAAATTTATGCAAATATTTAACATTATAAATAACATTTAGGTACTCTCTTACATCCCATTTTTTTATTTCTTTAAAAGTATTGTATAATTTTGTGGGTAAATACTGTCTGTAACAAAAATAAAATAACTTTAAGAGTCGATAAACCGTAGCCTCTCCCAAAAGAAAGAAAGAAAAAAAAGTATTAGTAGAGAAGAATTTTTTTCATTTAAAACTTTTTTTGTTTGTTTCCTGGATACGTTATAAAATTCCTCAGGGAAATGTAGCTCTAATCCATTACGATGTATGTTATCTGATAATAATTTAAACGTTTAAGAAACTCATTGTTGAATAAATTAATGATAGGCAGTTGATTAAAAGGTAACTCATTATACTGCCCCTAACTCACATCAGTAATAATTATAATAATTAAATTGAAATAGTAAACTATAGGCAATCTTATCAATCTTCGTTTTCTAAAGCAGGCTACTCACACACCTGCCGCAGGGGCAATCTAGAGTGTAATAGTGGGAATGGCCCTTAATTGCCACCTTAATTGTGATGTGTATAGTCAAACAGGGGCAATTTTCTTGGTTGCCGAGAGACCATCCTTGGTCCCTAGATTGTCCCTGCCGCCCTGCACGTTGCGGCGTGTGTAGCGCGATAGGAGCAATTTCTCTACCGATCTTTTTAAAGTGTAGCCACTTAGGGGTTTTGCCCTCAAATTTAGGGGTCAAAAAATTGCAGCGGGGTTTTAAGGGTTATTTCTTTAATAGCATGACTTAAATATAAATAACATTTTATAAAGTTTCTTTTAAAGACTTGAAAAAATCATATATGTTTAAATATAATTTGCATCATATATCCTTTGTTTTATTATTATTTTCTAAGTTATATATGTTTTTTTATTATTATTATTAAATGGTTATATATAATTAGTATAATAATAACCATAAATAAGTTTATTACGCTAATTGTAATCATTTAAAAAAAATTAAAAATGAAAAAAAATAATATTATATAAAAACCTACATTTTTAAAATTATCAAATAGGGGGTTTTGAGGAATTTTTGGAATTGCTCTTAGGGAGATAAAATTTCAAGTATTGGCAACACTGTCTTTTGATTTTTCCATAATACTGGGACCATTCTTAACGCGTAGGTACGTTTAGCCCAACTTCTACCCGAACACTGAATAACAGGCATGTGTGTAAAGACAGCTCCGATATTGCTCCAACCGCCGTGCTCCCTAGATTGCCCCTGCGGCAGGTGTGTCAGTAGCCCGCTTAAAACGCAAAAGTATGACATAAGCTGCTACTAATAGTAGTTAGTAATTTTAATTAATTCCTGCGGAATGTAATTCCATATATAGAGATAGATAAGCTCAGACCAATAAAAAGTATAGACAGAGAATTGCGCACAAAAAGTGATGCAAGTAATATGAAGTCGATTCAGCCATATGAAGACGGCCGCTCGGTACTCGGTAGTCGGCCGCGAGCGAGTGAGAGCGTGTGACGTGCTTTCGGTAAAATAAAGCCGTCCTGTGTCATAAACTGTTGCAAAAACAATTCATGTTTTCGAAAAAAGTCTTCTAGGATAACTTTTCACAAGTAACTGATTTTCTGTATAATTTAAACAAAATCGCAAAAATATTTAAAATAATTCTCCGAACACGAATTCTTGCGCCATTGTGTCAATGGCGCAAGTTAAGAACATTATGTAGGAAGTAAGGGAAGTTGTGATCTTTGTACACGTTACAACTTATTTTTTTTAAATCTTATTATTGTATTTTAGTTTTCGAGTATATTAGGTATATTATTAAACGTAAGTATTTAAAAAATACGTGATTCCGAACTAGAATCAATATTTGACACTCCCTAAAGAAATAAACTCAGACAACAAGCTAGAAAGTATAAATTACGTTATCAAATTCATGCACGCAAAATCAAAACACTTAATCAGAAGGTTATAGGCCTTAAAAAGAAAAACTCGTCAAATTAGTTATAATTATTCTAATATATGTAAGTTTTGTGTGTACCTATTGTTAAATTATTAATTATTTTTATTTAAGAATAAATGACTCATTAAACTTATTTACCTTTATTTCATGTAACCAAGGCAAATAAAAAACTATACTACCTATAATAAAACATTTCATCAAAGTATATCTCTCGCACTTGGGAGTCGTAAGCACAACGCTTGCAACATTTTTCTCTAGCAAACATGCGCAAATCTACGCTATCTTACACAGAGTTACGCACACAAAGCCAAAACTTTACATCACTTATTTCGTCCAGTTTGTTTACAACGGCTCCGTCTATACTTTTTTATTGGTCTGAGTAGATAAGTTATTGAGACCGGTCGAGCCGTAAGTCTCAAGCCGCTTACAGTGTTTCATTTTTTATTATAAAAATCTTACTGTGCTTCTCATCTACCTACTGCTTCTGATACGTCATGTAAACGCTTCATTTTAATTAAAATAAATTATAAATTGTACAAAATATGTCTTTTAATATTCTTATTCCCAGGATTATTTAATAAAATCAATTAATATAATAATACTAATTAAATACTGTAATAAATGAATTACATTAATTCATTATAATTATCTTAAATATAATAAGTCCTGTAAAGCAATCAGGGTCACGGACGAGACTACTCTCGGAGTGATCTTGCCCGTGACCGTGGTACCTTACGAAAGTAGATACTACGGAATAATTAATATTTCGCTCGCGTCGGTTGTAATTAATAAAATGTCTAATAGGTACAACTCAGTCTATTAAAACAAAATATATTTATCTTTACCCAGATACACTTTTGGTTAGAAATATAGCAAGTAGACAAAGGTACATTAAAAGAAGTGCGCGTAATGAGAGTCGTGGAGGATTTCTTCTGTAATGTCTTTACACATTCGGCGATCGCGGCTTTCAGTCTCTGGCTGCTCCAGGTGCTCACGCGTACGCCATGTCGTCGCCCAGCAGTGAGCCGCTCTCTGGTAACAGGTGGATGGGCCCACAAACTACACCGAGCCGCGCAGCAACGCCAAAACACGACTCGATAGGATTCGACACAATCAACTCCGTTTCAACAAACCCGCATTTCAAATTTATATATAATATAAATATATGTAATGGATAAGTTATTAAGTTACTCAAGGCCGGATTTAGGGGAGGGCAGCCGGGGCTAGAGGCCCGGGGCCTCCACAAGAGAGGGGCCCCCACAAAAGAAATTAAAAAAAAAATCTGACTGGCTACAACTTTTTCGTTTTTATTTGCTTTTTTTTCAATTTTTTTCTAACTTTAACCTATAATACTTCTACAAATATGATTGATTATATTGTTCTTAAATATTAACAACAATTTATCCATAATATTCGTTTACCACAGTTCATCGCAGTCAGGTAAAAAGAGGTTACAGAGTGATTACGATTAATTAATTATAATCATGCGTTTTTTTCGTTCTGCGTGAGTTTATTTATTTTATAATTTTAAGGTCTGCAATATTATCATCAAATGTGCATGCACTCAAAAATAATATTTTCCTATATCTACTCCATAGGTAGTTAACTAAAGGTAAACAAAGAGCTCATGGGGACTTATCTAACCTTTTATTACAAAAATTTTAACACATATTGTCAACTAGGGAATTACCCTCGCTTCGCTCGGTGCCTTAGGTACGCGGATTTTGTTCACAATTTCATGGGGTTTAATTTTTTGCGCGGAGCCCTAATTTTTTCTAAAATAAAAGTATCATAATTTACTCATAGCATCAGCTATCTTCCAGTGAAAGTTCCGTCAAAACCAGCCCCAGCAGCCGTTTCGGAGATTAGCCGGAACAAACAGATAGACAAAAAATTTATTCCGTATATGCATTTCATGTGCATTTAATAAAAAACTGTTATTTTGACATTACAAACAGACATTTCAATCTTATTTACCTGTAGGTACCATCTATTCATTAAATGTCTTTTTTTATTAAATAATTAAATGCTTGATTTTGCTACAAACAGTATAATGCCATTATAGCAAAGGGACACATATAATAGTATACTGTAAAAACACAAACTCGTAAAAAACGGAGTTACAGTATTATGCTTGTCAGGTACAGAATTACAGAGTTTCATACGAACTTTCAACCCTTATTTTACTCCCTTATAGGGATTGAATTTGGAAAAATGCTAAGACACGTATTTATTAAATTGCATTGAAGAGAATTAATATCAAGTTTCAAGTAATTCTGATCATAAATAATTCTTTGCCCATGTAAACTATTTCACATTAAGAATGACAGAGTTTCATACAATCTTTAAGTTCCTATTTTACCCACACAGGGGATGAATTTCGAAAAATCCTTTCTAATCGGATACCTACATTGTTGGAATACGTCCTCCAAATTTGAAGTTACTGTGACTAGCGGTTTAGGCTGTATGTTGATACATCAGTCAGTCAGAACCACCATGGATGCACCTCTCCTTAATTCTACCTTCAGCTGGTCTAACTTCCAGGTACAATACATTGCACAGGTAAGATGCGAACTCAATAGAAGGTAAAACCAGGTATACAAGAGGTATCATAATAAATTAGTTAACCTCAGACTGAATGTAAATAGGCAATACGTGTGGCGACCTCCTTTCGAGAAATCTTCCCTTCGGAATTTACTTGGATTGTTGGGGTATTAACTAGTGATGTGCCAACTCGGAAAAAATATAACTCGATTTAGCTCGAGTTGAAATTCACGTAACTCGAGTTGAACTCGAGTTACATAACTCGAGTTAACTGGATGAAAAATGAAGTGAATGATTTGTTTTGCTTGTACCAATTTAATGACTTGGCTTCGCAAAAATATTAAAAAATGGTACAGATTCTATATGAATATTTATTGGGACAGTTATAATTATATTTTTTATATTTATTTATTTATATTATTACTAGCAGAACCCACGGCTTCGCTCACGCTAAAACTACAAAAAAAAACAGTCTAAAAAGGTAGGTTTCATACAAAATTTCATCCGCTATTTTACCCCCTTACGAATAAATTCTAAGAATAATCTATATCTATCTATAAATCTATCGAAGAATGCTAAAACATATATTTATTTAATTGTATTGAAGAGCTTTAATACGAAGTTTCAAGTAATTCTGATCATAAATATTTTTTTGGGTTGTATTATAACGTGTTTTCCCGTGGAAATGAGATAATCTTCCGCGGTAAAAAGTAGTCTATACCACTCTCCAGCCCTCCAACTATGAACTATCTTTGCTCAAAAAATTACCCCAGTCCGTTACTCCGTTTCGACGTGAAAGAAAGACAAATAAACAAACATACTTTCACATTTATAATATTAGTATGGATATTATAACGCTGTCATTCGGTTGATACGCTATGACGGGAGTACGGACGACAGCGATTAAATCAAATACTGTGGCATCTTATTCGGTTGTAATAGAAGCGATTTTGCAACTTAAATGAATAGTCTTAAGTGCTGACGACTGTACAAAGCGCTTGCGTAAGCTCAATCGCGTACTCGCTTGATTCGTTCATTTACCACGCAAATCCAATTCGAGTCAGAGAGAATTCAACTCGAGTTAAGCCCAACTCGAGTTAACTCGAGTGAGTAACTCGAGTTGACACATCTTTAGTATTGGCAACGCTGATTATATCATATGTCAATTAAAAATTATTAATTAAAGTATATAAGTTTATTTATATTGGCTAAAAAGTAAAAACTATTGTATTGTAATAAAAAAATAAATAATTCTTTTGAATTTGTCTAATACCGTAACAGAAAAACGTACATGAATGTTGACATGGTACATAAACAATAGATTTTGATGCCCGACTAAAAGTAGGGACTAATTTCCGCAGGAACATGGTTTAAATAATTATAGAAACTAGAAAGTTCTGACGTCTTGGCGTGACAGAAAATAATCATAATAAAGTATTATAATCTTCTTCATATTTTTATTTAATGAATAATAAGTTAATATTTTTTGAAAGTATAAAATGTGGTATGCCGCTTTACTGCGGTTTATCCGAAGACGTCTTGTTCTTGGTATTATTTTCGCGTCTTCTTTAACTTACTGCATTGTTAGTTTCCTCAAAGAGGTGAGTAGACTATCAGAGACTACCAAAATTATAGTATAAATTTTATTAAATTTTATGTATAATAAATAATAAAATTGCTGCTATTTTTTTAAGGGAAACAGTAGAAATATGGTATATCAGGATGTATCTATTGAAAGAAAGCCATTTGTATGGAGAACCTTACAAGAACATAACGAAACTAATGATAGTATGTGTCGAAACTCTGTTCAGGGTAAAAATTTGTTAGTAGATGATAGAGGTAATAATGTAAGACTCATGTATTTATCGCATTCTTCATCCGCTTTTATTTTATTTCAACTTATTGATTCTAAATATTGTCTTTTTTAGGTTATGTATGTCAAAGGTCTGAGTTAGCTAAAAATGGTTGTTGCACTGTAGACTCAGAATATACAAAAAGATACAGTTGCCATTCATGCAAAAGCAACAATTGCTGTATTATTTATGAATACTGTGTGTCTTGCTGTTTAGATCCTAACAAGGTAATGTAACTACAATATTGTGTGAATTTTATGTTGTTTATAAATTGTAGTATTATTTTGAATAACTTTTATCTTGTAAATCTCAAAAATGACTTGGTAGATAACATTATTTTTATATCTAACAAGCAACTCACTCTCGCTTCGCTCTGATTCACCTCGAGAAAAACAAAAACAAATTATCCCTCGGTAACCATATATTTTTCCGGGATAAAAAATAGCTTGTGTTATTCCAGACTATTATCTATCTCTGTGCCAAATTTGATTCAGATTCGTTCAGGCGTTCTGGTGTGAAAGAATAACAAACATATATATACTCACAAACTTTCACATTTATAATATTAGTATAGATGCATAGATTGTAAATAAACAGTTTTATCTCTTGATATTTATATCAACATTTAACACTTAAAAAAAGTAAGATTATCATGAGATATAATAAACTATTTAGTAAACATATCTTACTAATATTATAATTGTTAACAATTTAGATGGATGCTTGGATGTTTGTTACTTACTCAATCACACCAGAATGGCTGAACGGATCTGGATGAAATTTTATAAAAAAATACAAGGTACTTTCAAAATACATCAATACTATGCCAAACAATAAATATACACCTATTACAAATATATATACTTTAAAGTTACCTCTACTTTTTCAGAGAAGTCTATTGGAGTTGGTGCTATCAAAACTGTCTGCTGAAGAAAAAGTGTTGTTTCATTCAATAAGTGATGATTATGAATTATGCCTAACAAAGTGTCGTACAAGTTCTCATAGTGTGCTTCATGAAAACTCATATAAAGATGCAGAACACAAATATTGCTTTGGCAATGGTGTAGATTCCAAACCACCCGATTAGCAATTACTAGTATTTAAAATATTCAAACGTCTTTGACAGGGAATCAAATTTTGTAGGAAATTTGGGACAAGGTGAATAAAGTTAAGTAACTATTTATTAGTTGATGTGTGACAGGTGTCTAATATTTCAAAAATATTTACTAATGGACATTAGAGTTTATGAATGATGAAATTTTTGAGATAGTTAAGCGAAATGCATTGAAGATTGTGCCTAATATTTATCTTTTTTTAATTTTAATATTAGTTTTGCACTGGTTGAGATGAAACTACATTTGAATAATCTATAATATACTATGAATGCTTTAACTTTGTGCACATGGGAAATATAGTAAAAATGATTGGCATCTAAGTAATTTTAAGCTTACATAGTAGATTTTTATATTTAAGTAGAAACAAATAAACACCTTGAATTTTTTGTATAGATGGATACAATTACAGTAAAAATAATATAAAAATGGAAAATTGTAAAGATCAAATCTGTGCATTTTTTTTTTAAAGATAATAGAGATACATTGTTATTAACACCATTATAAGACAAACCATGTTTTTATATTTTCTGTTTCGAGGAATGAGATTAAAATTTGAAATTTAGAATGGTCGTAACTAGTCCATTTCATATATTTTTTCTACTTATAGTATATTGTACATCAATGATGATCATATTATGAAATATAAGTATGTTATAGACTTTTACTTCTCACGGTAAAAGATCCATATAAGTATAATATTATTAATCTTTTACAAACAGATAAAAAACTATTTTAAAATATCAAATGTTTTAATTTGAATGTATAATCTAAATAACATAATGCATAAAATTAGAAGTTAGAACTAAATAACATGCTTGTGGAGTCACAGACAATAGCTAGTGATTAAATAAATTATTAGGAGGCTATTTAGTAAATGAAATTTAAAAAACGCATAGTTTTTGAAATACCCCTAAGTTATATATATATATATATATATATATATATATATATATATATATATATATATATATATAATGTTGTATGCCAGTTCAAGTATTATATTCTCAAAACTGATTTCCATACTATTTGTGTTATTTAAAACTACTTTTGTGCTAGCAGATTTCACTCAAGGTTAATTTAAAAACTATAGCGTAACGATTTAATATTTATCCTTAGCCTAACAGAACCAAACTAAGTTGTTTTTTCAGGGATATTTGTGCCCTGTTGTTTTTTATGGTATTTTTTGTATAGATTCAAAATTTAAAAAATAAATATGTGTAAATGAATTACCAAATATCATTAAATGTCCCAAGTCTAACTTTATAAAAGTCATAACTGTACATTAATAAAATAGTTTTTGCTTAGAAAGTACCTCTTTCTAAAGAATCAAATTTTCTTAATTGTAAAGAAAGTGTTCAATACTTTTTTTTTATTTAATATAAAGAATGTACTAAAGTAGCGAACAAATTTCGCTTAGCGATATCTAATCACTAACACTTAGGTAATAACTCAATTCATTTTCAATATAAATTCTCAATTTTTTTTCATGCACTTAAAATAAGTTTATAATAACACTTTTCATCAATTTTTTTCTAAAAATCAGAATTAATCGCTATCCAATAAATACTATAAACTTCTTTACCCCCAAGGAATAAAATAAATGACACATGACAAAACAGAATTTAGGAATATATATTATTTATTTCTACAATTTCATAACATATATCTAGTTACGTAGTTATTATTATTATTCATTTAGAAATTATTTTTTTATGTCAAAATAATAATCATACTTATTATCATTTTATTTAATAAAAATAAGCATTTTTATATAAATAAACATTAAACTGCAAGTATAGAAAGATTGTCCCATTAAGCATAACAAACCTCATCATCAACCAGATAGAAATTACATATTATTAAATAAACATTTAAAGATATCCCATAAAATGAGTAACATAGTTTATGAAATTATCAAATTGTTATTTCGTATGCATATATGTATTTGTACGTAAATGTTGCATCTTGTTACGTAGTTATAATAATTAATGTTATTTATTGAACGAAATATATTTTTATACTCATGTAATTGATATTTTATTTGTATACCATACCTACTAGCGACCCTCATTTTCTATCCGAAAAGTCTAAGGATTCTTACGGTATAAGCGTAAGAATCCTTAGACTTTTCGGAATGCTAGTACAAAGTGTCACTCTCCCCCAAATGACAAATCCTCTATCCGCCAGTGAGAGTCCTGTTAAATTCTGTTCCGGAGATTATCGAATACAAATATACAATATTTTCTTAATGATTGTTTGGACTTTAATACCGTCAAGACTTGGAGTAATACGCATAATAATAAAATTTTCTCAATATCGTCAATTTAACAATGAAATCTACGAATTGATAGGTATTATATAGGTATAAACTTATTAACTAAAACCTGAATTTTAAAGACATTTGAAGTCTTTCTGTCTGTCGTTATTGGTTCTAAAAGTTTTGATTGTAAATGATATTGATAAGGCTTTTTCGGGTGCCCTTTAATGATGTTATACCAGAATGAATTGTAAGTTCTAACAAGCGACTTTACCTTCGCTTCGCTCGGGTGCGTCCACAAGTGCCTATCTGTTAATCTGGGTCGAAATCTATGATAGATTATTTATCTGTGCACTAAACATTCAAATCCGTCTAACCACTTCAATAATCAGTGTGAAAGTTTATATAATTTATTTTTATTATAGCAGTCTGACTGTACAGGTTACACAATAATTACAACTATCTAGCCAGGTTACACAATAGTTATGTACATACCTAGCATAGCACCTATCTATCTACTTATTACTTACTAGCGACTCACCCTCGCTTCGCTCGGGTTTGTCCCTAGCCTGATTCTTAACACAAAATTTCATCCCTATTTTCACCCGCTTAAGGGATGATTTCTGGGATAAAAAGTATCCTATGTCCTTTCCCGGGTCTCAAGTTATCTTCTTAGCAAATATCTAAATCGGTTCAGTAAATCCAGAGGTTATCCCCTACAACGTGTCAAACTCACAAACTTTACCTCTTTATATTAGTATGGATGTTTATAGTTACTCTAGAAAAGCTAATTTATGATGCTATTTTATGTAGTTTATTTGTGATGACGATTTTAAGATTCAAAATCTCTTGAGAGTGAATAGGTTTATTAATTTATTCTATTAGCTTAAATCACTCGACAAACAACGTTAGAACCCGTTTAAATTATTAAAATAAAAAACCCGACGACCAACAAGTCGAACCGAAAACAAGTTGACGAAGGTATTATACCTATAGTATTTATTATGCAGTCAGAGACATACGTCTGCACTGCATAATAATATATTTCTTCGTCAACTTTTTTTCATCTTTTTAGTTAGCTTTTATGCATACGGTTTCTTTTATTTTTATAATATTTATGGCATTTTTGATCATTTTTTAATAATTTTATGTGTCGGGGTGTTTTAAGCTTTGATATAATCTAGGTATATAATATATAAAAGGCAAAAGTGATTGACTGATGTATCAACCCACAGGCCAAGCTCTTAAGGCTAGAAAATTGAAATTACGCACACGTATTCCTCATGTGACGAAGGCATCCACTAAGGAAGAATTTTTCAAATTTCAATCCCCCAGGGGGTGAAATAGGGGATAAAAGTTTGTATGAAACTTTTTATTCCTTTGACATATTTGCATGAAATTTCGTATGAACTGAGTACGGAAAAAATAATGAGTTACGTATTTCAGCGTTTGCTTAAATTCAACCCCTAAGAGGGTAAAATAAGAGATAAAGTTTTTATGGAACCCACTTTTTAGAGTTTTGTTGTAGTTTTAGTGCGAGCGAAGCCGCGAGTTCTGCTAGCTAGGTACTTATATTTATACTAATAAAGACCATCACAGGTCACGAAAGCTGTAGGTAAGTTGTTTACTTTTGAATAGATATTTGATAGTAGCCTTATCCAAACATGTAAAATATGGATTACCTAAGACTAAGAATATATTAAAACCTCTATCTGCTCCTCGATTCTAGGCAATGGAAAATGATCATTGACAGTTTTGCAATTTAATGCTCTATAATCAACGCGTAATCAAAACCCTCGATAAGTGTACGTTCTAGTTTTGTTCTTTTTGTTTATCATTCATTTTTTTATTATTACAACTCATGCTTTGTGGATAACACACAAATGCACACAAAAGTTCGGATGAGTCGTACATTTTTAACCGACTTCTAAAAATGAGGAGGTTCTATGTTCGTCTGTTTTTTTTTTTGTTTTGTGTATGTTCGTCGATATTTTCGCCAATTGTGAATCGATTTAAAAATTCTTAAATTATTTCTTCTAAATTATTCTTCTTTTTTTAGTTCGAAAGGGTATACTCCCGAAGTGGTCCCATTATCATCAAGTCAGGATTTGATGGTGGAATCTCAAGGAAATCGAGGAGAAACTAACTAACAAAGTAATAAAATCTTACAAGTCAATTTTGACCTACTTCCCGGCTCCCGGTTGAGCTGTTTTGCATACTTATGTAAGTTTAGTAGCAATGTAATAATCTAGTACTATTGAGCTGTTCTGATGATGGAGTCAGGAGGTGGGTAGATAACTCTTAAACGGTGAACAGCAAAGACACGAAATTTTATAAATGGATTTAACTATAATATAGCCTGTTCTAAACTCCATCATGAAATGGCTGCTACACCCAGGGTTGACTTTCGGTGAGGGAACTCCTCAACGGTGTACGTAGACGTAGTTTATCAGGTACAGAAAAATAGGTTTTAATTGATATATAAATGATGAACATACGCGATGAACGTATAAACGTCCTAAAATATGACCCGCTTACACCTGGATGCGAAGAGGTTGCGGCCAAATGCACAACGGCAGCTATCATTTTTCAAGATCTCTACGTATGATTCTGTGAAATGGAGTATAATTCATTGTAATAACAAATGCATCGTTTTTATTACAAAAAGTCAACTGTTATTTAGTTAATTAAACATACTAGCGGGCACATTTGAATAGGCACGCCGGTCAAAACATATTGTCCGTTTTATTATCTATACATATGTATAATAAAATTGTAACTAAGTCGAATCTGTACATTAAATATTTTTAGGAAAATCTAATTGAAATAGGCATTATTATCGATACAGAGTCCGAATCTATAGTTTTTAGAATTTTTGTCTGTCTGTCTGTTACCGCATCACGAGAAAACCACTGGACATATTTTGATGAAATTTGGTATGATAATAGCTGGTTATCCGGGTCAACATATAGGATACTTTTTACCGCGGGAAAATATCTCATTTCTGAGGAAAAATACAAAAACTGCATTGTAAGAGTATACTAATATGTAAAACCTAAGAATTTGGTTCTTGGTCATCTGAACGCGGGCGGAGCCGTGGGCAATGCTAGTTGTATATAAAAAAATTATTTCGATTAAATACGCTATGAACGTAGCAGTCTTGCAGTGGGATCTTAGTCCATTAATATTAAATAAAATAACGGCAAATTTTTAGCAATCTACCAAATAAAAACTATCCTTGACCTTTTGTAGCGAAAGTCTCATCTTATGTCTTCAATGACTGGACTATATAAATATGTCGTACGATCATCAATATGTCCGTTAAAATATTCTTAGGCACCTATATGACAAGTTTTAGCCGAGAGCAATTAGGCTTATACCTCGGAACCCAGCTATAATGTACGAATTTGGCTGATTTTGGATTTTTGAATTTCTTATACTAAAAATTAAAAAGTTTACCTATCTTTTAAAATCTTCCGCTAATGTTCTTTATTTTAAGGATTGCCCCATGAAAATGATGCTACTTCTAGTATAGTACATTCTTTTAACAGATATATTTATTTTTTCTTTCAAGAATAACTCGGATTCTATATAAAATATAGTGACTTACCCTCGCTTCGTTCGAGTGCGTTCTTAGGTACAATATAGATATGAATAGTTATTACAAGTGTATCTTAGGAGAAAGACTTATGCTATTGCAGATTTTTCTGTAGGCGTTATTAAGACCTACAATTTTCTAGAACATTGTTTTGATGTATCTCTTAAGGTTAAGTTAGCAAAGCCAGCGTTAGTTAAATAAAATTCTAAGGCCGACTGGATAGAACTAGCTATTGTGATTTTCCGTGAGAATGAAATATTTTATTTAGCATCCTAAATGTTAACCCGAGTAATAAGTTATCACTACACAAAATTTAGTTAAAATTGGTTCAGTACTTTTCGTGTGAAACGCACTCATCGATTTCGCTAAGATACTGTTTGATTATATGTATAGATAAAAGTAGATATTGCGAGCGTACCTTAGGAGATAGACAAGAGTTAGAGTTCAGATATCCCCCCTTATGTTAATCTGTCGCGCTTGAGTAAATCCCAAAATCCCCTCTTGGGCTCCCCTACCATTAGCGGCGAGTCGAGCGCAGGTAAGCGGCAAGCGCATATTGTTTGCGCATCGAAACGTACGATGTCCAATAAGTTTGAATCGTACTGTACAATGAATTCAACTCAGATAAGTTTAAGACTATAATAATGTGACAAACAAAAATTAATTTCAATTGATAAAAAACTAATTAACTTAAAATATTTAAGCAGTAATTACTAAGATGAGAGATCTGATAAATAAGTAACTACGTCAGGGCTCCAGCGACAGCAAGGTCTGACCTTCTAATAAATCTGCGCGCGCGCAGTTTATATGTAACAGTGAATACAGTGTGACGTACAGCAAAATGTTTAGGTGAGAATTTATTTGATCGTAACTATTTTATCTAATCTATATTTAGCGAATTTATTAAAAAATGTGTTTTTTATATTGTTTCGGAACAAGAAGCTAAATTTAAGTTATTCAGAGAATGCCTACTGTCCTTGCAAAATTATTAGAATAGAAATCAATCGTAAAATGGTGCTGCATTTTATCATATTTTACAAATTGCAGATATTAAAAATCTCTTAATTTTTTTTTTGATATCTTAAGCTAAGCTATATTACTGAGAGCGAGTAGGTTCATATTTTTTATTAAAAAAGTAAGCCGGGTCATTCAAAATTACTTTGAAAGTAATATTGTATTATGTTTTTAAGGGCGATTTTTTTTATGAAATCACCATATTACTTACTATAATAATAATAATAATTAGCTTAAAAAATCATTAAAATCGATTAATAGTCGCTGAAAAAAAAAATCTATGTATACATATTATACATGTAAAAAATATGCACAACGTTCGTCAAATAAATAATTTTATATCAAAATACGACATCCATTTAAGTAATTTATAATTTTGCAAATTCAATAAATATTATGATTTATGAATCAATAGTATTGTAATGTAAGTATAAGTAGGTATATCGAATATATAATATGCTGACAAAAGTAGATAAGTGGTGTTTTAAGACGCCATAAAACTTTAACTAGTCTTACCTTTAGCTATACCTACCTACTATAATGCTCTTTGATGAACTTGTTATATTTCTACTCCCCAATGTTTAAAAACATTGAAATAAGAATTTTATCTTCTCATTCTGCATTGCCTTAATATTTTTAGTGAAGCTGACTTAAAACTGCTTACACGTACTTGCATAAAATCGTGTTTAACAGGTCTTAAACCTAACCATATATGTATGTATGTTTTCTTTAATAATGACCCGCACATGCTTTGGCGCGCCTCAAAGTAACTTGTTGGACAAACCAACTAAATACAGAACTATATATACAACATAGCCTATGACAGTTTTCCGTCAATACACTAACACTATCACACCTATTTCCAATAATTTATAATTACCAATATAGGGATTTACTCGTACCCTTGCTCCACTGGGATCGGCTTGTCCCTAGGCGCCCTTTGCATTTATAATACACGACCCACACTCGTATCACTTGAAGACTTGATTATAAAACATGGATTTGTCTTTACTTCCTTTAGAATATATAAAATGTGTATATTAAACTTACTAGAGGCTCGTCCTCGCTTCGCTTGAGTTTGCCTCTAGAAAAAAAAACAAACCTATCCCACTGGAACCATACATTTTTCCGGGATAAAAAGTAGCCTATGTACTATTCCAGACGATGATCTATCTCTGTGCCAAAGTTCATCCAGATCCGTTCAGCCGTTCTGGCGTGAAAGAGTAACAAACATCTATACTCACAAACTTTCACATGTATAATATTCAAAATACGGATATGACACAACAACACATAAACCTTCCGGAAGAAATCGTTTACATGATAGTAAAATTGCAATCAAATCCGAGCCGTTGAATACATAAATTAAGCCCACAAATAGGATGAAAAGCTACATTATTTTATATTAATTATTTATTAATTTAAAGATGAAAATATCTATTGTCTAGAAAATATTTAGAATTCTCTGCATAATAAAATTGTCCCAGCATTGTTAGTGACATGTTGTCTATGTATTTGAACAAACGCATTATTGATGTTAACTAGGTAATACCTACCTACTTCCTAGGTAGAAAATTACATTGAAATGCATAGTTTTTCATTACTTTAATGGCTGCCTCAGGGAATCCTTTAGTGTTTAATTATTCCCATATATTTTTGTGTACGTAATAAATACTAATTAACTAACATTTTTTTTTTTCATTGAAGATACATAATATGAAACATTTTCTTCATGCAAATAAATAACCGTCGTAAAAGTTTGAACCCCTAATTAATAATATCATTCAAACAATGATCGAAAATGCAATTCATATTCACGTTCCACCCTTGCCACAAGATGTATGCATATAATTTCATTACGTCTCCCACTGCATTATTCCTTCGTCAACTTTATTTTCATCTTTTTAGTTAGTTTTTATGTACACATACATGTTCATAGACTGATAAACAAACACAAGGTGCGTAACCTTTGCGTCGCGCAGTCTGGTAAAAGTAAGCAAATATACAGACAATAACCAAAGGTTATATAATAATAACCAAAGGGTATACATATATGTATAGAAATAATAAATATGTAAGTAAGCCGAATCTGTACACTAAATAATAAATATTTTATGGAAACTCTTATTGAATTAGACATTATTATCGATACAGAGGCCGAATCTATAGTTTTTAGAATTTTTGTCTGTCTGTCTGTTACCACATCACAGAAAAACCACTGGAGGGATTTTGATGAAATTTGGTTTGGTGTTAGCTGGTTATCCGGGTCAACATATAATATACTTATTACCGCAGGAAAAGTCTCATTTCTGAGAAAAAATACAAAAACTGAAATGTAAGAGTATAATCTTTATATATATAATTCTTCTGTGAGTGTGTATGTCACTGAACTTCTCTCAAACGACTGGACCGATTATGATGAAATTTTTTTATGTGTGTTCAAGGGGATCTGGGAATGGTTTAGATTCACAATTTTGTCCGCTGGACAATGTTTTTTTAATTAATTTTTAATTTATTAGTAGTTGTTGATTTTGGTATGTTTTACATTGGATCCGACAGACGGCGCTACCATCGCAGTGTCAAATTTTAAATAATATTCGAATTTTAATTTTAGTCTGTCCCGACAGTTAGCGCTGCGATCAAATTAAAAAAAGTTTTGTTATCATTGTAGACAGGACAACGTCTGTCGGGTCCGCTAGTAATATGTAAAACTTAAGAATTTGGTTTTTCATCAGAACGCGGGCGGAGCCGCGGGCAATGCTAGTAGGGACTAAAGTCAGAAAATAAGGTACATAGTTCCATTACAACGTAGCAAACCATAGTTTTTTATATAGTCAATCATCATAAACTTCGATTTTTATAGGCCTTTAAGTGCCAATCTATGGGCATTAGAATGAAATTGGAATATACGCTGATATATATAATAAATATGTACATATTAAACACATAACATTTGAATTATTATTGAATGCTCATAATTCTTTAGCATTATCGTTACCTTGATATTAACGCTACCTCCTAGCTAGTAGGTACCCACGTACCGACTAGCTAAGACCGAAGTATATCTATTATCTTTACAAAAACTTGAACCCACAAAACTACAGGACCTAAATCATATTTGTATGAGTCATACAGGCACATTTTAAACGGATTTATTAAGCTTTCCCTGTATGTTTTGGGTCTTTAGTAATTAAATTTTATCCCTTTCCTGTTGATAGATTGATCTGATCGATTTGGTACACACCTTTAGTTCTGATGACGATACAATTGAATATATTCAGTATCATTGTAAATCCGAGAAGGCCGCCGCCACAAAATGGTGGATTACATATTTTTCCACGACCCCCTCAATTAGAAAACAGTGCATGGCGGATCATAGAGTTTAGACAGTTTATAATTAAAAAAACTAAAACATATCTTCTGGCATAGCGTAACTTGAATAAATATATAACACCCCACGATTTTATTTTTGAGTGTGATCAATGCCCTAAATTGATGAGACCGAGAGTGGTGAGATCACTGGGACCTAGGACCTAACTAATATTTTTTTAGCTTTCAGTACATTATCTATACCATTATTATCTTTCTTTTCAATAAAACCGTTAAACCTAAAAAATATTTTTTACCTATTTTTTTCGGTTTTCCTTTTCTTTTTATCAATTTAACTTAACCAAAGACATTGGATGTGCCAAATTCACCGAGACCTTTGACATGGCCTTAGTCCATGTAGTGATTGCATTACTATTCTAAAATTGTCAACTGTTGGATGACCGTGAATGGTCACACAAATATATAAGTACTGGTGAATGACGATTTAATCATCGGAAATGTGTGTCATTATGCAAATCTATTGGGTTGTATTTCCTCAATGCAACATGGCATTATTATATTTTCCTTTTACAATTCCGTATCCAAATGGCTGTTTGTTTTTTATCGTCTTTACAATGGAGTGTTCTGATGAACTTTTTGATTTCGTGCCACCGCCACGCTTCTATCATCGCAATCTTCGCCGTCGGGTTGGATGTCATCCACACATTTTAGATGCTTGGCATCCTACAAATGTACGTGTATCTCGTTCTTTTTTACCTCGCACGTGCGAAGTGAGGTGGAATGATCTTCCTCCTGAGGTTTTCCGTGAGCGCTATAACATGGGGGTCTTCAACAGCCGTGTCTTCAGGTACCTTAAAGGCCGGCAATGCTTCCGCAACTCGTCTTGTGTTGCAGATGTCTATGAGCGGCGATAGCCACTTACCATCTGGTGGATCGTTTGCTCGTTTGCCCGTTTTTTCTATATAAAAAAAGGCTACAACGTAAACCTTATAATTTCGCCACATCCGTCTGTCTATCTGTCAGACAAAATGCTTCAAGATATGAATAACTAATAGGTAAATATGACACGGTCTGAACTTAAATTATAGTTAAAATATTATACACCTATTTGTGATGTATTTACCTATACATATCGAAATAGATTTATTTTATTATTAGCGACTCACACTCGCTTCGCTCATGTTCGTCTCTAGGTTTTTTTATTTTTTTGTAAATTTATCCCGATGTTTTATTTGCGTTGAGTTGAGTTGTTATTCTGCTATTCAGAGTGAAGACAAATCCAACAAAATAAAGATCATAAAAATCGGTCCAGCAGTTCTCGAGTTATAAGTGTTGTAACAAACCCGACTTTGTTTTATATATATAGTATAGTTAACGCGCAAATGGACAAGAATACGATAAAATATTTTAAATAAAATATTTCTTATTTACATTTCATATTATGCAACATCAGTCGTGTAAAAAAAACATAAATCATACATTTACAACGTGGGTATTAAATGTAATTTTTGATAAATATTTCGTTCCTTATTCAAACGCAAACAATTGCTTAATCCTACTGCAGTAAATGTACGATAGTAAAAGCTTGTCATTTTATTATGATTGCTCTTTTTTACCTGACTACAGCTTCGCTGCTACTACCCAAACTGTACTGTACGTATGTATTTATGTCCGACGCCGACTCTATGTTCCCTTGTATTTACAATTACTACTTTGGCGCAACTGATTTAGATGATTCATACGTCGTTAGATTTGTCTCGTCTTAATACTATACAGTTATTTCGCTCGGGTTCACCTCTAGTAAAATAAAAACAAATCTATCCTACTGGAACCGCACATTTTTCAAAATTAGGTCCCAGTAGTTTTTGTGCTATTCCAAACTATACCTAATCTATCTCTGTGCTTTTCATCTAAATCCGTTCAGCCGTTCTAGCCTGATTGAGTAACAAACATCCATTCAAACATGTAAACTTTCACATTTATAATATTAGTAAGATAAACATCAAAATGGCGGATCTAAGGCACCAATTTATCTCTTGAAAAATTGTTTTTTACCCAAATCAATCGAGTGGAGTATCAAAATACAGGTTCATAAGAGGCGATTACAAAAATTTATACAAATTGCATGTTTAAAAATAACTTTTGAATAAAACTTGTTAAATAAAATTAAAAATGTCTAGCTGGCAGAAACTAAAAAGCAGCAAATAAAAAAAAAACCCCAACTGCGCAGTAGGCGACTTAAAAAGATGAGAACAAGTTGACGAAGGAACATAGTATTACGCAGTCTAGTAGAGCTCGAGTATTTCTTATATTACAAGAGAGTTATTGTTAAACAATTTCTCTCATGTTAAGTCTTAAAGGAGGTTCTCCGCTTAGATTATTTATATAAATATTAATATTATACTAAAGAGAAACTTATCTCAATAATATTTGATAAATTTGAGCCACATCTATAATATATGTATTTTATACCCTGATTAGATAACTATCTGAACTGAACAGGTTGTCAAAATAGGATATATTACTCCGAATAAAAAGTCGCTACATCATGCTCTACATTTACTAAAGATATCTATTGAGACATTTGTACGAATTCCTGCAATAAAATAGATAATAGAGTTGTAAAATAAACCCAAGACGTAACAGTACTTAAATTAATCTACTTATTGAATAATAAATATAGCTTTAATATCGTGTGATATTCTTATCAGTAACAATAAAATAATTTTATTATACTGAGGGTTTAGTATGAATGAATGTTTGCTTACTACTCAATTTTCAGTAAATAATTTTAACATATCGTCGTCTTAGTGCTTATTTGCCCAAACGACCGAAAGAATTTTTCATACAGAATTATTAACTTCTAAATATCAATTCTTAGTCTAGTAGTGTGTCTAGTATAAAGTCATTGATATGTAAAACTATACATACACAGTTCCTAACAAATATCTCTTAAAAAACGTTAAATTATAAACCAAAGAATAGAACCTAAAAATCGTAAGAATATTAAAAAGTATAAAACAAAGTCGCTCTTTTTGTCTTAAAATAACGACTTTGTTTTCTTAGATTATACATATAAATAATCTAAGTTTGTTTTATACTTTTAATATTTAGTTATAATCTAAATTAATATTGCTGCTATCTCAAAAATTGAGATTAGCAAGTCACCGGGTAGGTCAAGGAGAGTTCTATTTTTGCAGTGTTACAGTTTGGTGTCCTATTTATTAATATTATTCCGAATTTGCGACCTTGAGCGACCGCCGCTCAACGACAATTTTGAATAGTTTCAAAAAACAATTTCACGAGAATATCTACTCTCTAGCTTCAACTAGGTTATAAATAGTCATTACCTACACAAAATTATTGAACATAAAATTTTCTGCAACTTGTGTGAGAAATATTTTTTGATCAGATACCTATGTATATTTTATTTTAAAAGTTACAACAACGCAAAGTTAAGCGCAGCAAATTTTTATAATTCACAAAATCGCTACATTTTTTCTCAATTATTGTGTTTTAAATATCTTGCATGCAAAGTTTACATTTATATGAGGGACAATTTAACAATATTTTGTACATTCAATGTAATATAAATAAAACTTAAACTTTTAGATAATTTTAGAGATTAAATTTGGTACCTAATATGAACTACGAAGCTAAATTTAATAATTATTAACAACAGACTAACAAATATATATGATATCTTGAACTAAAATAGATATATGGTACTTACTGTGTAAGATCTATATAATATTATGTATTTTTAGTCGTTCAATCTTGATATCATAGGTACGTTCCCTCAAAAAAGGTCCAACTAATTGAACATGTTCTTTAAAATATTTTTATTACCCGAATGCGACGAAGCCCTAAGGAGAGTTTTGTGTTTGACCTGTATACATATGTATAATTATAATATATAAATTATAATTAAAATATTAAAACATAGTATTATGCAGTCGGAAACAAAATACACGCAGCCATTCAAGTACATATCTATATATTATGTAATAATACTATGTTCCTTCGTCAACTTGCTCTCTTCTTTTTTATTTATTTTTGTACTTTTATAAATATAGAGTTAAAAAATGATGAAATTATTTTACGTGATGGGATACAAATGTAAATTTTTTTTGGAGCAATTTGTTAAACGATGCGCATTTTTTATTTTTATGTCTCACATCAGAATACTTCATAAATGTCAGTGCCACATTTGCTGAAGTGTACAAAATTATTATTGTGATTCTTTGTTCTGTTAAAAAAATCATTATTCAAAATAACCAAATATACAGTAAACACCAAATATATACCTAAGTATTACTGCAAAATATTGATATATTTTTATTAAAATGATTTATTAATATCCTGTAACAACGCTTGCGTGATTATATATTCGTACGGTATGTATACATATACTATTTACATAACAATTAGCTACATGTCTAAACCAATTCATATCTGCAGTCGTTTATCGAATTATCCTTACTTCTGTCTGGAGTATAAGGAAATAAGACACTATATTTTTTATCATTTTATTTTTACCATACATTCAATTATATTTTAGGTGTTAAAAATTCCTTTGGATAGATAAATTACATAGTTATCACATCGTCTGCTAAAATAATTTATAAATACGTTTACTTTTCTATTACACCACCTGTTTAGCCTAAAGGGAAATTTTTGCATTATCTTTTGATAAGGTGTTTACGTAACGACGGAGCAGGACTCTACTCAAATTTACATTCTTATTAACAATACATGGGCTATTAATTATATACGTTGATTTGTCATTACAACTGCTTAAATTATTCACACCTGCTTTGTTGTAATCTGTCTCGTAAGTATGTCTGTTATTCTCCAAATTATATGTAGAATACTATATGGTAAACCTTTACAAACAATAAGTATCTATAATATGCATGAGGCTAATACGATTTTGTTTTAGTACTAGGAACGTGCCTGATTAGTTCTATATGTACTATATCCGAAGGTCGCAAATTTAAATCTAGCGAATATTAGAATTAAGTAGGCTGTATATACATATATGACATTATTATAACAACTTATATGGAAATAAGACAACGAAATATTATATAAGTAGGATTAAGATCTTTGTTTATTTACTCAAGAAAGTTATAAAAAATATATTTGAGGTAAATTAACTACTCATAAATGTTTCATAATGATAATAATTTTCATTATTTTTATTTTGTATTCTATTGTATTCAGCCCTTTTTAACGTCCTACTACTGGGCACGGGGCTCCCTTCAATACGAGGGGATCAGGCCATAGTCCACCACGCTGGCCAAGTGAGGGCTGGCGGACTTCACGTGTCTTTCAAAAACTTACTAGGTTTTCTCAGATATACAGGTTTCCTTATGATGTTTTCCTTCACCGTAGGACAAGTAGTAATCATGTTGGTAATGATTCGCACATGAAATTATCACAGGTGCGAGGACCAGGAATTTGAACCCGCTTCACTTGATCTCCCAAGCGAGCACGTTACCAATGGGCTACCACTGGCTTATTTTTATATTATCTTACTACAATTACGTCATCTACGTCCTAATATTTTTCAATAAGACTTATTCCAATATAAACCATAACCTATAAAGGATTTGCTAATAATTCTTAGTCTCAACTGGAAAATTTAAATTGTTGTTGGAGAATCCCTCATTTCGGGCAAACATTTACTTACTTAGCTTTTAATAGAAATCTTAGGTTTTACCAACTCGAAAATTCTAAATATTATCGTAGATCAAACTGTCGTTGTCACATATGTTATATTCATTGTTGGTCATTCATTTTTAGGTCACGGCGTTGTCTTCTAGTGTTCGCGTTGGCTGCGCTGGTCGCTGGCGCCCTGGTAGCGGTGCTGGTGCTGCAGCCGTGGGCCGGCCGCGACCAGATACGCTACCGTCGCGCCGCTGTTGCTGCCAATGGATACGAGTGTGCGTCTATTGGACGGTAAGTTAAGGATCTCTCACCATATTACTTAACTACAACTTACCACTGCCTCGCTTGGTTCTAGGTGCCTTAAACAGTCTATATGTTACTCTATTTACCAAATTTTATCCTAATCGGTCTTAATTTTTCAGCGAGAAGTACCATACATACGAAAACCCATTGCATTCAATTGTAATAGTATTCCAATTACTTTAATTAAAGTATGTACAAAGCTATCCCTTTTTTTAGCCTTTTATTAGAAGTACAAAGTGTATGTAAAGTTAATCTATTCAGGTCCGGGGTAGTATTTGAATATATGTACATCGTATGTATGTATATAACTAATATATCAAATGGGCATGCTCATTTTTTATTTATCTGTGAGCATGACATGACTAATGTCCCAACATATACATATATATATATATATATAATATAGTATAATATAAAACTACCAATTTAATGAGGAGTAGGTATTATAGTAAGCTTATTATTTGAACAATTACAGTGAAATACTTGAAAGAAATGGATCAGCAGTGGACGCAGCCATAGCGACTCTGTTTTGTGAAGGTATAGGATGCGCACAATGTATGGGACTCGGAGGCGGATTCCTAGCTACGATTTACGACGCCAGCACGGGCCGAGTACGAGTTCTCAACGCCAGGGAGCGAGCACCAGCAGCGACTCACGAGGACATGTTCGCGAACGCGTCTTCAACCATAGGCGGGTTGGCTATGGCCGTGCCTGGCGAGCTCAGAGGGTATGGCGCGCTGTACCGGGAATTCGGACGCCTGCCGTGGGCAGAGCTGGTCCGTCCTACGGCAGACCTGTGCCGTCGAGGGCACCGCGTCAGCGAATACATGGGCCGCGTCTTGAAAACCTACAGCAGCAACATTCAAGCAGAACCATCAATGAGGTATATATACATTTGATTATTATTTGATTTTCAGCAACACTTCATATTATAAATTAAAGTCCTCCGCCGCGCTGAGTTTGTGTTTGTTTGGACTAAACTCAAAAACTACTTTACAGATTGTCATACGGTTTTTACAAAAAGGAAGAGGGATTCTTTAGAAAGATTATAGCCTATAATTTATAAATATATTGCGATGAAAGGCTACCGGTATGATGATATTTTTGTATTAAGTAAAAAAAACTCCTTTCTGAAAATATCTGTATTTATTATAAATGCGAAGGGCATCTAGGCTCTTTGCTTTAACTAATTTATGAATTTGCACAACACTTTCATCCATATTAGGGTTTTATCTATGCAGAAAATATTTACCATGGACATTTGATATTTTTTCTACTTTGTTTTGATTTTATAGCGAGCTTTACGTGAACCCAGAGACAGGCGAAGTGTGGAACGAGGGCGACATGATCCGCGAGCCCACGCTAGCGCGCACGCTCGACGTGATCGCCGAGGAGGGCCCGGAGGCGATTCACAACGGTTCCTTAACAACAGCGTTCGTGCGCGACATACAGAACTTCGGAGGTATCATCACAGAGGACGATCTCAGGAGTTACCAGTAAGTAAGCCATTGAAACATGCGCTGTGCCTTATATGTAAGTTAAAACAACAAGCTGGTTTTAGTTGGAGTTCGATCTGCGTACTTCTTAAACGTCTATTTTAAAACATGGACGCCGGGGGTGCAAGAGGGTACACTTGTACCCACCTGTCATGAAGAAAAAACATATATAGAAAAAGTTAAAGAAAAAAAATTATATTAGTAAAACGTTTAAATATAGGTATCTACGATAAAAGATGATAAACAAGATATGAATAAAAATTATAGTGTAATACATTTAAAGATTAATTAGTAGTTTAATGTGAAGAATCAAATGCACGCCCCTGGAAATAATGCTGCCACCGCCCATGTGTACATATTATGTATTTCCCTATTATGATTCCGTAACTATCATTTACCGCTTTGTACATACATACAAACTTATCACAAAGTACGTGACTTTTTATATATAATAAATAAATATTTTATTTTGTTTTTAATCTTACAACGTTTGGTGCTACGGAATTCTCGGTGCGATATCAATCTATAATCCCTCGCCAATCGCCATGCCTTTGTTTTAATAAATTACTAGCGACTCACCCTCGCTTCACTCAGGTTCATGCCGAGGTACGTTTTGACTATTAGTATGGAATAGATTTTTTATTTTTCTCTTCGTGATTTTTTCCGATATTTTAATAGTTATTCTGCTATTCGGGGTGAAGACAAATCTAACAAATCAAAGACCATAAAAATCGATCCAGCAGGCAAATTTTTAGGGGCGGCAAAATTCGGAGGGTGGAAAAATTTTTTTCATCGCGTTATCAAAAATACTTTTTTTATTTTCCAAAAAATGAATACTTAAAAAAATTAACTAGTACATTTTTAGAAAAATTAAAATTATTTATAAATTATTTTTTTGTATTTTTCAAAAAATTAAAAATTCTAAAAAATAAAACTTTATCGAAATTTTACCCATTTTTTGCAAAATTTCAATAATAGGGCGGCATTTTTTACTATGCCCAGGGGCGGCGCTAAGATTAAATCTGGTACTGTGTATATACTAGATATAACCAGGATGTCATACAATAAATAACTGGTTTAACATCATTAACAGCATACACTTTTTAAGCATAATCCATACTTTTAAATATTATAAATGTGAAAATGTGTTTCTTTGTTTATATTATTATTTAATATTTATACTAATATTATAAAGAGGCAGAGTATGTTTATTTGCTAGGACGAGTCGCTAGTATGACATAAATAAAAAAATACTACTTTCTTAGATTACGCGAATATTTGACTTTGTAAATAAAACTATCTTTTCGAATTTTTCGCGAAAAATCTAAAAAGATAGTTTTATTTAAAAAAATACTACTTTGTATGTTTTAATACCTACAACATAAGGAAATAGAATTTCGATCAAAGTAAAAAATTACAATAAAATATAATAAAAATTGAAGACAGAGTGAAATATCATTCTGTTAAATGTATCAGGCCAGAATGGCAGGAGCCAATCGCAGTGCAACTGTCAGACGAGCACACGCTTTACTCGGTACCTCTGCCCGGTTCGGGCTCCGTACTGGCGTTCATGCTCAACCTGATGCGGGACTGGATCGGCACCGGCACGAACGTGACCATGGACACCAACCTCTATTGGCATCGCGTCGTCGAAACTTTCAAGTACGCGTACGCAAAGCGCACAGGCCTCGGCGACCCTTCACGCTCTAATTCTAATTTACCATACGATATTAAAGAGGTGAGTGGTGAAATTACAGCATTTTACTCTTTTCTGTGTTATAGATTGTATAATTGTACGTATTTACACAAAAATAGAATGTTACAACGTAAAAATCTAAACTAATTATTTAATTTTAACGGTGTATTTTACAAAGTTCTTTAAAATTGTTCAATGCCCTCATACTTATGTCGCACATACTTTATATTAAGTCATTGTGGTATACAATAAGAAAAAAGGTCAACAAAGCAACGAGCATATATGGTTATAAAATACTAATGCCCGATTTCATCAACAACCCATAAGCTACCACCTACGTATGACTATGGGACCCCTAGCTTAAAATTCCCCTAAACTAGCCCCTAAATTAAATTTCGTATTACCATCGTCTTTAAGCCCATATTTCGAGCACCTAAATTTAGGGGGCCTATTAACATTTAGGTGACCCCTAACCGTCGGTGAAACAGAAACTGTCCCCTAACAACCCCCTAACCATGCTTAGGGGATCCCTTAAACTTCCCCCTCAACGTGCGTTCACCTTGTCGTGGTGGGGGGGCTCAGTAGTGCCCGGCAACCCAACCGGGCGCGAAGCCAAGAAACGCACAGGGAGGTGGCCCACTTCGGTGGGCGGTGGGAGGTGGCCATCTTCGGAGGGCAGTGTACCATGAGGGTTGCTCCTGGTACTTCTCTGATAGCAGAGTGGACTGTGGAGCAACCCCGTGGTTCTTGTGGTCTGCTTCGGCAGACCTGCCGTCGGGGCGTCGTAGTTGAATGCGTAAGCGATCCTGCGACGCCCCATTAAGACGGGGGAAGGTCTTGTTGGGTTTTAGTGGGTAGTACTGGCTTCGCTGGTGAGTCCCACACTTCGTGCGTAAATGCATTTCCCAACGTTAAAAAAAAAAAATAAAAAAAAAAATAAATCCCTTAAACTTAGGTTACGTTGGTGAAATCGGGCATAAATCTTGGAATGAAAATTAATAAACTTTAAACTCTTCATATCTTTGTTATGACATTTAATATGTCGGTCGGCCTAGAAGTTTCATATAATATCTTCGTGTCCTCGTCACAAGATATCAGAAGCTCACAAGCTTAAAAGCCACGTTTTTTTTTTGTAAATATCTATATATAGTTTTATATCTAATATAGTTTTCTTTGTTCAAGTTAGATTTAAAGTAAATAGTAAGAGGCCGTTCATAAAATACGTTCTCATACAAGGGGAGGGGAGGGGTCTGGCTGAGTGTGACAAGATGTGACAAGGGGGGACGGGGGGCTATACAGCAACGTGACGTTCGCCGTTTACAATTTTTTGACATGAGCGCTAGCTCTGTGGCGCGACTCTAGCGGCGTTGCGATCCGTCACAACTGGTTTTTTTGTTTTTCCAATACTTGAAAGAGTAACGTTTCCACGCACCCTGCACTCTCGATTCAGTAACAAATGAAAATACTGTTTCTCATGTATTTATTATTATTTTATTCCTTCATTCGCCATTTCGCAGTGAACTAATACAGACGCTTTTTTCATCTTCTCAATTTAATACTCTTCAGTTAATTACTTTATCCCATCATATGTGGTTATATGTTCGTTATGAAAGATATTTATTAATTTATTTAAATTTTATTATAATAACTAAATAAATATTTTTAATTTTCAGAATTTGTGTACTATCACTTAGAATTTATCATACTCAGCAGGTGGGGGGGGAGTCTGTCTTAGTTTTTGTGACGAAATATTTCTAGGGGGGGGGGGTCACAGAAAGTGTGACACAGCGTGACAATAGAGGGGGAGGGGGTCAAAAAAAGCTGATTTTAGTGTGACGTATTTTATGAACGGCCCCTAAGGGGCTTAAACAATAATTCATATAAAAAATTGTTCATCTCAAGAATGAATGGCAAAGTGTAAGAAGCGCTTAGGTTTACCTATATACAGTTTTTTTACGTTGGGAAATGCATTTACGCCTTCTATTTACATACATACAGGTTATATGGGATTCAGCGGCTAGAAAAGCCGGTATTGCCCACTAAAACCCAACAAAACCTCCCCCGTCTTAATGGGGCGTCGCAAGATCGCTTCCGCACTTAACCACGAAACCGGCTGTTGGCTACACTGTTAACTAAAATTATGAACCACCATAAACCATCTCAATATATACAACGTATGATTTATTTTCAGTTAGAACGGAATCTAAGTGACGCCGCCTGGGCACGGTCATATCGAGCTCTGATAGATGATACACGAACTTTCTCCGACTGGAGCCATTATGGAGCTCTGTTCGAAGGTGCCGATGACCATGGAACTGCTCAAGTGGTAGTCATTGCACCTGACGGCAGCGCTGTATCCGTCACCAGTACCATTAATTATATGTAATTATGATGTTATTCGCCTACATAGCCTTAATAGTTTTTAAAGATCTTATGTATCCCAATTAATACATACTTAATGGTTAAAAATAAATTAACAATATTTTTTATACTATGATACTTTATAATAAAATTATATTATTTGATACATTTCTTGATTTATTTGAGACAAATGATAAATTGCTGCTTTAATTCCTTTTTTTTATAATTTAATCTGAAAAATTAAATTCAATTAAATTATTATTTAGTTAGACTATGTTCTCGGCTCACCTAACTCTATAATTTTGTTATGATATGTTTTTCGAAGGGACTTTCACGGAGGGAGGTGAATGATCTTATGGGTTCCATGAATTCATCGGTTGTACGGATTCCTAAAACATACTAATGGGATCCATATTCATTTACCGACTTAATGTCATATATTTAATACTTTCTCGTGGTTTTATAGCTGGGGAGCGCAGCGTCGGTCCACAAGTCTCGGAATAATGTTAAATAATGAAATGGATGACTTTGCGATACCAAATCGAGAGTCTGCATATGGAATGCCTCCTTCACCAGCAAATATGCTAGCTCCCGGACTACAGCCGTTAAGTTCAATGGTTCCGACCGTGGTGCTATCGAGAAACCGTACTGTGGACCTTGTCATTGGTGCAGCCGGTGGTACTAAAATTACTACGCAAGTTGCTTTGGTATGTTGTACATATTTACTATTTAATCTATATTATATCATATTTTAAACTGTAGAGAGATCGTGTTTTGTACATTTATTTAATGTTAACTTCATTTTTAATTAATTTTCAAAACATTAAAAAACTCATTGGCCATTTGGTGCTGGGATTAAATATTTTTTTTATTTTTGTATCAATGCAAAATCAATACTTATAATTATTTAATATTCTAAAAAATATTACGTTGTTAACATTTAATGTACGTACGGGTAATATAATTCGTTTAAATGGTTCTTTTTAAATATTTTTTTTAAAAATCTAATCTTAACCAACTCCCTGTCCCATGAGTCATATATGAACATTTCGATTGTTTAACTATTGTGTCTATATTGCGGACAGTTGAAAAATAATAATCATTTTAAATCAGGTCACAATGCACACAATCCTGGAAGGAGGTGGCCTCCATGAAGTCATACAACGTCCACGGCTGCATCATCAACTTCTTCCAATGGAAATAGAGCATGAAAGTGACTTTGATCCGGTAAATGTACTTCATATTCTCTCTGAATAGTACTTTTTAATACTCTGTAAAACTCTGCATTAGAATAAACTTTATCAACCTGCAATATATGGCGCTGACGTCCGGCGTTTCGTTACTCAAAAATTGGATTTACATGACAACACTTCGCACGTTTTTAGAGTTTTTTTTAATATAAATGTAGATAGACAAATATGATTAGATGTTCACTCACACCTAGTATTTTTATTCTTGTAATGGACAAACAGACTGAGTTCTTACGTGATTTATACATAATTTTTACAGAACAAGTTTTATAAAGTAAATAAACTATTATTATATATATACATTGTATAGGTACATAAAACTATTCATATTTTTTTGCTTATTTTATTAGTTTTTGATTGAGACCATAAAACATACTTTCCTCGGAAATGGCTAAACATTTCAATTTCATTTTTTTTATTTATTATATGTATTTCGAAGATTAAATTCCCTTAGTTTCATGGAAATCAAAAGATTATTCTAGAAATTAAAAATAAAAAAACAATAAAAAGTTAAAAACATATCGAAAACTTTGAGTTTATTGTAAAAGTGTTATTTAAAAAAGTTCTAGATTTTTACTAGACCTACAAATTTTGGTAGAAAACATTTTTCGATAGAACGTTACTGTAAGCCGGAAATAGAAAAAAAAAACTATTTTTCAACGCTTTGCGTCCCCCCATTACTCGGGGGTAGGTGGGCATGTGGGGCATATTGCGAATTTCTATTCTTTATATACCTATTCTTCTATTCTTTATATTTTAAAATTATAAAACTTCATGTTTATTAAATTACAATTTTTTTTTTCTCTTAAAAATAAACGGATTCCGATTGCTCTATAGTGTATGTAAAGAAAATTTACCAACACTCTTATAATTATATGTTTTGTTACCCTATACTTATATGTTTTATATTTTTTTTCCAGAGCATAGTATCATCGTTACGAGCTAGAGGTCACGCGACTACAGAGCGCGGGCCCACGGCGGGCTTCGCCGCCATGAATGGTGCCATGCGTGAAAGCGATGGCTATTTAGTCGCGAAAACCGATAAAAGAAGAATTGGCAGTGTAGACGGATTTTGATCTCACATAAAATGTTATGGTTTATAACTTATCTTTCTTTGACTTTCAGTGATAGCGTTTTATAGTTTAACAAATTTCCTGTGATCTGTGATTTTTAGTACCTAATGCCACAAGAAATCGCTAATATCGACACCAACACTAGATAATGATATCGTATATAATTCATCTGAAAATGTTGTATTTGTACAAACACTTTTTGACACCAGAAAAAACAAATGAACGTTAATATATACTTTATGTCGGCGGCCAAACTCGATTTCAGGCCAAACTGATTTGTCCTAGGCCAAACCGGTGCATCCAAAATGTGTCAGGATATACTAATTTAGCCCAGTCCAATCTAGTTTGACCTACTTAAATACTTTAGGTTTAACTAGTTGGCCTACTTCGAACTGATTGAAGTAGCATATCACTTATGATGTTGGGGGTTCTGGGTTTGGAATAAAAAAAAGACCTAACGAGAGGCGGGAACTACGGTAACATTTACTTATTTTCACTAGCGTTTACTAGCGTCCGCCCGCATAGTACATTAATATAGGTACTAAAACCTTCTCCGAAGCACGCTGCATCTTATGGTATGAGTATTATTCTGATCGGTTCAGTATTTATCGTAGTATAACCGAACAAAAAAATCGGCTCTCCATTTATTAATATAAATAATAGTGTTTTTCTGTAGGCAATGAAATGATATGAATAGAATACGGCGGCTGTTAATTTTTTTTTATTAATTTGACATACCTACAAATAATATGTGCAATAAATTGCAATAAATACATTTAAATTATTATTAACAACCGCACTAAAAAGGAAATTGTCAAATTTTACTTAATCCTCAACATCATATTCTACTGTACGTAATATTACATCAAACGCATGAATGATATGATGCTTTATTTTTTTATAATAAAAATATGTTGTTAAAAGATGCTTCGACGATATTTGTGTTAATAATGTTAAATAAATGATTGTTTTACTACATAGTTTTATTTTTTAATATATAAGTTTTTTAAAATCGTCTATAACTCAAGTTTTCATCACGATCGATATTTTTTCCTCACAGGTATAATTAATATATATAAAAGGTATAACTCTCATAACATATTATTAGTACCTAATTAAAATGACGATTTTTAGACGTTAATATCTCAATAATCGTTTGAGCTGTATTTATGAAATTGGGGATTCTAGTTAATCTAAGGGGATTTGATAAACGAACCAAATTTCATGAGTTTATGTTAAATAAATTTAGAGTTATTATGAGGTGAAAAGTGGCTCCAAATGGTTCGTGTAAATATACACACGGTGCTGCGTTGCCAGTTCCTTTGGCTTGAACTTGGTTACGCTACCGCGTGTCTTAATATCGGAATAAATATCTTGAACATAGACATCTAACTATACTAAAGGCATATTTAACGGCTAACTTCACACTGTAGCCTAAATCCGTCACTATTATAGTTTGAGTCGATGATGATTGAAAGTTTATATGGTAACAACAAAGTCAAAAAATGATAGTTTCAGAAATTTAGAAGCTGCCAATTAAGTTCAGACATTTATATGGTTAAGCATATTAAACAGCGCTTAGATTACACTGGGCGCGCTTCTGCCGGATGCCGGCGCACCCTGGTAACAGCTAAACTCAGCTACTTTTTTTTTTAACAGTTTGGGTTCAGCACAAAAAAAGTCCATGAAATTGTGAACAAAATCCGCTTAGGTACCTAGGGACGCACCCAAGCGAATCGAGGATAAGTCGTTAGTAAGTCCTAAGTAAGTCTGTAATATGATAGAGTACCTGTATAGCTATTTAAAAAATCTGGTTGATATTGTGTGGAGTGTGTAATCTGTTGAACAATAATAAAAAGTGTCCGCTAAATAAAAATGGATATTCGGATTTTTTTAGTTTTCGTGTAGTGTATAGGGTAATACAAGCAACACCCTTAATACTTATTAATACAACATCATAAAAAGAATTTTTGGAAAACTAAAACGGCGATCAGACATTATACGGTGGATGCTTGAATACGCAAGGGTTAAATGGTTGAGCGCTGCGCGCTCTCCGCTCTCTATCTCAAAATAGGTTAATCGTATAAAAAAGTTTCTAACTCAAACAATTTCATCTATAACTTAATAATACATGAAAAATACGAGGCAAGATATTTACTGACAGATTTATGTGATTTTTGACCCTTAATATCACAAGACGCGAATATGACATTATAATATGAGTATTTAGACATAATCAACTATATAATATTATAAAGAGGCAGAGTTTGTTTGTTTGAACGCGTTAATCTCAGAAGCTACTAATCCAATTTGGAAAATTCTTTTTGCATTAGATAGCGCGTTTATTGAGGAAGGCTATATACCATATAATATATAGTCTATCTATTCCATACTAATTACTAACCGTTGAAACGTACCTGGGGAGGGCTGCGAGGGTGAGTAGCAAGTTTAAAATACCAAAACAAAGGTTTATACAAATCAACTTATTACCTCTCATTCCGACGTTAATCCCTAATGTTACGTACGTACTATAATTGTATATAATATAGTTATTAATAATATTATATTGTATATTCGGGATAATTCGAATTTCAATAAATGTGTAGAGCAGTCTTTATTCTGGTACTATATTAAATCTGTGATTCCGTTCTTCCCGCCAAAACTTGACAGCAGACAGTTGATGTATGTCAAAATATGTGTCTCTCTGCTTCCAGTTACAAGTTTTGTGTGGCACTATTTTCAAATATTTTACCGATCGACTATTAATCGCTTCGTTTTAATCCGTACCATCAATATTCTCTGTTATACGTGATAACAACGAACCAAATTGGGATAAACATTACACGGCTTTTAACTTTGTAAAATCAAGTGCTCACAATGGATAACAAATTGTCTGAAGGTTCTCTTGAGGTAAATACATGTTCCAACAAGAAACAACTTGTTTTTAATTATGGTCATTTTAGTAGTTTTTAGTAATAAATGCTATTTTCTTAAAAAAACTTATAATATTTCAACAAATATAGGTACTTGCATGCTCTATGTAGGTATGTAAAAAATTAAATTGTTATAAAATATAGAAATGAATGATAAAAAGTAATAAAAATGAGTAAAGTTCCATTTTACATCCAAAGTTAAATAATTAAGTTGATATATATTTAAAGCAAGTGTAATTTTCTAAGCATTAACTTTTATTATTAATGCTATTATAATTTCTATTTAATTTTCATATTTAATTATTTTCATATTCTAAATTTTATCATAGCTTATTATTTTCCTAACAGATTATAATGCGAGGCGGAAATTATGATAAGCCGATAATGCAAGTACTTAGTAGCAAAAAAATTCAAGGAAGTGGTGCCAGTGAGAGATTCAGGTTGCTAGTTTCTGATGGACGGCATTCTCACAGTTTTGCTATGTTGGGTACACAACTAAATGAAATACTTATAACAGGAGAGCTGTCAGATTTTTCAGTAATAAGGATTGATAAATATGTCACTTCTATGGTAAAAAGTACTGGCAAAGAAAAGTGAGTGTCTAAAAACAAAATAAGATTTTTTTAATACTTTCTTAGATTTACGCGAATATTTGACATTTTAAATAAAACTATCTTTTCGGATTTTGTCACGGATTTATTTGCATTTTTGTTTCCCGACGTTTCGAATGCTTTACAGCATCCATGGTCACGGGAGAGACTGTCTCTCCTATTTAAGATTTTTTTACAAATAACAATAAATAACTGCCTAAGTGGCTTAGACTGAAACTTCAACGACATCTAATTTAAAGTTATACCTAACTCCCTATGATGTAGAGCACTAAGTAGCAGTCTGATAGGGCTTATTTTTTTAAATATATATATTTTTATATAAATGTTATGTTATTTTTTATTACTAAGTAGTTATAATATTTCAGGCGAGTCATGATTATTCTGGAATTGACAATAATAGAAACAGGCTCAGAAGTAGGAAGGAAAATTGGTAATCCTCAACCATTGACTGAAGAATCTACATCATCAGCACCATCTCCAAATCCAGTAAAAATGGAACCAAAGCCAGTACCCACCAGCTCTGCGCAAAAGTTTACAGAAAACACATCTTCCAACTTGGATTCCAGCATTCTCAGCTCTCAGATGACTCATCCTATTGCAAGTCTGAGTCCTTACCAAAACAAGTAAGTGACTTTGTCAATAGCCTCATCAAGAGCTTTAATACTTTAATGTTAAAAATAATAATAAAATAAAAATAATAATTAATGTATGGGTGTGTAAATTATGGATGAAGTTATAAGGTGCCATTATAAAATCCAATATATTGAATAAATTATTACTATTTAGAGATGTGCAAAATAGTTTATTAAAAGTATTTGAATTCAAAATGCAAATGCTTCATTATTTTTTATTTCATATAAAAATACAAAATAGTTTTCGATGAATATTTAAATGCAAAATATGTATTTTCAAAATATGTTATTAAAATAAAATATCCTATTTCACTGATTGTAATCCAGTATTAAATTATTACTTGTTCAAAAAGTTGATACTCAGCTAATAGATCAGTATGTCCTCTTCTCTGCAAAAATATCATTAATAGTTTCTTGTTTGAAGCATGGGATATTATTTTATTAGGTATTTGATATCAAAAGTCCATATTGATCGAATATTTTGAAATCGAAATTAATTTTACTTTACAAAATATACACAAATTAAGAAAGAAAAATATTAAATATGAATTCAAAATTTAACAAAACCATTTTACATTTTACAAATATAATATGTACTAAAAATATTTATACGAATGCACACACATACACGCACACATGCACACAAACACATGCACGCTCGCGCGCTGCACGCACGCACACACACACGCACCCGCACATATATACTTCCGCATCGCTGGCGGCGACCGCAGCTGGTGACTATGACGCACGAACTCAACAGAACGAAATTCATGAACACTAAATTTCGGCAGATTTTGGGCGAAACTGGCCGATACCGTTACCGAATATTCGATTGATCACTATTAGAAACTAAATTCTACTTTTTTTAGATGGGTGATAAAGGCCCGTGTCATGAACAAATCACCAATACGTACCTGGAGCAATGCGAAGGGAGAGGGCAAACTCTTCAGTATGGATCTATGCGATGAAAGTGGTGAAATAAGAGCTACTGCTTTCAAAAATGAGTGTGATAAATTCTATGATATGATACAGGTACATATGACGCATACATATTACATACATCATAATTTTAATTTTCAACTTTTGAAACAACTTGTAATAGGATTCAATATCAAACTATCAGTTATAAAACCCTAAAATAAGTAGAATGTTATCAACTAATAAGTAGAAGAATCTGTTATTCAGATAAGCACCATACCTGATATACATACATAGTTTTTCTTTTAAATGTTGGAATGCATAGTACAAAGAACTTAAACCAAAAATCACCCTCGCTCTTAATTGGGCGTGGCAGAATTACGTACTATGTGTACGGTCCACTCTGCTATCAGAGAATTACCAGGTGCAACCTTTTGTTACCTGAGATGGCCGCCTCCCAGTGTGTCTTGGCTTCACGCCCGGCTGGGTTGCCGGACGCTTCACACACCATTGTGTCCTTCTCTTTATTTGTAACTTAATGTATCTAACCTTACTGATACAAAATTAATATATACCCTCTAATGTGATTGGGAGTGTAAAGAAGTTCTCTCAACAGTAATAAGCAGTATAAAACTACATAATTTATAATATTACTTTCATATGTTTTTCATAAATTTTCATATACAGTGTATAGAATATATTACATCTTCCTTTGTCCTGCTGTTCATCTTGTGTTCGATATAAACTATCTCCATCTAAACCCTTACATCTGTTGGGTTATTACAGCCTGAAGAAGTAATATATCCTACTCAAAAAATTACAGAGTCATATAATGAGTGTGTTAAAATCATTTTATATTATAATTTATTTTTGCAGATAGACAAAGTCTATTACATAAGTCGCTGCCAGCTAAAGACAGCTAACAAACAGTACACCACATTGAAGAACGACTATGAAATGACATTTACTGCGAACACCATAGTGGCAGAATGTATGGAAGACGCGTCCTCTCTACCCACAGCAAAGTATGACTTCGTGCCCATTACAGATATCGTTGATAAAGCTCCTAATACCCTGCTTGGTTAGTAATTAGTCCTTTTACATAAATAATATTACTAAGATATGAAGAAATTGGTTGGACTCAATTTTGGCTATTTTGCTTGGCAATTAGTGCTTAGATGCTGTGTAATATACCAAAATTTTAAAATTATGATATCTTCACTAACACGTAATTTTAATACTTCGCAAAGTATATGTCGCAACGCAAATTAATCTTCGCTAAAGTCGTGTCGGATCCTTTACATCAGACTACGACAAAGAAAGAATACGAATAATATTAGTTTAAAACTTATATTTATGAACCAAAATAATTAATCTTCAGAACAATACTATAACAATGCTATAATCTATACATATAATAAAATTCCGAGTCGAATCTGTACATTAAATATTTTTTGTAAAATCTCATTGAAATAGTCATTATTATCGATACAGAAGCCGAATCTATAGTTTTTCGAATTTTCTTCTGTGCATCTGGGAATGCATCACGAGAAAACCACTGGACAGATAGGTAAAATTTGGTATAATGATAGCTGGTTATTCGGGTCAACATATAGGATACTTTTTACTCAAAGAAAATATTTCATTTCTGAGAAATCTATACTAACCGTTTAAACTGTCATAAAATAACAATAATTTAATGCCAAAAAAGAAAAGCTGGTGTCTACAGCTGGTGCTGTGATCGAAGAATCCATGAATATTCAGGGAAAAGATAGATAAAAACGTAAAGACCTTAACTATATGATAACATATTTTTACAGATGTTATTGGAGTTTGTAAAATGGCATCAGATGTTCAAGAATTAACAGCAAGGAGCACTGGGAAGTTACTTAAAAAGAGAGACATCACACTTGTTGATTCCTCTGGTGGAGCTGTATGTATATTTGGCTTAATATTGCTAATTTCAATTAAATAATCCACATACATATTACTCGTATGTGTTGTGTATATGATGTTGTTATGAAAATTCTTGTGCAGCTTTCTATGAAGATAAGATTTACCTAAAAGCTGTTTTCGGGACTTATGAAATCAATTTAATTATGATGGATAGTATACATAATAACTGTTATTGGCACCTAGCAATAAAGATGGTGTATGGGAAATAGCTATAATTAATTAATAAATACATATTGTAATGCTTTCTTTCTATACTGTGACTAATAAACAATATTATTAATATATATAAATTAATATATATAAATGTATACAAAATAAAATAATTACAAATTTTTTTGTCAGGTGACCTTGACTCTATGGGGAAGTGAGGCGGAGAGTTTTGATGGTAGCAACGCACCTGTTGTCGCCGTTAAGGTAAGCTTATAGTATAAAAAATATTATAAAACATTCTGAAATATTAAATTTTTGTATCTATTATATGTTAAGTAGAGTAATATTGAATGGAATTAATTGTGAGTTCATTCTGATTTGCCATCTGAGTGTGTTAACTTTATATTGTTTCCTTCTTTTGAGGTGGCTTTATAATGACTAAGTAAAACGTGGTCGTTATTTCTATTTTGAAATTAAAATACTTTTTAGTAATTATTATTATTCAGAAATATAGCATTCGCATGTACGATGACTAACGCGCCGTCGTCCCTCGTCCGACGTATAATCGCCGCGTGCTTGACCCGCTCAATACAAATCGAGACAATGATCAGCAGCAATCTGCTTTTTAGATTTCCGTACCTCAAGACAGACGGATATGTTTATGATACGTGATGTATATTAATGCCCTTTTAAGTTTAACAACGGGGAATATATTATAAAGTCGTCCTGTGTATAGGCCTTCATTGCGTCATAAAATAATAATCATTATTACAAGCACTTTTGGATCGTCAATTTAGAGCGTTAGTGTAGTCAGTCCGTGAGTCAAATTTGTATGAATTCCACACATTACCATCAACAAGGAACTCTTGAATAGTGTAATAAGCATTGCTCAGTAAAATATTTTTAATTTTATCTTTAAATTTTTAAAAAGGTTTTTAAAAGTCTAGGACTGTTTCTGGAATCTTATTATATATGCGTATACTTAGGCCCGTGAAGGATTTATTCACCTTTTGGAGTCGAAATCTAAGCGTAACAAGCTTGAAATTATAATAGCTTGTATGTATGATCTTATAGAAATATTGTAATTTATAGTTCAATTTTATAAAAAAAGATAATGAAAATAATATTAGTCCCGCTGAGTTTCTTTCGCCAGTACTTCTCAGGTCTGAGGCTTCTTTCTAGTTTCTTCCGAATTGGTAGTAGACTCATGACGTTCAGTAAAAATTGTAATAATTTAATGCTGAATAAGATATTTTGAATTGCAATATGTATGTGTGTGTGTACGTGTATGGTGACGTGAGTCGTGTGGTGTGCGCAGGGCGCGCGCGTGGCGGAGTTCAACGGCGGCAAGTCGCTATCGATGGGCGCGGGCGCGCTGCTGCGCGTGCAGCCCGACCTGCCCGACGCGCACCGCCTGCGCGGCTGGTACGACCGCGGCGGCGCCGACGCCGCGCTCACGTACGTGTCCGCGCGGTACGTACACACTTTGCTTCTTTTTTGTTTAGCTACATGTTTAGTTCTACGATAAAGTAGTGATGAAACGGATAGTTGTTTGGCCGGATACCGGATATTTGGCGGCCGGATGCCGATTGTCACGTGGTATGTGGCAACAAGTGCATATGTTACTTACTGTAAGCATTTAGGATTATTCGGGTGTCATCATGATTTAGTTATTAGCGAAAGTCAATTGTTTACTTGCTAAATCACTTTGCAACCCTCATAGTTGGTGAACGGTTAACTCAAAGCTCATATACAATACTTTGACAAGTGTGGGTGGACACTTACACTTGTCAAAGTACGCCAGAGTGTACCTTTCAGCACCGTTGCTGCATTTACAAGATAATTTTGAATTATTTTAAATAATATTTATATTTATTTACATCACAGTTTTTTTTTATAATTTATTAAAGAAAAAAAATGCACTTTTTAAATATTCGGTATCCGGCCGGATACCGGATAGTTACCGGATATCTGTTTCGTCTCTAATAAAGTATTATTATATACATAGTGCGGGCGACGGTGGCGGCGGCGCGTCGGGCGAGTGGATAACGTTCGGCGAGGCGGCGGCGCGGCGGCTGGGCGCCGGCGACCGCCCCGACTACTACTGCCTGCTGGGCGTGCTCACCTTCACCTTCGCCGACAACGCGCTGTACAAGGCGTGCCCGCAGGACGCCTGCAACAAGAAGCTGGTGGACCTCGACAACGGCTCCTACCGCTGCGAGAAGTGCTCGCGCGAGTACCCCAACTATAAGTACAGGCTGATGTTAGGCGTGAGTTCATTTTTTTTTTAATTTAAAGTGGCAAAGATAGAATCTGGCCAACGATAGCGTGACCTAAGAAAACGCGGCAAATTCAAAAAATCTTCATAATATGGTAATGCTAACTATAGTAAGAGAAAAATGTTTTGATACTTGAGTATTTTTTGTATTTACGACAATTTGTATAATAGTTTTTAGTGAACTTAATTTCTAATTTAAGGAACACGCCACGTCTTTAGGAAATTTGTAAGTTTTCTAATTCATATCAACATCATACTATATAAAAATAAATGTGCCTTTGACAGCTTAATAATGTTGCCATAGCAAAATTTTTAAGAAAACTTCAGGACACGCTTTCGTTAGTCAGACTCTTAACATGTGTAAGTATGTCATGCTCGCTGCGAGTACCCCAACTATAAGTACAGACTGCTGCTAGGCGTGAGTTCATTTTTTTTTTATTTAAAGTGGCAAAGGTAGCATTTACGGGTGTCGTGCTCGCGCGAGTATCCCAACTAGAAGAGTTCTTCTACTACGCCCAAGTACGCTATGCTAGATAGGCTGCTTTTAGGCTCGAGTTGTTTTTTAAATTAAAGTTGTAAGTTGGTGACGGGAAGTGGGTATCAGGTTCGCGCGAGTATCTCAACTAGAAGTATGGGTTGTTCTTGGGCGTAAGTTGACTTTTTTTTTAATTATTGAAAGTGTCAAACGTAACATTTACGAATGTCGTATTGGTTTCGTGCTCCGAACATTGGTTGCTAGGCGACGTGTTCACCTTCACATTTTTAGAAAAAGCTCTGTGCAAACCTTGCTCTTAAAACACTTGAGTTAGTCCATCTGATAGCGAATCCTACCGCTCTGAGAAGTGTTGTGAAAAATTGAATTGTCATATTGCATATTATTAATATGACATTGGTATTATTAAAAAGCACGACTTAAGTTCGACACTACCTTTTTTCAGCAAAACTGTATGTTTATATTAAGGGATACAATTTTTTTTATTTTTTAAAGTAGGTACTTACCTACTTTTCTTTACCTCTGTATATATAGCTTATCTATTCCGTATTAACTGTTAAAGCTTACCCAAGGACGAATAAATCGCTAGTATTACATATAAATTGTCAGGCAAACGTGTCGGACCCCACCGGCGACGAGCGCATCACCGCCTTCAACGAGGCGGCGGAGGCGATGCTGGGCGCGCCCGCCGCCGACCTCGGCCGCCTGCTCGAGTACGACAAGAACGCGTACGCGCGAGTCTTCGAGGACGTCAAGTTCAAGACCTTCGTGTTCAAGTTCAGGACTAAAGTCGAGACTTACAATGTAAGTTTTTTATATACATATAACTAATAAAATAGTAATGAAGCGAAATCTGTACATAAAATATTTTTTTAAAAGAAAACCATGACGTATTGTGTACAGGATATGGACTCCAAAAAAATAATAATTAATTTTTTTGTCTGTATTTCTGTATTTCACTCAAAAAGCACTGATCCGATTTTAATTAAATTCTGTGTAGAGATAGCTTATTACTCGAGTCAACATTTAGAATATCTTTTTCTAATGGAAAATTTTTCATTTCTATAGGAAAAGACAATATTTTTTTCTGTCAAGTCATCCTTAATAATTTACATGTCTAATGCTTGCTAAACCTTATGAGACATCAAAACAAATGTACTAGAAAATTATAGATCTTAAAGAAGCCTAAGGAAAAGTCCTCAATAGCATTTATGTTTCTCCTAGGATACCCTCAGAACTAGTGTTATCTATTCAAAAGGTACCTCGGGACGCACCCGAGCGAAGCGAGTGAAAATAGATAGTTCTTAATAAATATATAAGCGCACAGCTATTCGAGGGGTTCTAGTTCAAAACTTTTGTATGAATGTCCAGGACTAAGGTGGAGACATACAGCTAAAGTCTTTATATCGTTATCGCTCTTAATACATAGATAGTGCTGTTTAGTCTACTCTTATTCATGACCGATTTACCACTAACATCCTAACTTCTCACTCCTGCACTCTCTACTCCAATTAATGTAACTCTAGTTAATGTCACCTTATTTGATAGAAGTGTGTAGGTGACAATAAACCTTAAAAATGTATATTTTAAAAGTAAGCTTGACCATATTTTATTTGCGGGTACCGACTTTGATATATATATATATATATATATATATATATATATATATATATATATATATATATATATATATATATAGTACCTGGGCGACCGAGCTTTGCTCGGAGTTTTTGGCCAAAAAAAACATTAAAAAAAAAAAAACTAAGAATTTGAATAAATACAAAAAAAAAACAAAATTAAAAACTTTGTGTCCGACCGGGATACGAACCCAGATACCTGTGGTTGTCAAACTTGCGCATTGGCCGCTTGACCATTATGTTTATATCTGACCGTGCGAAATTATCGAATATTATTATAATTATTGAAATAATGCAAAAGAAATCATAATAATAATAAAGCTCTATTTATTTATTCATTTATTTATTATAAAGGCTTACTAACTAAATTTACATAAAAACATTTATTTAACATTATAATTTTACCTATCTGTATATAAATTTTTAAATTAAAAGTATGCACAGCTTTTTACAAAAGTATTCCATTAAAATTTTATTTGGTTAAGAGTATATAAGGAGCCATTTTAGTTGTACAATAACAAAAATGTCTATATCACATTGCTGAAATATAAAATTATATAATTGAGTGACTATTTATTTACTTATAATTTTTTAACTAATAATTTTGTAATCTGGAATTAAATTATTTTAAAAATCTTCATATTATTTGAAATGATATTGTATACATATAAATTATCATTAACAAATAAATAAATAAATAAACAATCACAATAAACTAAATAATTCAATTGAGTAAATACTAAACATTTCACAATAATAAATATAAATAAAATTTCTTTCCATACATTAATTCTGACAATAGTTATAAATTAGGTATTTAATTTCATAATTAAATGTATTTATTTAGTAAATGTCTTTTTCATGTATAGACCCCTCTCGGTTAAAAGCCTCCTCCAAAGTAGTCCTGCATAGAGCTCTCCGTTGGAGATTATGCTTGTATGATTGCAAAGGGTTTCTCTCTCTCAAATTTTGTTTTCAATATATAATTTGTTTCTGATATGCCTATAAAGTTTATAATTTTATCTTTGTGTTCTTTTGATTTGTTGTAGGAAATGCTGCTTTTAATTCTAGAAGTTTTTCTGGTGAAGATATGTATACCTTTGTTCATTGTATGTTTGTTTTTCTTTGGAGGGTTACGGTCGAACTCCCCCACAGTGACCGGCCGTACTGGTGAATAAAGATGAGGAGGTTCCTACGGTGTTTAATATACTGTATCTTGCTGTGTTGTTTTTAGTTGTTCCTGGTTATCATTTGTGTGGTTGAAAGTTAATTTTGGTTTTTGTAATATAAAGTCTTTAATATTACCAGGTATGGTTTTCTTTGTATGTTGTTTATTTGTTAGTTTTTGTTTATAATTGAGGTAAGGCGTTTCTGGAGATACAGGCAGACTTCTTTTTTATTTCCGTTTAGTTTAAGGCTATTTTTTCCCCTAGTTCATGATAGGATTTTTCACCTTCTTCTACTCTGAACATAACCAAGTTCTTGCGCCTAATATATCTTTCTAAATTATTTATTGAGGTACTTTGTTTCTGGATTTTTTTCTCAAGAACTTCAATTTTTATTTCTAACTGTTTAAATTTCTCATTTAAGTATATTATTGTTGATTGTATTTTTAATGTCTTCTTTCATTTCTAACATTTCTGTTTTCTGCTGTCTTATTTCTTGTTGCATGTTTATTAGCAACTTTTTTATGTCCTCCATCTTAAGTGTGAAGTTGGAAGTAGAAAAGCTGATTGAAAAAGAGCACCAATTATACCTAGTTGAATTGCAATTTTATACCGAGTACCTATTAGTTTTTGAGGTTATAAACTTATGTTTTAATATTTGACGCTTTCACTTCACAAATTATTTTGTTTTATTGTCATCACACACAGAAAGATGGTTTTGCACTGATAGTATCTTTAAGTTATGTTTGTCACTTTTGTATTTGTTTGGTAGCTCATTTGTTCTTCAACACATCAAGAGTTGGTGATGTTTACATATTGCCCATAGCTTTTATTTAAAAATTTACCATTTTTCTTTAGATTATTTTCACTTAAATATATTTAAACTTGATGTAAATACGGACACGATGTTGACAGTTGCACAGTGGCGCCGCCCACTCACCAGAAGTGACAATGCAAAAATTGTGAAAATGCAAAAGAAAATCGCATGAAAATTCGAAAATTCGCGTTTTTCTAGATATAAGACTAATCTGGATCGATTAATCGCCTCCGAAACCCCCTGCATGCTAAATTTCATGAAAATCGTTGGAGCCGGTTCCGAGATTCAGATTATATATTGATATATATATATATATATATATATACAAGAATAGCTCGTTTAAATATATAAGATGAAAGTCGGGTTTGTTACAACACTTATAACTCGAGAAATGCTCGACCGATTTTTGTGATATTTGTTTTGTTGCATTTGTCTTCACTCCGAATAGTAGAATAACTATTAAAACATAAAAACAGTTATCATAATCATTGAGATATTGTCTAACTATAATATAAAAATCATAGAAGCTTATACGTAAACTAAACTTCGACGACACGTTTGGCTCAGTTTGTAGAGATTGTACTTGCTGTGCCAGCGGTCGCGGGTTCGAGTCTCGCTGGGGGCATTCATTTGTGCGATGAGCACGAATGTTTGTACTCCAGTCATGGGTGTTTATATTTATAATATGTATGTATGGTATCCATAACACAAGATTCATAGCTTACCATGGAACTAGATGGCGCTGTGTGATTTCCCAACATATTTATTATTATAAAATCTATTTATCTGCAGGACGAGGCCCGATTGAAGACGACAGTGATGAGCGCGCAGCCGGTGGACTACCGCGACGCCAACGCGAGACTCGTCAAGAGTATCAAAGCTCTCAGTGGAATTGAAATTTAAACTATACATAAGGCCGATGCACACTGTTGTATAAACGCGTCGATGACAGTGTCAGCGTCTTCTGTGCTAGTAAACTTAAGTGGGCCTATGTACATACACCATATAAAATACAAACGCGCATTTAAACGTCGTTGTTTGTATAGGCCCTTAATGTTGAACAAAATGTCCTAATTATGTAATTTCTAAAAGTTGAAAACTATTAATATTATGTGCATTTCATTTACTTTTCACTTATTTCATTATTAATCTATAAATTCATGATTGTGATGAGTAATAAATATTTTTGTTATATTTTCTCATTCTTCTTTGTTATTAATTTCCATACTAGCTCCTTACCTTTGCTTCGCTCGGGTGCGCCCGTAGATACGTTTATTTTTTTGAGCGGGAGCCTTAACTTTTTTGTAAAATAATAGTAGCGTAAGTTACCTTATATCAACAACTATCTGTCAGTGAAAGTTCCGTCAAAATCAGTCCAGCACTTTCAGAGATTAACCAGAACAAACGAACAAATTTTAAAAATTGGAGATTTAATTAAAAGTATCGTATATACTTTCATATGCATTTAGTCAAAAACTGGTATTCTGGTTTTACAAACAGACACGTCAAATTTATTTATCTGTATAGATAAAATGACAAAACGAAATTAGGAGATAATGGAAAGCAAATCAGATGTGTTAAAAGAGTGGGAAAAAAGGTGGAAAAATAATAACGAAATTGTACATACTAGAACTAAAAAATCTGATAATTCGACTTATAATTACTATTTAGCCTTACAAATATCACCAAAAAATTACATCAAGTAACATTGTTTCATATTTGCAATATTAATATATCCATTTATTGCAATAATAATAATATAAAAATTAAAATCCTACCCGCTTTTTAAAATCGCACTGTTGGGCGTGGGCCTGTCCTAAGTGCAAACCATTCATGACCCACAATGCTGACGAATGCGGGTTGCAGCTGAGTTGCTACTCTCCGATTACAGTAATTGATGTTGAGAATAATCTACCTATACTAATATTATGAAGAGGTAAAGTTTGTGAGTATGTGACGTAGATGGCAATCTCTCTGGATCTACTGAACCGATTTAGTTGAAATTTGGTAAGAAGATAGTTTGAGATCCTGGGAAGGACATAAGAGACTTTGTATTCCAGAAATAATAATTCCCCCTATGGGGATGAAAGTTTGTATTGGAAGCAAGCTAGGGATGAACGTAAGCGAAGCGAGGGTGAGTCGCTAGTCTCATACTATTATAAAGAGGTAAAGTTTGTGAGTTTGTTTATAGGAAGTAATCTCTGGAACTATTGAACCGATTTAGATGAAATTTAGTAAGAATATAGTTTTGAGGTCCTGTGAAGGACAAAGCATGTTTTTATTCCGGAAATCATCCCTTAAGGGAGTGAAATTAGGAAAATGGAACAAAAATCTTAGAGAAACGAAACCCAGTTATGAACCCGTTTCACTTGGCTTTACGAGCGACCGCGTAGCCAATGACCTGTCACTGCATTTTATAATACCATCTATTACAGACAAAATACTACGTACTTGGCTGCAAACCAACAACAATATTCCCAACAGTTTATACAGTATTAATACTTATGAATAAAAGTAAAATAAGGTAAAATAAAAAACTATAATTACTATGTACTTTATTATTAATCTCATTGATATGACTTTTAATTTGGCTAAGGAAATAAACTTTCTGGTACATTAATTGAGTCTTAAATTTCGAGGCGCTTACAACAATAGATTCGACATCAATGTAACGATATCGCAAAAACATTGATTTCTGACCAAAAAATATATTTAATCCGCCAAAGCATGATTTACACATATACATATCTCCTAAACCTTACAGATCACTAAAGCATACAAGGGGTATTATTACAATGTAAAATTTACATTTATCAATATTATAATTTAATAATGCCGAGTGTCTCTATCATGAGTCAACAATACAAGATATTCGTTAAAGAACGACTATAACAATAATATTTGTATGACACGTTTGAAAATGTATATTTAATTGCGCGTTAACATTCGCGACTGTGTTACTTGGTTCTAATTGTGTGTATCTCATGATAGTGACATCAGCGTATTTCATACAAAAACGATTTACATAAAATTGGCAGTGAAATTTTGCAAATTGCTGAATATGCCGAAAACAAACATATTATTAACACAAACTAAACTTTGACAATCATATTTAATTCTCCTTTCAATGCTTTTTCCTCGAATTTATTATAACAAAGTTGTGATTTTTGGTTTTAACCTTTCTTACAAAAATGTCCATCTTAATTTCTATAAGTAATTAAATACAAATGCACTTAAAGATACGGGATAATTTGTTTAAAATTCCTTTAATAATTAATTTTATAAATAAGTGTTATTAATATGTCCGTACTGACAATCCCACTATATATAAATATTCAAAAATATCACTCGGAAGAAAAATGGATACCAACATAAAAGCTGTTAAAGACAAAAAAATATATACAGCTATATTCTATTTATATCTAAAATATTTTCTATCATAAAACGAATGATTTGAAGCTAGGCAAACGTTTAGTTTATTAATTTAAGCCAAATTATAATTTCTAAAAATATTTATAACTATTATTTGTAAAATGCAATTTATTAAAAAATTCAAATATGTAATAATATAATGTAATACTTGAACTTAACTGAAGCTCGCGACTCAAACGTTGTTATAATTTTTTCCTTTGAAATGAGCTGATGAGAGAATCTTAGTAACAATGACTTAAGTTTATTTTGCTTACACTTATATCATAAAACTAAAGCGATAAAAAACATAAAAAATACATTCAACAATAGTATAAAATAATAAATACATAAATCGGTTAATGCGAAATTAAAGCCATAAAATCGAAGGACTTACATAAAAAGCTATTAATGGAAAATATCCACTAGAGTCTAATAAATTCATTTCATTAGTACTCGTAACTAAAACCACTGATTACTGAGTTTCCTTAATCCTCCTAAAAATACTATCGTAACAATAATAATTAATATTATAATTATTTTACCGCCGAAGTGGTTACAGAGTCAATGTATAGTTAAACAGTATTAAGAAAATATCGAGATTATTGTGAAACATTCAATTCCAAAAGAGATTCAGACATCACCGAATCTAAACAAGGGAGATCCTACGAGAGCCCGCCGCGAGAGCGGACACTCGCATATCTAAATGTAAAATAAGACAAAAATATATGTCACGGCAACACGTGCCACAGTAGGGGGTAACTTCCTAGAGTATGATTAATTCCTTTAAATATCTCAGTAGTCATAACCCGTAATCCTCAAGTCCATTCACACGTCACTAATTGTGCAACACTGAGACGAGTTCGCGTCCCACGACGCACGCCTGCCCCTCGCGCCGCGCCCGCGCCACTGCGCCACGCCACGCCAAGCCACGCCACGCCACGCCACACCACGCCACGCAACGCCTTGCCACGTCACGCCACGCCACACGCACGCTCCCGACACGGGTGTACGCCGACCGATCGCTACATCACTAAACGTATTTACACTAGGAATAACTTAAAGCGAATAAATAAAAGCGACGCTCTTTGGAACGGGTCGCACTCGAGGTTCCGCCCGTCGCGAGACCGAGCCCTGAACGAAACGACGACGCAATAATTTAAACCTTAAAACTAAAAATAAAAAGAATATGGCCGAGAGGCGTTTCTCACTCGTGTACTTAATATACGTACGCGCTTGACACCCACTTCAAAGTGGGGTCAGAGTCAAATATTAACTGTTATTTTTTCAAAATATGTACTTAAAAAAAATTAATTACTCATCTAATAAACGTAAAAGTTGCGTCTTTGAAAATTGAATCAACTTTAAGCGAATAAGAATATACGTTCAACGTAGTCAATTACGATTACATCAAAGTATTAAAAGCAGCAAAATGGAAAAAATAAATAAATAAAAATAGTGTTTAGCGCAATTTTAACTACGTAAGCACAACCCGACGCGTATCGCACAGTCCCGAGCGGTCGAAGCCACCCGCCGGTGCACGACTGTCTGACACACACATCCACACTGAAAGCCCGAATCACATTTAGTACATCCAAAGTTACAAGCCTAACAGCTAAATCGACGATACAAGAGTCTTTCAAATGTTTTATTTCGAAAAGTACTTCACCATTTCAAACTACATTTGCTGCTAATTTCACAAACATAAGCAAAACCAATCAATATTTCAGTACATAATTTTTTTTGAAAAAAAAGAATTAAATAACCTAATCTATACCGACGCTATGCAATGCGTTTTAAAGAAAACAAATAACAAAATGACTATAAAAAAGTAAAAGTCGTTGGTGTAAGTAGTGCTACTGTGTCGGTTGTAGTCCGAACAGTCCAAACAGTCCGCCTAGTGTACCGAGGCGGTATCGCGGCGATGTATCGTCGTACCGTGTCCGTGTCGTGTCCGCGTGGTGCGCGTGTGGTGTGCGTGGTGTGCGCGTGTGTGCGGCGCCGCTAGCGCGCTCACGGCACGAGGTCGGGCAGGCGCCCGCGGCCCTAGGGGCGCCCGCCGCCCTCGCCGCTCACCACCTGACACAAATATAACGTAAATATATATAATATGAACATTACTCAATACTCACCCTTCTCATATGTAATAGCGACAAATTCTAATAGGAATCATTAAGAACGCGGAGCGTGAGTATATTTTTAAAAATAATATTTTCTTGAAACGAACTCATTTTTGTGAATAAATAACCCATTTGTGGTAACATGATACAGTATCTATATTATGATATACAACTCTAGCGATTTCCTCTCGCTTCGCTCGCTTCTACCTATATGTAATGAACTACATATTAAATAAAAGTCTATATCGGTTCAAAATCCGTCCAACCGTTTTAGCGTAACATGCAACTACAAATATTTTCAATTATACCCTGTTTTCCGATTACAGACCATAATGCCACACTTTGGCGCACAAACACGAACAACGCGAAAAAACACTTCTTTCTGCTACTGAGGTACGCGCATCACGCCAAAGCAGTACTTTTCAAAGTGCTCAGTTGTGCGGAGCGTTGCTGTAGTTTTAAAATTCAAAGTTTAGCATCATGTCGCATAATGCGCTTTAGTACAGAAATTGGACAACGTCCATAATTAATTAATAGGCCAAATTCCAATGTAACATCCCTAGGCTAAAAAAATTAAATAAATGGAGCGAACACATAAAATCATACGAAGTTTCAGTGAGATTTAACAAGCAAGAACTCGAGTTGGCAATTGCGGACTGATCAATGCGAGTACAAAAAACGATAGTATTATAAACAGCTAATTATAATACTCTTTCGAGGCTTCTAGCAAAATCTGCAATTCTATTGAGCACAGCAATTTTAAACTCCATATTGTTATTATATATAGTTTTAAATTCTGCTCTGCTTAATGTTTGTTAATTGAAGTAGACGACTCCTTTTAGTGACAATTACAAGAACGAGTGCATTTTATATTGTGTTGACTTCGTCCACTTACAATTAAGATATTTAAAACTAACTTTTTCACATATTAACAAAATGAGCAATTAAGACGAAATATCAATCTAATTTTCATATTTCTGATCACTGATTAATAAACATTGATCAATCGTTGATTTAAATATTGACGGAAAAATTAAAAAAGCGCCATGACATCGTTGTAGCTTGGATTTTGTTTATATGAGATTTTAATAAATCAAAAATATAAAATAACATTTCTCATTGTGTACACGGCCAATAAACACACACATTGGAATGAAAATAAACTGCAAACAAAACAAGTAGCGTAATAGAAAACTTAATGTACATAGATAGATACTACAAATAAATAGCGAGCGTTGCATTTTCTTTGTCACTTGGATATGATACCCGTAGAACATTTTGTTCTTTACAATTTAGAGATCCCATTTTGTTATTTTACTCGATAAAATCTTTCGTATTTATTTCTTATAGAATTGCAAAAATATTATAAATGATTGGGTATGATCTATACATATAATAAAATTGTAACTAAGCCGATTCTGTACATTAAATATTTTTTTATTGAAATTGACATTATTATCGATACAGAGGCCGAATCTATAGTTTTTAGAATTTTTGTCTGTCTGTCTGTTACCGCATCACGGAAAAACTACTGGAGGGATTTTGGTGAAATTTGGTATGATGATAGCTGACTATCCGGGTCAACATATAGGATACTTTTTACTGCGGAAAAAATTCTCATATCTGAGAAATCTACATTAAACGTGAAAATGTACGAAAATACGAACCCGAGCGGAGCGAGGGTGAGTCTCTAGTTTATAATATGTTTGCAATATTATTATTAATTAAACATGAAATGTTTGTTTGAATCGACTTAAAAATTGTAATAAAAGAGAGGAAAGGATTTGTGGGGCTTAAATGCTTTGTTTTCAAAATGTTATTAGGTTTTCACAATAATCACTAATCATTAGCATTATCTACTCTCTAGCCAGAGATAAGTATATAGACGGTTACTTATTTACTTCTGAGTAAGTAGTAGTAGTAGTGTAGTAGTGAGTAGTAGTTTTCTAAATGTACTAAAATTGCTTTTAAAAAGTCAAAAACTTACTAGGGCGTTAGTATAAGTGATGAGAAATCCATCCACGAATAACACGTGTCATAACATCGACTACTATAAAATAAATGGTAAATTATGTTATAATGAAATCAATATTCTTTATCGAGTGTCAAATAAATTGTTAAAAATGAATTAAAACTTGTATGATAAAATGCCTACATTTTATCAATGACAATGATATATAGTATAATTAAATTACTAATTTTATATATCTTACAAGCTATGATAAAAAAATAAACGGAGCGCGCAGAAGAAAGTGATGCAATCAAGAAGTGATAGGTAAGTATATAATACCATTCATTTACTGTGCCCGTATTGTTCATTATAAACCAAGTAATGATGTATTAATTTGTATTGTAAAGTAAACCATATGTATAAAACATTAAACACTCGTTTGTCCTCACTTTTGTAACTCGCTCCGTTTATGTCATTTAATTTGTAGGTCTATTCTGAAAGTGCTCGATAGCTGAATTCTCGAACATATCATCGCGGATTCAGCGGTCGGAATACTACTATTTACAGAATAGATCTGCTGACTTTTATAATTACTCACTTTCCGTTCCTTATAGTAGAGCTCCTCGCTCTCCTTGTCGCATAGCAGAAGTACGACAGCCCCGAATAAGAAGATGGCGGCGCCCCAGCCGACGCCGTACGCCCAACCAAACTCCCACACCGACCTGTTACCTGCACCACCAAGTCCTAACATTTACATAGACATAATGGCACAAATTCAGAATTGGGGACTTGGCCCCTAGCGGAGTGGGTGGTATTTCTGGATAAGGGACGTGATAGGGAGTCGAAATGTTAAATAAATTTTTTAATACAACAAAAGATTCAAAAGTTATTGAGACTTAAAGTTACAACATTTCCATACATTTTCATATATTTCTTTACCACCATTCGGAGTGGGTGGTATTTTTAGATAGGGGAGGTGACAGAGAGTCAAAATATATTAAAAATATTTGGAGGAAACGTACGACTAAAAAGTTATTGAGACTTAAAGTTATAACATATCTAACACATTTCCATACATTTCTTTACCTAAATAAGTGATTACAACAGATAAACATACCTTTAACGAATAGTACGCATCCTTTTTTATGTACATTACACATTTTCACAACAATTAATGCTTTATTGTATTTAATATTTTAATAATTTCACAACACAAACAAAATGATCTTACATTTTGACAAAAGCAAAACTGACACTTTGTTTTATATTACCGCTTAAATGACAACAGATTATATTTGATTATTTTTGCTTTTTCTGTTGGTAAAATATTAATATTAATAAATAAATAAATAAAAAGAAAAATATTATTTTCACTTTATAAATACATTTATAACTTTTTATTTGATTTATGTAAAATATATTGTTTTACAATTGTACATTTAGTAAAAAAAATCATTTTTTTATCTGTGAATATTTTTAATTATTTATTTATTATTCGTCATATCTGGGTTAGGTTAGGTTAGAACATTTAAGATTATTTATTTATTATTCCTCATATCTGGGTTAGGTTAGGTTAGAACATTTAAGATTATTTATTAATTATTCGTCATATCTTGGTTAGGTTAGGTTAGAACATTTAAGATTATTTATTTATTATTCCTCATATCTGGGTTAGGTTAGGTTAGAACATTTAAGATTATTTATTTATTATTCCTCATATCTGGGTTAGGTTAGGTTAGAACATTTAAGATTATTTATTAATTATTCGTCATATCTTGGTTAGGTTAGGTTAGAACAGTTGCCACAACGCACGAGCCGAGCGAGCGAAGCGAGCGTGCCGCGGTAGCGGCCGGCGAGTGCCATAAATGACTAGAAAACTAGAAAATTCGAATTTCACGCAAAGTACAAATAAAGACAATCATCTGGAGATCATTTTGACAATTGAAAGTGACGTTTTGACTCCAAGTGTCTAAATGGTAGTAATGTCAAAATAATGTATGGAAATGTTATAACTTTAAGTCTCAATAACTTTTGACTCTTTTGTTGTATTAAAAAATTTATTTAACATTTCGACTCCCTATCACGTGCCTTATCCAGAAATACCACCCACTCCGCTAGGGGCCAAGTCCCCAATTCTAAACGGCCGCCGACATAATTATACCCATTCAAAATGATTTTAGAATTTAGAAAAACCTTATTTTAGCTATTAAATGTGTACAGTAACCAGCGGTAAATAATGCACATCGAGCTAAAGAGGGAGACAAACGGCTAATTTCGGTTTTGTAGAGCGTCGTCTCATTCACTCAGTACATTATGTCGAGTTCCCAGTAGATACCGGACTGTTATAGTGCTTCGTTCGACAGAGACGATGCTCTACGAAGCCGATACTAGCCGGTGTCTCCCTCTTTAGTTCGATGTTATTTATTTTACCGCCGGTTACTATAAACCAACTTCTAGAGTGATAATAGAATGCCGCCTGCTGTGCATCATCTATTGTTTATATCTTCTTTTTGTATATTTATTTGTGGTGTACAATAAAGCATCTATCTATCTATCTATCTATCTAGAATGTAATCTATAAACTGTAGAAAATGAAATGTACACTGTACTATTTTCTTTGTAGCAGAATTAGTAGCGGGAATAATTTTCGCTCTGTACCTATTTGTCTAAAATTTCTGTACATGTCTAAGGCCGCGTTTTGAAGTTCTCTTTAATTCGTTCTAATATGTTTTTTTTAATAATTTTAGAGTCTATTATTATGTCACATTTTTAAACACATTATACATATAGAGGAAGAGCCCGTGAACGCCAGACCTTCGTCATTTTATAAAGGCTGAAAGTTTGTCAGCGCATGCTCCCAACACAGATAAGAACGATGGACCATTATGAAGTTCAGGCTATGGTGGCTTTGGCAGGTACACGGTACTAAAGGTGTGTAAAATACCGATCTAAATTTGGCAAATAATAAAGTGTGATTTTTTGGTATTACCTTCAGAATATTATTAAATATCACGTCATTCAATGCCAGAAACTTAACATCGTGGCAAACCCTTGCCAGACACCCTTTTCATGAAATCATAATTCTACTTACGTTATAGTATAAAAGCTGATTTTTATATATATTAATTAGATGATTTATATGACTGCTAGCATAGCATTTATTACACACCATGAAAAATGTGCCAAACAAGTTGGGAGGCATTTCTAAGAAAATGTTGCAAATGATCACCAAATTTGAAGCGCTAAGAATTGACGTTATTTTTGATGGTGTGTAAAAAATAAAAAAGGTTAACCCTGAAGGGAATGATTTCATTAAGCCTGTTTACTTGGTAACCTTATTAAAATGGTTTTTGTTAAAACAATTTAGAATAAACCAGGTTAGAAACCCCTTGAAACGTAACCTAATGGGTCCCTGTTAATAAATTATAACACACTGCTTACAGCCAACTAAACAAAAAATACAAATACTTATAGTAAAAGATTCAACTTAAAATACTCACCTGCTTATCACATGAAAAGTAGCTTGTACTAAACATAATACATGACAATGGCCAAAGTTATAACGGAGTAGTGTTTCAGAAATCCAGTTAATTCATCATTATGGTTGCCTTTGAAAAAAAATTGAAGGCACGATCCGAGACTAAGTAACAGTGCAAGAAAGTAAATATATGACACCTACATACGCGTATCTGCCATATAAATATTTGTTTATGTATTATATTATTATTACGTTGCTCACCTCACAAAATCTCATTTCATTTGTTTAGAACAGTCTCATCGTTACAGTAGATCAAAAGAGTTTGAATAGATCAATTTTTTTTGAACTCTAAATAGGTATAAACAATTGCTTGTCGTTCTATTTCGCTTGAACCCTCTCTTCACACGAGGTTTCCAAACTCGTTAAAATCAATTTAGCCGTTCCATGGATTAGAAGTAGTACAAAGACAATATGTACAGAGCATTCATTATGAACTCAATTTGGGATAGCTCTTTTGAAACAACAGACCAGAATATAATTAGCGTGTTCGTACATGAGGATGAGTCTAAACTTCCATGATAACATTCGCTATCAAAATATACAGAAGTCATTGTGATATTTATGAATGATGTACGGCCGAATGTTCTTCATTCGTCAAGTTTTCGATAAGAAAACGTTTCACAATATGTTTAACTAAAAAATATAATAACAATCTATTATAAGTAATACTTACCCAAGTTAAGTTCTGCGGCGAAACATACTGGATATATGACTAGTGCTATTAAAATGCACATTACTGAAAAAAAAAACATCATATGACATATATTCAATAAATATTTAATACTAGTATGCACCTATATTATAATTTTTTAAATATTTGCGTTTAACATATTTTTAACATAAAATACAAGTAAGATTACAGTCTACTAATCCATATATGTAGTTGTGACGAAGGCGTCTAGACATGGCAATCGTGCTGAGGGAGACGCGGATGCGTTTATATCAGATTCGGGAGACGACTTTAGGGTTAACTTAACGGGAATTTCACCGTATTATTATAAATTAAATTTTTTTTTCGTTGAACTATAATTAATGTTACCTTTATACTTATATATAGTTATTTTTCATACCTATATAAAAAAACAGTTTTCGATTGTGCAAATTAATTGGTTTTGGGACATAATATAAGTGTTTAACATGGATTTTAATGGTTTATGTGTTCTGTTTTTTGCTATAACTTGTCACGAACTAGCTGTAGTAGCATGCTAAATAACTATATAACTGTTAATTTTTAAGACGTTTGCAATAAAAATTGATAGCTATCCGATAAATAATAAGTTTATTTTTTCATTTTACGCATTTTCTATAGCGAAGTAAAAAGAGAAAGATATCTTGGCTCTTACACTGTCTTAGCAGGAGGAATAGAACCCGCGTCTGCCGATATAGTAGCCAGTGCCATCCAAACACACGCGATAGAACGAGTATGTAATTGTTCACGCTTTACCACAACATACACATTGGATTTTAATATTTTATATTTGCGCTTATTATATGAGTTGCTTTAAAACATTATTACGAGATTTTTTAAGCAGTGTTACATTTCGCATTTGATTTTGGTGCATTTTATTTGTTTAAGAATTTAAAATGACGTCTAAGTATTTTAAACTAGTTTGGTCTTAGCTTCACCATTCGTATATCATGATTCATGAGGCTCCATCCATTGTAACGAGATTGCTACGTTATATGGTAGACTGCTTTTAAGTGGTTTTATATGACACTCAACAATAGTGTAACTTAATAACATTTTTCAGTTTACATTTCAACTTGAAGCACATGAGACGTATAACAATACATACGACCTTATTTAATCTCGACCTCATTTTCGATTTTTTGACTGTGACTTTGTCTCTAGGGCTTAAATGTTAGTACCAATATTTACATATGGTTTTGTTTATTACTTTTTGCACTTTCGATGAGTCGTTAAATAATTATAATTAGTAGGTAGGTACACATAGTTACATTTTCATAAGATAGATATCTAGAAATACAAAAGTTATTTTTTTTATCGTTTACAAAGTTTTTGGAAGATATTAAACTATCGAGCCATTTTCCTTTGTAGCTTATGCGTGAGAAAAAAACAAAATCTGTCATAATCCTTGAAATATCAGGTAATACTATGCATATACGAGTACATTATAGTGTATACTATTAATACATACGTGCAAGTGACATGGCGAGTACAGCGAACCGATAATATCGGAATTTTGTACGGTGATCTGCCGAGCGCAGGCCGAGCCCTGTGAGCAGCGCGCCGCACACGTCTGCTGCCAGCGTCGCCACGCACAGCCCCGCCGCCGCCCTGCATCATACATTATTTATCTATCAGTCTACTACTTACTTCGGAAACTAAGTGAAGTAGGTAGAAATCCTGGATCGAGCATCTCTGATATTTTTATGTGCTAATCAATTTCAACACTATTACCATTTGCCCTACGGTGAAGGAAATCATCGTCAGGAAATTGCATATCTGAAAGAACTTATCAAGTTTTTCGAACGACATGTCTCCGTGTGACAAGTCTGCCAACTTCCACTTGGCCAATGTGGTGTACTATACATATACCCAATACTGATCTCCTTCGTATTGAGGAGAGGCCAGTGCTCAGCAGTGGGACATTAAAAAGGGCTACTTAAATATGTGTGAAAATTTGTATGTTTATTACTCCTTTACACTTAAACGGCTACGGAATTGGATGAAAAGTACACAGATTAACTATGACCTGTAGTAAACTAATAACTTATAGGCTACTGTTAGGCATCTGAGCGAAGGGAGAGTAGGTATGTCACTAATAATAATATAAATGCCATTAATATATATATATTCTTTAATTCAACTAATATTCCAGGCTAAAAGCTTGCCCCAACTCCCCCCACCCCAACCCCTTTGGGTTTTAGTGGGTAGTACTGGCTTTGCCAGTGAGTCCCACACCTGGTGCGTAAATGCATTTCCCAACTTAAAAAAAGGCTAAAAGCTTGTTCCTTTAATAATGCTAGATTTACGTATAGTTTGGATATGGGATGCTTATAATAAAAGTTGAATTACTCTAGAAAAAAAAGAGATGTTAGTATACAGTTTGTATAAAATTAAATGTCAATTGTACATTTTAAAAAAATTAATACGGCTACTTTGTTTGGTGCGAAATATAAATATTATGTATTATTCAAAGCGATTCGAATTCAAGTGGAAGTGAAACATGTTATATTATTCATAAATAATTATAATTATGACAAGTGAACTCTAGCATTTATATAGCTGAAATACAAGTTTAATTTTGCTTAAAAACGTGTATTTATAATATAATCCAACATATTTATTGTTATCTACGTGTTACTAGTTAAAACACTTATATTCTCTTCAAAGTTAATTTTAAACCTTTTCCTGCCTTGAGTTGCATATGTTATACAGTAGAGATACCTCCCTAAGCATGTATGACTATAAAGTAACAAAACGTAAGTCATGTTGGATCACGTAACTGCTCTATACAGGCACATCACGTAAGATGAAAAAAAATGTAGGAGCTCTTCTAATAACGTGATGTTGCGTTTAATTTTTTAATAGGCATTTTTCACTACGGTATACGGAAGCTACGTGAAGACTTAGTGTATTTAATCGCTTAATAGAATGATCTATTTATGGAATAATACTTCCAAAAGCAGCATTAAAAATATGTAAATACAAAAGTATATGAAGATATAAAAAAAATATATAATATAAATTCGGATTTAGATATAGCAGTGCTAGTGTGATAAAGACTACGAAACAGTCTAACACTTTAAATTTCATCGACTGTCTTAGTTAAATATTATAAATAATTAGGTCCACATAATACTTTCTTAGATTTACGCGAATGTTTGACATTATTAAATAAAACTATCTTTTCGGATTATTTCGCGGATTTATTTTGATTTTTGGTTCCCGACGTTTCGAATGCTTTACAGCATCCATGGTCACGGGAGAGACTGAGGTGTTACATGTCTTAAAGATTTAGTTGTTACAGACAGCCTACCCACAATTAACAAAATGAAAATTGCACCAATTACATTACAATATTTTTAACTTTAAACATTTTTATAATTTTAATTATAATTGAATATGGAAAATTATCACAAAGGACTCTTACCATTTTGTCAATGAAGTTAAACACCTAAAACTCATGGACAATGAAACAATGGTTAGTTTCGATGTACAGTCTTTATTTACCAGCCTACCAGTGGAAGACTGTATTGAAATAATATCTAGGAAGCTACTAGATCACAACATGTCAATAGAATACATTGAACTTTTAAAACACTGCCTAACATCCGGCTATCTACTGTGGAATGGTGAATTCTACAGGCAAGTGGATGGAGTGGCCATGGGTTCGCCAGTCTCCCCCGTCGTAGCCGACATCTTCATGGAGGACTTCGAGGAGACTGCTCTGAACACATCACCCGTGACCCCTCGTTTCTACAAGCGGTATGTAGATGACACTTTTACAATATTACCTTCTGATAAAATAACTGTATTCTTAGAACACCTTAATTCTATAAATCCTAAAATTCAATTTACAATGGAATTAGAATCGGACAAAACCTTAGCTTTCCTAGATGTATTAGTTAAACGTAACCCAGACAACACCTTGAGTCATACTGTGTATAGAAAGAAGACCCATACTGATAGGTACCTGAACGGTGAATCTCACCACCATCCTTCACAGTTAGCTACCGTGGGAAAATCTCTGTTTCAGAGAGCGCGCGGGATCTGTGACGAGCAACACCTGGCCGGAGAACTGCAACATGTCAAGCAAGTTCTGCGTGACAACAAGCTGCAAGTGCCGCGCCTGCGTCACAGTGACCGAGTGAAACCAGCCACAGTCGAGCGCGTCCCTGCAATCTTGCCATACATGAAAGGAGTCACTGACAAGATTGGCTACATTCTAAAGCGAGCTTCAATTAAAACTTACTTCAAGCCGCCAAAGAAAATTAGTCAGTTCTTACCACCTGTCAAGTGCCACATCCCTCTACAAGATGCAGGAGTCTACAAGCTTGATTGTGATTGTGGGCTCTCTTACATTGGACAAACAAAGCGATCCATTAGAACCCGGGTCAAAGAACACATAGCTGATGTGAAGCACCGTCGCAATACAACATCTGCTGTCTGCAAACATAGCCAGGACCGCCCAAGCCATTATATTCGTTTCGATAGACCTCAAATCCTGGCGAAAGAAAACCGATATCGCCCTAGAATGATTCGAGAAGCCATAGAAATTAAAAAACATCCAAATTTCAATAGGGAAGATGGCTGGGTACTACCATCGTCATGGGATCCTGTTATTAATATAATAAAATCAAATAATAAATATAAACATAACAGACAGGCAGATGTAGTAAGTTCATACTGTGTAGATCAAAATGACAGCTTATCAGATTAATATTTTTCATTTGTAAAAGTATATATTAATAGTGTTGCTTAGTAAGTTGTTTTTAAATAATAGCAAACTAAATTAAAATGATTATCCTTAATTAATTTTAACTTTTTTAAATTACACATAGAACAATTATATGGCTTTAATAATTAATACTATATTTTTATATTTTTTATTTATGGTTATAAATATAATAATGGCAACACTAAATATAGATTACTAATTAATATTTTTTAATTGTAATAGTTATAAAAATAATAGCAAAAATTAAATAAATAATTTTCCATATTCAATTATAATTAAAATTATAAAAATGTTTAAAGTTAAAAATATTGTAATGTAATTGGTGCAATTTTCATTTTGTTAATTGTGGGTAGGCTGTCTGTAACAACTAAATCTTTAAGACATGTAACACCTCAGTCTCTCCCGTGACCATGGATGCTGTAAAGCATTCGAAACGTCGGGAACCAAAAATCAAAATAAATCCGCGAAATAATCCGAAAAGATAGTTTTATTTAATAATGTCAAACATTCGCGTAAATCTAAGAAAGTATTATGTGAACCAGTACGGACTGGAAACCGCAAACAAGATACGCCGGTTAGAAGATCTAAAGACAAAGCGCGCAAGATTATTAACATCGTTAACTTTCTTGAAGAGATGTCGTGATCATCGTCTCATTCCTACGTGTGTGAAAATATCTTCCAAAAAGAACATACGAGGAAGCGCTAAGATCGTAAACCAGGCAAGTTTTAAGTTGTTACGGACAGTGATTCGACAAAATCGCCGCGATCTACGCAGAAACGACCGGGACATTGAACAGACGTCTAATATTGTTAAGACAGTATTGACACCATCTGATTTCAACGATTGCATTGACACTTTAAATAAGCGTGAAACAACCAAATATAATCAGTGCAAAATTAAACATATTTTAAAATATCAAAAACTCGTTGAAAAATTAAACATCAAAAAGAAAAAGAAAACCATAGAGTATAACGGAACGCGCCCGTCTACCACAGATACACACTCGTGCGGACCTCAGGTTGTCAATCTGTCAAACAAACGTTAGACGAACCTACCATTCGGGTACTAAATAAAGGTTTGAATTTTGCTGTAACGCCTACGCGCATTCCTTATGAAAACATTATTTGCGCAGTTGAAGATGCCCTGACCCAAAATATTATGAAAACTGAGGATATGGAGGCCATACGTCAAGATGTTTCGTCTTTATTACGTCGTAGTACTAGGCCCAAACCAAACCTCAATAAACAAGAGTATTTAGCGTTGAAGAACCTACGCAATAGGTCAGACATCACCGTTCTACGCGCAGACAAAGGAAATGCAACCGTTGTGATGGATACATCAGATTATAATGATAAAATAAAACAACTTTTGTCGGACGAGAGCACGTACAAAAAGGTTAAAACGGATCCAACTACCACCGTTTTAAATAATACTAAAAAGCTAATTAAGGAACACTCCGACACATTAAATCTTGATGTTAAAAATCTTATTCCATCATGTGCAAAACCACCTAAGTTGTATGGACTTCCGAAAATACACAAGACTAACGCTCCGCTACGTCCAATTGTGAGTCAAATCGACTCACCGACTTACAAATTGGCTAAACTAGTAGCAAAAGTACTCTCACCACTCAGAGGATTAACAAGAGCGTTCACAAAGGACTCTTACCATTTTGTCAATGAAGTTAAACACCTAAAACTCATGGACAATGAAACAATGGTTAGTTTCGATGTACAGTCTTTATTTACCAGCCTACCAGTGGAAGACTGTATTGAAATAATATCTAGGAAGCTACTAGATCACAACATGTCAATAGAATACATTGAACTTTTAAAACACTGCCTAACATCCGGCTATCTACTGTGGAATGGTGAATTCTACAGGCAAGTGGATGGAGTGGCCATGGGTTCGCCAGTCTCCCCCGTCGTAGCCGACATCTTCATGGAGGACTTCGAGGAGACTGCTCTGAACACATCACCCGTGACCCCTCGTTTCTACAAGCGGTATGTAGATGACACTTTTACAATATTACCTTCTGATAAAATAACTGTATTCTTAGAACACCTTAATTCTATAAATCCTAAAATTCAATTTACAATGGAATTAGAATCGGACAAAACCTTAGCTTTCCTAGATGTATTAGTTAAACGTAACCCAGACAACACCTTGAGTCATACTGTGTATAGAAAGAAGACCCATACTGATAGGTACCTGAACGGTGAATCTCACCACCATCCTTCACAGTTAGCTACCGTGGGAAAATCTCTGTTTCAGAGAGCGCGCGGGATCTGTGACGAGCAACACCTGGCCGGAGAACTGCAACATGTCAAGCAAGTTCTGCGTGACAACAAGCTGCAAGTGCCGCGCCTGCGTCACAGTGACCGAGTGAAACCAGCCACAGTCGAGCGCGTCCCTGCAATCTTGCCATACATGAAAGGAGTCACTGACAAGATTGGCTACATTCTAAAGCGAGCTTCAATTAAAACTTACTTCAAGCCGCCAAAGAAAATTAGTCAGTTCTTACCACCTGTCAAGTGCCACATCCCTCTACAAGATGCAGGAGTCTACAAGCTTGATTGTGATTGTGGGCTCTCTTACATTGGACAAACAAAGCGATCCATTAGAACCCGGGTCAAAGAACACATAGCTGATGTGAAGCACCGTCGCAATACAACATCTGCTGTCTGCAAACATAGCCAGGACCGCCCAAGCCATTATATTCGTTTCGATAGACCTCAAATCCTGGCGAAAGAAAACCGATATCGCCCTAGAATGATTCGAGAAGCCATAGAAATTAAAAAACATCCAAATTTCAATAGGGAAGATGGCTGGGTACTACCATCGTCATGGGATCCTGTTATTAATATAATAAAATCAAATAATAAATATAAACATAACAGACAGGCAGATGTAGTAAGTTCATACTGTGTAGATCAAAATGACAGCTTATCAGATTAATATTTTTCATTTGTAAAAGTATATATTAATAGTGTTGCTTAGTAAGTTGTTTTTAAATAATAGCAAACTAAATTAAAATGATTATCCTTAATTAATTTTAACTTTTTTAAATTACACATAGAACAATTATATGGCTTTAATAATTAATACTATATTTTTTATATTTTTTATTTATGGTTATAAATATAATAATGGCAACACTAAATATAGATTACTAATTAATATTTTTTAATTGTAATAGTTATAAAAATAATAGCAAAAATTAAATAAATAATTTTCCATATTCAATTATAATTAAAATTATAAAAATGTTTAAAGTTAAAAATATTGTAATGTAATTGGTGCAATTTTCATTTTGTTAATTGTGGGTAGGCTGTCTGTAACAACTAAATCTTTAAGACATGTAACACCTCAGTCTCTCCCGTGACCATGGATGCTGTAAAGCATTCGAAACGTCGGGAACCAAAAATCAAAATAAATCCGCGAAATAATCCGAAAAGATAGTTTTATTTAATAATTAGGTCCAGCAAAAATGTAGGTACTCAATTTCAATCATGATCTACAAAAATAACTAGACCATAATCGCTAGTCTCTACCTATACCCTTGTATGGTCAATACATCTTACTACCTACATACATAAAACATTACTGTTGTTGAATGCCCTTATTTCTATATATGACGAATAGCCTTTAAAAATTTTACTATATTCTTAACAATATAATTATATATTTAGTATTGTTTAATATGTTTACTCACTTGATATATGGCGCGGGCCTCGCAGCGTAGCAACCGGGTTGAGCCGTTATGTCGAAGGGGAGCGGCGTTGGTGCCTCGGGGTCTATGCAGTGCATAAACAAGCCCTGTCTCCAGCCCGCCGCCATCAGCCAATCGGCTGATGCCAGCCCCAAAACCATTAGTATCACTACTAAAAGTCCACATATTAACGCGATCACCTATAAATCAATAAATTATGATATCAGATTATAATTGCGATTAATTATTATTTTAAAAATATGTAGCCTATTGAATGAGTGCCAACTAATATCAGATTCAGATCAGATGAGGTTTCTAGTACACCCATGGGATAAGTAGTATTTTAAAACAGTATAAGTGTTATTTCAAAATGTAATAAATGAGCTGGAGTTTTTTTGTCAAGAAGTCCAATTTAAAAGAGTAAAGGTTTCATACCTAGATGGTATAATAAAAAATCTTAACACAAAACCAGCTCACAGCACGGAAAATAGCCTCTTAGAGAGTAGTTTCTCGTTAGCGAGACCTATTTAATTTATGTAATGAATGTAGAGTCTCACAGTCAGTTAGTATTAAAAAATGTAGTACATTTTGAAAAAATAAATTCTTAAATAAATATTCTTAAAAATTCTGACATAATAGCCTACATCTAACTATAGTTTATAACATGAACTACTATAATAATAAAAAAGTAGAATATAAACTTTCAAATAGAAGGTATCAATATGTGTTATTCTTATCCTTTCTAAGGTTAAACATAAACTAGCATTGCCTAAATTGTAACTTCTTTGAAAATGTGCGTGTGACCCTATGTGATATATCATTACCTCGAGGTATAATTACATTACTTTACCTACTAGACCTATAATTGAGAAGTAGGTAGATACTCATAAAAGCATATCGTTTACACAAGAAAACTAATAATTAATATAATTATATATTGAGAAAGTTAAATAAGAATAACTTTAATGGATTTTCTTTTTTTTTATAAAAAATACTAAGTAAAATTCCAAGGATACATTTTTTTGCAAATAATTTTAACATTTTTTTAAATAAATACTAGTCTTACTGAGCATCTAATGAAGACTACGCCAGAATATGCATGTAAAAAAAAACTTTTCCAAGAGAGAACGTCAAAGATAAAGCGCTTCCTTTCCCGTCAGAGTTGTATAGTTCGTCATCTATCAAGCTTGCGCCTTGCAATAAGCCAAAGTGGAACTAGATATTATACGGATTGTACGCTAAGGGTAAGAAAAACGTGAAAGTGAGAGGTATGCCGCATGGGTGTCTCGAGGAGAAGCGGGGGATGTGGGGTGCATCGATCGGGAGTCAAGTACGCGCTCGGACTTAACTGACATCAGCTGTTAGTGGATTCAAACGTCTCAAGACGAGTTAAAAGAATTAAGAATAGTGATACTATAAGCGCCAAGTAGTTTTGAAGGTTTTTTTTATATTTTCTCCCCTAATTATACTTTTACACATTTGAGAAACCTAGTAGAAGGCTTTCAATGCTTTTTGTTGGAATATTTATAATAGATTAAATACTTTTAAGTATTCTTCTTCTCCTAAACGCTTAACTGGTCAAAAACAAAATCTACTTAATATTCAATGCACAGGAAGTATCAAGAGGGATTTAATTCATTAAATAACAAAACGAGTTCAATTTAAGCGTCCTTGTTTTGGACACGTGCATAAAGCAATTCATATTAAATGCTTTTGTCGTTACAAATACAATAAATGATCATTTATTTAAACATTTTTTTTAAAGTAAATACTAAGGTATAAAATTAATATGTCACGTTATGAACCTATCACAACTAAATATTCGAAGAAAGAAGAGAATAAATACGCACCCGATTCCATGCTACTTGCAAAAAAGTCGAAAGCCTGTTCATTTAAATAGTACATCTTTTTCATTTCAAAGCGTATATCATGCCTGCCATATAATGCTGTCATACCAACGTGTCAACTACAGACAGGGTATTCTCGGCATAATACTCTTTCATTCCGTAAATATACATATAATTATTATACAATTTGGATTAAGTTATATAATAAATATTATCAACAAAAAGTGTGGAAAATTTGGTAAAAATAATATTTACAATATTAATAAGAATTTCATTTTCCAGTTATATCCAAAGACAAAATTAATAATATTAAAATCTTGCTTTTAGATTTAAAAAATCTCAAAATTAAAGAATCATTCAATTACTTCATTTAACTTATAATTGTATCTTGATGTGAATAAATATTTTAGAAGCGAGCCGATGGCATATAACTTGTGCAGATAGAGATTGGGATTACCTTTAATTCGCGTCGCCTACCTTGATAACTACCGACGCTTTTACTATAACCTTGTCTATGTAATTTATTTATTTTATTTATATAATCTAATTACTTCCTTCTATTTTACGATATTTGAGATTAATAAAAATATTAAAATTAAATAAAATATTATTTACCATCAATAATATTTTATATTTAACCCTATAACAGCGAAAAATCCGAAATAACATGGCTATATTATTTTATTACGATAATAAAATACCATGAACGAATTAGTTCGTTCATGTAAAGTACCTATAATAGTATAGTAAGTACCAATAATATTTAAAAATTATAATATATTAGAATAATATTTTTCCATTGATCAGCCGTTTCAAAATTAGGTATGAAGGCACACACACACACACCAATGCCATAATTTCAAATCATGCACTCGTTGTATGTACCGTACCTTACTGACTACTGATATAAAGACTAAGCGCGAAGTTTGACACTACTACGAGTACTTAAAACGCTTTGTCTAGACAAAGATATAAAGAGAGAAAATCTAAATAAAGTCAATGTTCCCAGTGTCTACCCCACAAAGTCAATGAGTGCAAGTTAGATATTTTTGGATCTCAAATAAGAATGTAACAAAATGTATACTTAATTTAAAAGGATCGACACTTCAGAATGTCATATTATCTTACTAATAATATAAATACTGAACGTACGAGAACGGCTGAACGGATCTGGATGAAATTTAGCACAGAGATAGATCATGGTCTGAAATACCACATAGACTTTTTATCCCGATAAAATGTACGGTTCCAGTGGGATAGATTTGTTTTTGGTTTTCTAGAGGCGAACCCGAGCAAAGCGAGTGTAATCGCTAGTAACTAAGTAGGCTATAAAAAGTCCTTAATATTCTACTACTAAGTAAATAAGTACATTTTATTCAGTTAATATTAGAATTTATTTATGATATATATATATATATATATATATATCTCGCTTATTTATTTAATAATACGTACATATAATTAAAATTGGAAGTAAATATATTATTGTTAAAGTTAATATTAGTTATGCGACAGGAGTCATTTGAGAAGTATTTTATCCAATCAAATAGACTTAACTCCTCTTTCAAAAAAAAACTTAATATTATGAAGATAAAGAAATTCTTCGTTTACTTATTTATATAAACGAACTAATCCCTGGTACTACTAACCAAATTTTGAAAATCTGTTTGCTTTTTATAGTATACTTTTTATATATTGGTTATAGGATATGTAGGTAACTATGTAACATCACGCGACTCTGAACTGAGCAAAATAAAACGCAGACGGCAAGTTAGAAAGTATGCTAAGCGAGAACGAGTAAAAGTGCGGGCATGTCACATGGCGCGGTTAAGGCTTAATATGAAATTACATTTCCCACGATAAAAAAGAATACTTTTAGGTACCTACACTCTTCATTACCAAACAAAGTATAATCCTGTCATTTACTTATACGACAACTAAACTGACTAAATGTAACTAAGGTGACTTGAGGTTAGTTCAAAAAACTTGATCAATCTAGAACAATGTTGATGGAAAAGCGTTTGGTAGAAAGTAGAAACAATACGCGATGTAAGAACCTACGCGGGACTAGCAGCAAACCAACATTATTATAAATATTCAGAGTAACTTTATTTTTACTGGCATTATTAAATAATAAATAATAATAAATAATTTTATCAGTAAGAAATATAGGAGAATTAAATACGTATCTAATAATGAGCTGATAAACATTACGTAAATGTCTGAAATATTCGTAGACGTCTTATAGAATATAAACAGTTTTTCAATTCTATACGTAGCAAGGCCTTTAGCGTTTAGATAGAGTCCGTCGAAGATGTAACTTTCTCGAAATGACCCTAGAGAGCCTTGTCGCAGACAGCCTAAACATCATGAAAAAACTAACGACTACAAAAATTGGAATTTTAAAGACTTCAGAGGAAGAAATTCTTAATATCTTCATATAAATTATGTCGGTGCATAATGAGTGTCGAAGCTTCTTAAAAGTGTGCAACGACTTAAACGCGTAGTAGCGAGCTCTCAGGAACTTAAAAGAAATGGATTTTTTTGGAGTCAATTGCGCTGGGAGTGAAATTATAAATGTTAACTATAATTACTTTTTTTTTCGAAAAAGAGTCGATAGATACACATTACGTGAAAAAATGTTGTTGACATTTGTAAAAAAACCACAAACATGGTCATTGAAAGCTACTAGCAAAACTTCTTGAGCAATCAAGCGTAATAAAAACTAAACTAAATTGTACGGCTTTTCCATGACGATGTCCTATTACCTGCCCACGCAGCTATAGTAGCAAAGCCTACTAAATGTTATTTTCAGAAAATTGCCCATTAATATCTGTTTGAAGTGTCTGGATTTGTTTTAATTTTATTATGCGACAAACCGATTAAAAATAAAATATTAACTAATATCTCCGCCATACACTAACGAACTTGCTTGTTGTAGTTGTGCGTAGATTTATAATACAGAAAAAGAACAACAATCTAAACACAATGGTCAAATCTATGTAGTGTAATTAGGTCATCGAAAAATATTAAAATATCTATGTTTAGGGTATAAAAAAAATAAAGAACAGTGTATTTCTTTCATTCCAGAAATATGCTGTGAACATTTCAATTTTAGATATTTTAAACAACAGTAAGATTAAAATTTGGCTAATTTAGAGGACGGTACATATATCCAAAAATGTACTATGTTTATAAAAAAAATAAGTTCCTAAATAAAATATATAAATATTTTGACCAAATTCGTATCTCGACACCTTTTATCTGTATATTAATTAACCTGAGCAATCTGATTGGCTGGCATCTCGTCTTGTTCTGACGCGAACTGCGGCGGCGGCGGCAACACAGGCGGCAGGGCGCGCGGGTGCGAGCGGAGCCCGCTCGGGCTAGCTCCCGCGCGCCCCTGCATGCGCGCACGCTCTACTGAACCGCAAAAACCACAATATGTGCACACTTAACACATTGCTCGTCACGTGCCGCGTGCTTTAATTGTATGCACAACACAAAAATTATCCCTTTAACAAATTAAGGCTGCAACCTTTTTCACTTCGTAATTCAGTCAGGTGTGTAATAAATAGTTATAATAAAATTTAAGCTGAATTATTGTGTCAATAAAAAACCTACCAACTTATACATTAATACATAATAGGTATGTACAAGTAAACAATGAGATCGATAAACATATGACAGTAGTAAGTATAAATATAATAGAATAAAATACCTATACTTAATAATAATATGAATATATTATTATATTAGTGACCCACAATAATTATTATAGTGTAATAACAAATAATGTTCAAATAACGTTTATTGTATGTGGCATGCCGAATGAAATTAGGTCAACGCAACGCGAAGGCAAAAGTAAAGAGAAAAGTACGTTATATTGTACAGGTTAGTACCTACTACCAAGTACCTACCTAAAGTAATAAAAAAATAAAAGACGTAAATTAACTATCTATCGGAAAACTCTTACCCCTGCAGTGATGTTATCTGTAATGTATTGTACATAGACATGACGCGGACGAGTTTAAATGCAAATTGCAAAAAAGGCAAAGAAACAATGAACTTTTCGTATACTCGTATAGCGTCAAATGTCAAATATAATATAATTTAAAAACTTAGCAATAAAATGTAAAGTAGAAAAATTAATATTATCTTTTCTTTATTTTTTATGAATAATTTCGTATTACAGGATGGTTTTAAATAATCCAACAGATGTCAAAAACAAACAAAGAATTCACAAATCTTTTATTTACTTATTGAAATTTATTAAAACTTACAATGAGGATGTAAATCACTACGAAAGTCAAGATAAAATAACACTAACAAAAGATAAAAACTATGACGTATTTCCTTTGATATAAAATATAATACCCGTATTTATCAAATTTTTATATAGAGCTTTTCTATTTAATAACATAAGTCAACAACAAAAAAACAAATTGGTAATGATAGACATTTATTTGTAAACGAAATAAAGAAGATAATAATTTCACAAAGAATGAAACATGCGTCCTGAGCTTAGTAGTCATAATTCGTAGTACATACTAAAATTAAAGGATTTCAATATTAAGATCATCGATTAATTTGAAACCACAATATGCTCAACAATAAAATACCCACCCCTAAATATTAATTAATAAACTTGAAATGTGATTATTTCTTAAATTATAAGTCTAAGCTACAATTTTATATATTTAGTATTTAGATATGTAATTTATGTGCTACCGATTCAGAAAATCTGTGTCATGGGATTTAGTACACGAAATTAGGCCAAACTATGACGTTTTAAGTAACAATTGCTATAATGACTAAGTAACGCACCTACTTTATGTCTTTAGGTTCCGTTTCCTAAGTAAAGCTCAAAAAATTTAAAATACTTTGAAATGTATATAGGTATTTATTATACAAAAATTATATCGAAAATTATATCATATCATCCAATTTTTGGTAAGCTTGTGAGTTTTGCGCATTGAGACGCGCCGACTTGGTAGTAGCTCTACACAAAAATCAGCTTCGATTCTATAAACACCATTTTTAAAAACAAACACACCTTTCCACGAATTTAGGAACTAAATTCAATAGATATATGTAGAAAGAGTGTTGTGGGAATATCAAGGTAAGTATTACGGATACGTTCGAAAACAAGGACTAAGCATTTGTTGGGCGGTGAGACCGGGCGGCACGGCGCCTGACGCGAGACTGCCCGCCCGCCGCCCCTACACTTCACATCTGCCACCCTTCGGCGCGCCAACAAAACGCAGATTACGAAGACACATTAATTAGCAAAACTGCTACTTATATTTTAATCATTCTACAACAACTGAAAGCAGTGCTAAGCACATTACGATTATGTACAATAATTGCTGTGCACGTTAAAAAGCGATCAACGAACCTATGTTAATAAATGACTATTTTAGAGATCTTCTCGTTGTTCACACCTGAGTTATTTGTAAGGGTGGGTGGTGAGGCTCACGGTGTGAAGATTGTCGACGTCGTTGACCACACAAGATTCTTAGACCTCTAATGTGCTGAACACAATTTAATTTTGCTGGGAACCTAAGCCATTTCCGAGATTTACTCGCCCCAAATGTCGTAAACATTCGATCTCCTGGTTTGGATGTATCATAGACGATCTTTGGACTATCAGTGCTTTCAGTGTGAGGGGCGACGCGGTATTTTGCTCCCGATATGGCCTTTTTTATACCGTTGACAGCCCGATGAGTTGGGTTTTCATCATATGGCTCTATTTGAGATTCCATTTTCCTAGAAGTTAGTTGCAATGTTGGAAAAGAAGCGATGTCATCTTCTCGTCGAAATAAGCGTCTTATTCGACTTGCTATTGTTTGAGGAGGTTCCGTATTTGTGCCTACAGTACAAAAACGCGGACGTTCATCACAATCTATAGGCACCGTCGTTGGAACATAAGGTTGAGAAGGAAGGGTTGATGCGCGTCTTGGAGATAAGTCATCTTGAAAATCTTGTTGATAAGCCAGTTGCAATGTGCTTATACTTAATAGCGGCTCTGGTGGAGGCCAAAGCTCTCTAGTTGGCGGAACAGGCGATGGTCTCTCCCCGAGCATACGTCTAGCGAGTTCCGTCGGTTGCCACAAAGAACTAGCTGCTAAGTTTCCGTGTGTTTGCATCACGATCCAAGTGATAACTAACGGTGCAAAACCATATGGGCTAATCCAATACTAGGGTTTTGCGCACTTTACGGTATTCTCGGATGAAAATGTGAACCTTTGCTATGTTATTGGATTAAAAGTAACTTTACGGAAGATTAAATTTTTAATCATTTCTATTGGTTATTTAATTTATTTTTTATTCTTAATTATTACTCTAAAACTGGATCTAAGTATCTAAAGATTATATTGTATTATTTAGTAGACATAGGCCGCCCGCATTTAGAAAAAATAAATAAATGTTTTATAGTTGTAAAAACCTCAAAATACCCACTATGTTCTTACGTCGACTTTTTTCCATCATTATTTTTAGTCTTTTTAGTTGACTTCGTACGAGGTTATTTTTTATTTTTGTAATTTATTACTTTATTTACTTACAACTTTTTAGTTTTACTTTTAGTATATTAGACCTTAATGTTGTCCAAAATTGTTTTTAAACCTATAAGATTATTGGTATATAATTTTTTGAAAACCCTATATTTCAATACCCTATTCGATAGCTTTGTAAGTAGAAAAGATAGTTTTATTTAGGTTAAACACATAAATAATCCCTTTTTAGGCTTCGCCGAAGTCGGATACTAATAGGCAACTTAAGATATTGATTACCAGATATCTAAATATTTCTATTGCGACGGAGGTTAGGTTGTCCTTAAGCGGCGTAATTTTTTGTATTTGTACAATAAATTATATTTCCTGCCAGTGGTTGAGAGTTGAGACAAAGTGAGACATGGGGAACATACCTTCCAAAGTGAAAACCCTTCGTTTTTAACCGACAAGGAATATAAACCCTAACTTTTTAAGTTAATTAGTAGGTAATACGAATATAAGAAAAGCCATTTTTGTCAATATTTCACATAATATAATTAATCATATTATATCATAATAACTAACTGCCTCCGTGGTGTAGTGGCTAGCATGTACGGCTGCACACCCGGAGGTCCTGGGTTCGAGTCCCGGGTCGGGCCAAGTTTAGTTATTGAGTCTTTCTGTATAAGTAAGCCTCAGTAACAGCCCGGAGTTAGGAAGTTGGCGGTGTTTCACCCCCGTGCCTCGGAGAGCACGTAAAGCCGTCGGTCCTGCGCCTTAACTCTCACTGGTCGTGTCGAGCAGTCGTCCCACCGGAATATGAGAGTGACAGGAATAGAGAGTGCACGTTGTGTCTGCGCGTACACTTGTGCACTATAATATCTCCTGCGCAGTTGGCTAGTCTCAATGAGATTGGCCGCCGTGGCCGGAATCGGTCGGGAAAAAAAAACATCATCATCATATTATTATTATATGATTGAGAATATGTAAAGCGAGTAGCTATCGCGACAAAAAAAACCAATAACAATAATCAATTTCGGGTAACCTCGAGAGCGAAATGAGGCATCGCGCAAAGCCAAGAACGGACTGGGAGGCGGCCACCTCGATAGGCGGTGTGCTATGCTGGTGGCTCCTGATACTTCTCTGATAGCAGAGTGGACCGTTGGAGCAACCGCATGGTTGTTGTGGTCTGCCTCTGTTTGTCTGGCTCTCAGCTGTCCGATGGCAAGCCTGCCATGGCGTCGTGGTTAGTTGCGTAAGCGCTCCTGCGACGCCCATTAAGACGGGGGAGGTTTGTTGGGTTTTAGTGGTTAGTAACTAACCAGACTTTTCTAGCCGGTGAGTCCCACATAACCACCTGCATCCCTACAGGTGGTATGCATAAAAAATGCATTTCCCAACATTGAAAAAAGAAAGTTACATTAAGGGTATTTATTGCTAGTTTTAATAGGTATTCTTGACTCTTTTTACTATCAATGAGTCCCACATTGGCATGGTGGGCAGTGAACAAATGAAATTCGTAAAAAGCAGCAAAAAATTAACAATTAACTATAATTGAGATAATCTGTGGTATTTTAACTCACTCGCAATATAATACAACATGAAGTTCATTAAAAAATTATATCATTAAAAAATATGTATTCAGCCCTTTTTTTATCGTCCAACTGCTAGGCACGGGCCTTCCTTCAATAGGAGAGGAATCAAGCTATAGTCCACCATGCTGGCCTAGTGCGATTTAGTAGATAGACTTTAGATATCTTTCACGTATGTAGACTTCACATGTCTTTCAAAAACTTGTTAAGTTCGCTCAGACATGCAATTTTACTCAGTGATTTCCTTCATCATAAGACAAGTGGTAATCATGTTGGAAATGGTTCACACTCATCAAATATCAGAGATGGGAGACCTAGGATTTGAGCTCGCTTCACTCGTTTACCCAAGCGAGAATGTTACCAATGGGCCTACCACTGTTAAAAAATATAATTAAAGTATTTGGTAAGACTGTCTCAATTTAGATTTCGGAAAAAAACCTTATCTTAAGTTCATATGATTATTTAAATCACATCCTTTTTTATAAAAAAGGATGTAATAATTTTATTTGATTTCAATATTTAATTAACGAATTTTTATTTAATTTTATTTTAGAATAGTAATAAGTTTTTTCAATTAAAGATTAATCATCTCTAAATACAAATCCTATGATTAAAATCAGTTAAATACTTCAGTGAACATATTAAATTCCATCAGAGACAATTTTTAAAATGTCAATGAAATTTCTTGTCTATTTTTTATTTTTTAATATTCTAATTTAACAATTGATTGATGAAAAGAGAATTAATTATAGGTTTGTCATAAGAGTAAAACAGGGAGTGATCTCGGGTATTTTATAAACTGGAGTAAGGCTAGTGGAAATTTCAAGTGCAGCCTTCAATGCTTTTAACAACAAAGCATCACAAACATAAAACATAATGGTTGGCAGTCTTCACATATAAAGTAATAAACATAGAATAAAAAGTAATACTTATTGTACATTTTTAGGTTTATATTTATTTTATTAACATGAAAATGTTACTTACTTTAAGTGGTCGAGTAATTGTTACTGTTTCAATCATAGTCGTTGAAGCCATATTATGTATTTTACCTATAAACAATATCAACAAAATCATTTTTAACATATAAGAACAAAAATTTATATAAATTGAGAATGTTAGTACAGTAAGGTTCATCAAATAGTTTTACAAAATTCTAACATCATAAACATGTATTAAAAACATATTTATTACTAAAAACATCAAAAGGGTGTAATATAATGATAAAAAGAAGTTTTGTCATGTAAATGTCATGTAAGTGTGGAGGTCAACATATTGACTCATCTCAATGCAATGTCTTAGTATCACTTAATAACAATACAATTTAAAGAGTCATGTTATATGCCGCTTTATTAAAAATATTTCAAATAATAATAGCTGAACAGTTAAAGATTTTCCAAAGAAATGTTTACTTGTAATGAGTAACTACTAACAGATACCTATGACTATTTCAATTTAATGAATAAAACTTCTATATAACTTACATATAGTTGATTAAATGATTTAAATTTGCGAAAAATAACAAAAAAACACCACTACGAGAACAACTGAAATCAATACAATGAAATTAAGTAACTATTTTAATTCTGACACAAAAACATAGCTCTCGGTCTCAGCTCTACGATTGTCTACTTTTATTTTTGTTACTTCATCTGTGACTTTTATCAAATTGCCTTTGAATGTATATCATTATAATAGACAGAATATGAATATAAATTATTAAATGGTGTCGTTTTGTAAAATAAGCAAGACTACATTATTAAAAACCTATACTACTATAAAATCTATCAATGGACCTCAATTTTTTTTAATTATCAATCTATGCTCCATATTATTTCAGCTCTTCATAATCTGTATACACATATCATCATAAAATATAACTTTCTATTTTATCTGTAACATAACTCTTACTTATGTCATAAATGATAAATGTTATTTTAATTTGTTTCCTAATTTCGCGGATGTAAAATTGAAACAAATTTCCAATACCTACTTGTTTCCTGTAGCTTGGGTGATTTTGTTATATGTCAATTCTTTTTGTTTTCAATTTCTTTGAAGTCTTTGTTAAACATAATAAACTTATCAACCAATAAATGTATTTAAAATAGGCTTCAGTGTACATGAAATAATAAGTTTCAACGGAATGGCGGGAATAAAATCTTTAGCAGTAAGAGGAATTCGTAGTTTTGGTCCAGAAGACAATGATGAACAAAGGGTATCGTTTGAGAAACCCTTAACTTTAATACTAGGACAAAATGGATGTGGTAAAACCACAATTATTGAATGTTTACGTTACGCTATCACTGGACAAATGCCGCCGGGCAGTCGAAATGAATGTTTTGTTCATGATGCCAAAGTAAACAGGTCCACTGAAGTAATGGGGCAAGTAAAATTGAAGGTAAATATTATTACTTGAACAATATTTAAACGTTAAAACTCCTATAAACTATAAATTAATTTTAATAACTTAAAATATGTTTAAAATTTTATGGCCCCTTAATGAAATTAATATAAGATTTAAGATATTTCTCAAAAGAATGACAAAATTCACTTAAAAAGAACACATCATATTGTCTGACAAATCATTTCTTATAAATTTTATTTATTCACTATTGAGTTCTCTACTTAGCATTAATTTAAGTGCCTAGGTGGTGTAGTGGCTAGCATGTACGGCTGCACACTCGGAGGTCCTAGGTTCCAGTCCCGGGTCGGTCCAAGTTTAGTTATTGAATCTTTCTGTATACTAAGTCTCAGTAACAGCCCGGAGTTGGGAAGTTAGCGTTGTTTCACCCCCGTTCCTCGAAGAACACGTAAAGCCGTCGGTCCTGCGCCTTAACTCTCACTGGTCGTGTCGACCAGTCGTCCCACCGGAGTATGAGGGAGACAGGAATAGAGAGTGCACTTGTGTCTGCACGTACACTTGTGCACTATAATATCTCCTGCGCAATTGGCTAGTCTCAATGAGATTGGCCGCCGTGGCCGCAAATGGCTACGAAAACATCATCAGCATCTACTTAGCATTATACAGAAACTTATATTTCGAAAAACATGTTACGCTTGAATTTTACGAGTATAAACTTAAACACACTATATAACACTATATGTATTAAAAGTTAAGAGTGTAGTGCTAAGTGTTATAAGACAATAAGTAAGATAAGGCTAGTTACACAGTACACATGGAAGAGGTGATTATAATAGTGATTTAAAACTTGCAGTAAAAAAATGTATACTAGCGACTCACCTTCGCTTTGCTCAGTTTCGTCCCTACTTACATTTTGACGCTTAGTGTGGAAAAGAGCTTTAAATTTTAAATTTTTTTTCGTGATTTTTTTTATGTTTTAATAGTTATTCTGCTATTTGGGGTGAATACAAATCCAACAAAACAAAGATCCTAAAAATCAGTCGAGCAGTTCTCGAGTTATAAGTGTTGTAACAAACCCGACTTTGTTTTATACTTATATATTATAGACTTTTATATTTTTATTTTTTAGTTTCGTTTTTGGAATGTATACATAGTTATTATTGTTATACCTATTTTTATTATTTTATTATCTCAAAAATTTGTTTCACTTTGTTTCGTTCAATACAAATATATTTTAATAATCAATGAAAAATATTTCAGATTGTAAATGCAAAAGATAAACAATTGGAAGTATCAAGATCTATGAGAGTGACTGCTTATTTGAATAAGAAGTCTAAATTTCAAACTTTGGACTCATTTCTCTCAGTAGTAGATGGAAGTGGTAAAACAAAGGACATTTCTTCCAGATGTGCAGATTTGGATTTTGTAATGCATGAAGAATTAGGTTTGTACAGTATATTTTTATTTAAAAAAAAAATGTTTCATGATAGCGTGTAATGAAGCTGTAAGTTATTGTACATCGCTTTAATTTAGTAATATTATTAGTCAAATAATCAGTAGTAGACACATAAAATTTTATAAATTACATATTGTTTGAACATATAGTATGTTTTATTATATTTATGTTATTAAACAGCTTCTTCTGATTTTTTTTGTGTTTTTATATTGATGTTAGTTAGCAATTTATTGAATCCTGTATAGTACAGAAGAGACTTAAATTAAAACTTATTGTTTACAGTAATTTTTACACATGTGACATTGTTTACTGTAACATTGAAGAAAGTACCACTTGTATGTATTACTAAATTAATAGCTGTGTTTAGCCAGCCTTAAGTCTAGTAAATTCAATATAACTTTATGTTTTTAGGAGTGTCCAAAGCCATACTAAACTCAGTGATATTCTGCCATCAAGAAGATTCCAGTTGGCCCTTAGATGAAGGAAAAAAAGTTAAGGAAAGATTTGATGAGATCTTTGATGCAGACAAGTACAGTGATTGCTTTGATCGTCTGAGGAAAATAAGAAAAGAATATGCTACTAATATTAAATTATTAGGTATATACATTTTATTTAGTATGAGGGGTAAATAAGATTAAATTGTCAGTTTGTTTTGGAACTGAGTCAAATACTAGATTTGATTTGGAGGGATATCCAGCAGTTTTGCTTATTATACAAAATAAAACAAATTAGCATCAATAAATTCCTTTCTGTTATGATTAGATATTTTAAAATGTAATATTTGTTGCAGACCAAGAAGTATCTTTCTTAACAGAAAAAAAACAAGATCTAGACAAGAAAAAACTTGATTTGGTTAACACTGAGTCGCGAATCTCTGAAGCAGAAATAAAAATAGCCGAGCTGAGTCATAAATTAAAACCCATAACAGAAAAATTAATTGCTATTGAAACTTTGCAGAAGAATTTGGTGGAATTTGAAACTAAACGAGAGAAAATTAAGACTAGGTAAATCTGGTGTATGCTGTTATGGTAAACAATAAGCAAATCCCATCACATCCAAAGCTCATAAAAGTGTAGAATTGTCCAATGTGGGTTTCGATAACTTAGATTCAAACTTGATATACATGTTTTTATTTAGTAAGAAATTTAACTATTAATTTCCAAAGTTTTAAAAAATATAGAGCAAGGAAACTCATTTAATAAACTGTTGTTATTGTATAATACTTTCTTAGATTTATACGAATATTTGACATCTATATATACATAGTCTTGCCCTAAGTATTGTTACAAAGAAAAAAACATTTTTTCTATTGCACGTAACATTTATTACTATTACAGTGTGTTTAATACATGAATATAAAATCATTAAAAATATATAAAGCTTATTTGAAGTAGTCTCCATTGGCTGCAATACACTCTTTTAAATGTTGAATACTCTCTAAAACTGACCATAAATTATAATCAGTTAAGAAATGACCAGTCTCTGAGTCATTTTTTAAAATACGCAACATGTGTCTAGGTGCTATCTTCATCTCCCGAGAGAAAATCTTTTGCTTTCGGTCAGGATTTTTTCGATTTATTTTTGCCTTACTGCTTTGATCGCCTTTTTCGTACGAACACTAAGTGGACGGCCAGATCTTTTTCTGTCACAAACAGAGGAGGTTTCATTGTACCTATCAATAACCCGGTACACAAACATTTGACTAATACCAAGCATATGGAGAGTTTTAAAAATTGTATTTGGCTCCATATCTTTTTTTTTTTTTAAAAGCCGCCATGTGGGACGCCACGGGATCGCTCTCGCATACAACCGCGACACCCCGACGGTTGGCCGAAGCCACCAACCATGAGGCCGCCCCAAGCGGGACAACCCCATTATGGGAAGACTTGCAACCCAACAAGTGAGGCCGCTCCTAAGTCCACTCTGCTGATCAGAGAAGTACCCGGAGCAGCCCCACACCACACAAACACCGCCCACCGAAGTGGGCAACCTGCAAAAATAATGAACCCCACCCAAATTGGGCAAACCCCCCAAAGACGCCTGCGAACGAGCCCAAACACAAACGGCTGCAGGAGAAGAGGATGCGACAACGCCGACACTCCCCTTCCCCTGCAGCCCCACCGCGTCCACCATCAACGGTGGTGGCCCCGCTAGGCCGCGGGAGATAGGGACGAGCGGCGCATCGCCAAACCGACACTCCTCTTCCCCCGCGGCCCTCCTACCGTCGGCCCACCTCCGGACCAAAATGGCTGCCGACATCCCTCGCCATACGCAGGACCATCGAAATGGCCCCGCTCCAGCCGCCGCACCGACGGGCTAGCCCCGGCAGTGTGGCCCGCGCAGCACCTCCTACCGCAAAACGGCCGGAGACACCGCGCTACCTCCAGGAAGGAGACGGCGCCCTCTAACGCCACTCCCTCAACCTCCCCTCCTGGCTGTTGGTCCGCGCCGGATTGCTCCGGTACCACAAGCTCCTGTCGGGTCCAAACAGGTGCGAGTGGTGTTCCCCTATCCGCCACCCGGGGACGCGTCCGGTAGCAGTCAGCCTCTGCCCCGGATGGCTCCATATCTACTTTGTGTAATGTAATCACAGTAATTCGGTTCTCAATATCACCCCACTCCATTCTAATATCACAAAATATTTTACAATATATTGGCGCGAACATGAGAAAACACAATGAACAATCATATAAAAATGATTCCATATTCAAATGTAATATTTTGTTTATTTTTAATTGTAACAGTATTTATGGCCAGACTATGTATATAAAATAAAGCCCGGTTTGTTACAACAATTTTAACTCGAGAACTGCTGGACCGATTTTCATTGTTTTTGATTTGTTGGATTTGTCTCCACCCTGAATAACAGGAATAACTATTAAAATCCAGGAAAAAAAAAAGATTAACGCTGGCTAATAAATAACGTACCTACAGACGAACCTGAGCGAAGAGAGGGTGAGCCGCTAGTTTTTAACCAACTTCCAAAAAGGTTCTCAATTCATCAGAATCTTTTTTTAAAGTATGTTCACCGATTACCTACTCAAAAACGCCTGAACGGATTTGGATTTATTTTTAAATAAAACTATTTTTCGGATTTTTTCGTGGATTTATTTTGATATTTGGTTTCCAACATTTCGAATGCTTTACAGCGACATGGTCATGGTCATGGGAGAGGCTCCCGAAAAAAAGATTATTTAAAATGTTGTTATTGTAATTAATAAAAACAAGTCAATATTAGTCCCGCTGAGTTTCTTTCGCCAGTTCTTCTCAGGTTTGAGGCTTCTTCTTTCCGAACTAGCAGTAGACTCATGACGTTCAGTAAAAACTTGTAATAATTTAATGCTGAATAAAATATTTTGATTTTGAATAGTTCAGTCACTATACAACCATATACTTTTTTGGGTTGAATATTTTTTTTTATTAATTTAGCATAAACATCAATAACAAATTGAAGCATCTTATGCCATCAATAGATATGTGAACTTTCTTTAATACTTATTATATCTAATACCTTTAAACAAGCAATTCTTGTATATTTATTTATCTATACTAATAGAATAAAGAGGTAAAGTTTGTGAGTTTATGACGTTTTAGGGGGTAATCTCTGGATCTACTGAACCGATTTAGATGAAATTTGGTAAGAAGATAGTTTGAGACAGAAATCGTCCCTTAAATAGGTGAAAATGGGAATGAAAGTTTGTATGGTGCATCAACCTAGAGACGAACCCGAGTGAAGCGAGGTTGAGTCGCTAGTTTATATATATCTGCGATCTCGGAATCGGCTCTAACGATTTCGCTGAATTCGGTATGCCGGGTTCCGGGGCGAATAATCGATCTAGATTAGTCCTATGTCTGGGAAAACGCGTGTTTTCAAGTTTTCATACGGGTTTCTTCCGCATTATTCCACGCAAAATATGGTCGCTAATTTCGTAGGCTCAGGCATATGCATCGTGGTTAAGCGGCCAAGGCACAAGATTGACATTCACACGTGTCCGGGTTTCGAATACAATTTTTTTTTTTTATTCAAGTTTTTAGGTTTATTTTTTATCTAAAAAAGATGATATAACAAAAAAGAACTTAGGGCGAAGCTCGGTCGCCCAGGTACTTTTACATAATATGTTTTATGTAAGGGTAATTCTCTAGGTGGGCTTTAAAGATTAATTTATTTTAGACAATACCAGTACTAAGTCAGCTCTGACAGTGTACTTACTATTTATAATTTAAGTTTGAAATTCAATAACTAACAATCCTTGATGCCTAAATAACTCACATTTGCTACTAAAAATCATGTGCATAAACAAACAGTTTTATGGTCTGGTAATTGAATTAAATAACATTATAAGCTCAATGAAATGATAATGATGTAAGTAATAGTATTTTTTTTATAAGAATAGGTAGATTAACTTGTATCATCTTTAACAGCACTTCTAATTTCTGAACATCCACTACCATAAAATGGACTATCTAAATCTACCATTTCACTTCGCAGATTAGAACATAGTAAAAATGAGGAACAGGAGTTAATGAAATCAATCCAAAGCACTTTTGAAGGATCGATCGAAGAGCTTCAAGAAACTATAGGTAAATAATATTATTAGTGCATAAATGGTAATGGACCCAGAGAGTATGTAAAGCCTACTTGACTTAGATTAAAATCAAGCAAGTAAAATTCTAAGATATCATTAGATTTGGTTATTTAGCTAGTAATAAAAGCAATTTATAATTTAATTGTTACATTTACCTATTGTGAAAAATTGTAGATTTTTTTTTCTTTTTTCCATCTGCAATCGGCCTAATTAATGGCTATTATGTTAAAATAAATTAAAAAAATACCACTTCATTAATATTTGTGAAATTAATTCTAACTACAATTATACATTTATGTAGGGCATATAAATAGTTTTTTTTTTAATTCATATGAATTTCTAGCTAACTATGACTCAACCGCTAAAAGTAAGAGAGCTGAGTTGGATGATTCGTACAATAAGAACTTCACGTTCAATAAAGAAGAGGAGAGAATAGGAAATGAAAAGACTTCTAATGAGGTTAAATTCAACAAACTGATTCTACTGGAAAGTCAGAACCAAGATAAGATAGATAAAAGGAATGTCTTGATTGTGGAGACCGCTAAGCTTGCTGGTAAGTGTTGCATAGGTGTTTGTGTCCGAAATGTTACGGATATTGCATGTTATGGAGAAGGATGGGAGGGAGGGAGCTGGTTAAGCTCTTTTTTTAAACTTAGGAAATGTTTTTACGCATACATAAAATACATACGTATTTATGATAACTGAATTTTTTACTACCGAAATTACAAAATTACATGATTGCTTCTTTTTAGATAAGTACAAGGTATTATAAAAAAAAATTGAGGCAAAAATTTAATGCCGAGCGTCATTGTTGACGATTTTCAAAAATTCTAAATTTAACTAATTTTTCATTTTTTTCCCAAAATATTTTTTTTTTAATAGGCCCAAGTGTCTTCTTTAAAACAAATAAAAGTCCATTTCTGTATCTATAACAGTTTTCGAGATATTTGAAATATGAAGTTGAAAAATTAAAAAAAAATACATTTTGAATATTTTCATAACTTTTGAAGAAAGATTTTTATTTTTATTCCTTTGGCAGAACTTTGTTATATGATAAAAAAAAACTTCTGACCACTATTGGTCGGTTTGACATGGAATGATCCTTTAACTATACAACAATCAAAATAACAAATGATTTATTTATTTTAGACCTTGAATTGGAAAAGATAGAAAGTAATGAAGAAGCAATAAATGGTATGAGCGCCATTAGTGAGAAGATTGCGGAATTGCAAAAAAAATTGAAAGAACAAAAAGCTGTCACCGATCAACATGAAAAAGAACTACAGAAATATATTGATGGGAGTAGAGACACACTTGTAAGTTAATTCTTGTTTTGTATTTTATTACTCATAAATATATAATTAACAGTTAACAGAAAGCAAATTTCGGAATATAAAAAAGAAAAAACTTCCCACTGGTGGGCACGAGCCTCCCTTCAGTACGAGGGGGACCAGGCCATAGTCCACCACGCAGGGCAACTGTGGGTTGACGAACTTCACATGTCTTTCGAAAACTTGCTAGGTTCTCTCAGATATGCAGGTTTCCTCACGATGTTTTCCTTCACCGTAAGACAAGTTATAATCATGTTAGAAATGATTCGCACATGAAAATATCAGAGGTGCAAGACCCGGGGCTTGAATCTGCTTCACTCGGTTTCCCATGCGAGCGCGTTACCCTTACCACTGAGCTACATGTCTGAGGGAACCTAGCAAGTTTTCGATAGACATGTGAAGTCCGCCCGCACTTGGCCAGCGCGGTGGACTATGGCCTGATCCGCGTCTTATTGAAGGAAAGTACGGGCTTTCCTTCAATAAAACGCGGATCAGGCCAGCAGTGTTAAAAAGGGGACATAAAAAGGGCTGAATGCATATATTTATTATATTAACGCTAAATTCTTTTCTTTACAGTCTCGTCATAAACAAAAAATATCGAACAAAGAATCTGAAATACAAAATGTAAAAAAAGATTTAGTTAAAATAGAAAAGCAAATAAATGATGCCAACAAGTCGAAACTGAAAGTAGAGGTTTTGGAAACAAAATTAAAAAATGCAGAAGAGTATGTATTATTTACTAATACTAAGTATGCAAAATAATGAACAGAATATAAAATGTAAAGAATCATTTCAAAACATAAATTAATTATTTATACTGTTTTATAAATAAAATGAGAATAAATTTTATTTAAAAGAAACACTTCTAGCAAAAATAATACACACAAATCATATAATTACACAAGATTACATATTGGTTTCTATAATTTTTATTCTAATTTTATAAGTAATTTCTTACTTTTTTATATTACAGTAATTTAATTTAATTCTAATATTTTTTTTTACATTTCATTACATTTACAGGGAATATGAAAAACTTGTAAATGAACTAAACACAGAAGAAGTCCAAAATGAGATAAACGCTGATGAAAAACTTATAGAGGAGCAGGAGCAAGAGCTTGAACAACTTAGTGAAAAGGTAATTATTGTCTGTGCCTCGGTGGTGTAGTGGCTAGCATGTACGGCTGCACACCCGGAGGTCCTGGGTTCGAGTCCCGGGTCGGGCCAAGTTTAGTTATTGAGTCTTCCTGTATAGTAAGTCTCAGTAACAGCCCGGAGTTGGGAAGTTGGCGGTGTTTCACCCCCGTGCCTCGGAGAGCACGTAAAGCCGTCGGTCCTGCGCCTTAACTCTCACCGGTCGTGTCGAGTGGTCGTCCCACCGGAGTATGAGAGTGATAGGAATAGAGAGTGCACGTTGTGTCTGCGCGTACACTTGAGCACTATAATATCTCCTGCGCAGTTGGCTAATCTCATTGAGATTGGCCGCCGTGGCCGGAATCGGCTAGGAGAACATCATCATCATTGTCTGTTTGTTTTAAAGAATTTTTAAAAATCACTTTATTAGACGATAATTTACGATAATAAAATATGATATGATATTAATATTAATAATAGTTATAGATTCTAACTTTCTATTTAAACTTTTTAAATAAAACTATCTTTTCGGATTTTGTCGAAAAATCCGAAAAGATAGTTTTATTTAAAATGTCAAATATTCGCGTAAATCTAAGAAAGTATTTCTATTTAAAATTGAAGATGTCTATTGATTAAAATTTATAATTAATTTCAAATCTTAGCTTCATACTTAGAGAAATAAAGGCTTAATAAGTTATTTAGATGACAACACATATGGCTCAATAAGTAGTAATGGCTGATTTAAAGGCTCGTTTGGCTCAGTTTGTGTTGACCCTACTTACTGTGCCAGTGGTCGAGGGTTCGAGTCCCGCTAGGAGCTTTCATTTGTGTAACGAGCACGAATGTTTGTACTCAGCCATGGGTGTTTGTATTTATAATATGTATGTTTAAATACATACATTTTACAGTTATATGTGTAGTGTATCAACTATGTGGTATCCATAACACAAGTCTCGTAGCTTACCATGGAACTAGACGGTGCTGTGTGTTAATGCTCCAACATATTTATTTATTTAGATATTTAGTATTTAATTATTATAAGTCCATATATGGCACTAATTATGACTTATTCATGTTCTACTAAAACCCATTTTTGCAGATAACTAAATTACAAAAGCAGAGTTCAAAGTTGAAAGAAAAAGATATGATTGAAGAGTCTTTAAAACAAAAAGAGAAACAATTAACGGTGCTAAAGAACAAACATAAGTCAGCCATTACAGAGTTGCTCGGCAGTATTCCGGAGAAAGACTTTGCTATTTCTATCAACAAAATTGAATGCCAATTAAGAACTGAAGTTGAGTCACTTAAAAAGAAGATGACTGATAAACAAAATGAGGTTTCGATTTTTTCGTTTTTTATTGTAGATATTCAAATTTCATAACAATTGTAGTTTATTATTTTTAATTTTTATATGTTAATGTTGTATTTTACTTTATGCATTAAGTAACAAATGAGACACATTATTTCTGGAAATATCCAAGGATAAGTTTTAAGGAGTTTAAATGTCAGAGTCAGACTCGCACTTGGCCGATTTTCTACAGTAAGGTAGGTATGTGAATATAATATAGTGTCGACTTTATGGTGTTATATCTTACAGGAAGATAAATGAATATTACTTTATATATTAACATATTTTACAGTAAGTATGGCTGCCGGTCCAGAGGTCTTGGGTTCGAGTCCTGGGCCGGGCCAAGGTTATTTCATGAATCTTTCTATCTAGAAAATCTCCATAATAGTACAGAGTTGGGAAGTTGGCGTTGTTACACCCCTGTACCTCAGAGCAAGTAAAGCTGATCTGTGCCTTAACTCTCACCGCTTATATCGAAGTATCGTCCTATCGGAGTTTGAGAGTGAAAGTCTCATGAGTGTAACATAGCGTGTATGTGGAAACGACTGACGGGTTTGGCTCAGTTTGTATTAACCCTACTTGCTGTGCCAGCGGTCGCGGGTTCGAGTCCCGCTGGGGGGTATTCATCAGTGTGATGAGTACGAATGTTTGTACTCCAGTCATAGGTGTTTGTATTTATAATATGTATGTATTTAAAAGTTATATATGTGTAGTGTATCAACTATCTGGTATCCATAACACAAGCCTCGTAACTTACCATGGAACATATTCTATTTTATCAAATGTATAAACAGATAACGCGGCTGGAGGCGGAGCGGCGGCACGCGCGCGAGGCGCTGGGCGCGCGGCGCGGCGAGCTGGCGCGCGCGCAGGACCGCATGTACCAGGCGTGCGGCGCCGCGCCCTACGACCAAGCGCTCGCCAAGGCCGCCGCCGCCGTTGACAGGCTCCAGGTACCCACTCGCCCGCTCACTCTCTCACCCACCCAACCATATTATACAATTCATTGTATACATTGTATAAAACCAATAAAAGAAACATGGTACTAATATTTCATAACTACGGGGCATTAATAAAGCGAAGAATGGAACGGCGGCTGCAAAGAATGATTTTTTGAGGGCCGGCTGGAGCCCCGTCGATCGCGAGGCCTTGGTCACTTGTCTATAGTACCCAATGGAAAAGAGGGGCCTGCACGTAAAGCCGTCGGTTTTGCGCATCGATCAAAAAAATACTAGATTCACAATCCTGTTTAAAAGTTGTCTCGAAACTGTCACCAATTTTGTTTAGGTAATTATTTCAGTTGAAATAAATATACAGGAATGTAAATCGAACCTTATGTGCAAAGCTTAAAGTTGTTTTCACCAGAAAAAAATTAAAAGCGCGCTCAAGTGTTAAAAGAGCGCTCTGTCGGTGAGGACTTTTTTATCGCTGATTGTGTATCTTGTATTTTTTTGATCGATGGCTCTGCTTCTGATCACCCCTGATTGTGTAGAATTGTCGTCCCACCAGACTGTGAGAGTGACGGGAATAGAAAGTGCCCATACTTATGCACTATAATACCTCTTGCGCAGATGGCTAATGTCACAGTTAGAAAGATAGGCCGCTGAGGTCAAAACAGGCAAAGAGGACATCATCATAGTAAACAATAAGATGAAAAATATTTCTATTTGCATTACAGGAAGAGCAAAACCTTCTGCAATCGTCAATGTTCATTATAGCGAAATATAAAGGACAATTAAAAGATAACAACTGCTGCCCGCTCTGCAATCGTGGGTTCGATTCCGAATCCGAGGTTAGTAGTACTTAGATTATTTTTATATATATTTTAAAATTAACATAAACTTTATATACCAAGCGAAAATTATTTTTTTTAATTTACAATGCAGTGCAGAAACGCGGGCTTACTAAACCGATTATTATAATTATTTATCAATAAGTTATTATATTTTTTAATCATTTTGTATAATCGATCCATTTTCAGGTAACAGATTTGATATCTCAATTAACAACTCAAGTGTTAAATGTACCTACGAAATTAGAGAAAGTGACGGAAGAACTGCAGCGTGCCTCCGCTAAGAAAGATGACTTGTTAAGTATGAGGTCTGTTAACGAGACTATTGTCACCTTGAAAGATACTGACATACCGCAGCTTGAGAAACGCATGGAGGAAATTGACAAGGTAATATCATCGACAAATTAGCTGTATATCGATAATATGAAAATAACTCTTTATCTTCATACTATTAATTATGTTCAACTCTTTAACGTCCCACTACTGGGCACGGGCCTTCCTTTAATGCAAGAGGGGTCAGGCCATATACACACACAAGTGCGGGTTGGCGGACTTCGCATGTCTTTTGAAAACTCGCTAGGTTCTCGCAGACATGCAGGTTTACTCACGATATTTTCCTTCATCATAAGACAACTGGTAATCATGTTGGAAATAATTCGCACATGCAAATATCAGAGGTGCAGACCCGGGATTTGAATCTATCTAGCTACCTACCTACCTAGAGCGCGTTACCACTTGGCTACTACTGCCTTTAAAATTAATTATATTATTATCTTCTGTTTCTATATTATTAAATAAAAATAGGTTAAAAAGTACAAAAATGTACATACATATGGACAAGCATATGTTACCGAGATTACCTTAAATATATAGGTTCTTATTGTCATAAAGCCTAATAGTAGTTGTTATATCATGTTAAATGTGTGTTACCAACTTAAGAATGGTTGTATAAAAAACAATATTAATATTTCAGGAAATATCAAGTCTAACAGAAACAATGGAAGAGCTATCAATGACGGTGATAGAGCCGGAGCAGAAGTTGCAGACGGCGCGCTCGCTGCAAGGCGACATGCCGCTCATAGACCGGTTCACTAATGAAGTCAAAACTACTACTAAAAACGTGAGTAAATAAAGATATATATAAAAATTTTAAATTCTTGCTAAACAAAATCTATTCATGCTTTATAATAAATTATAATAATAATTAATTGTATTCATATATGGGCGATTGTATTATAATAAAAAAAGACAAAAGAAGCATATATTAAACTAGATTACTATCTAAAAAGAAGAAGAAGAAGAGTTAAATACCTAATTGTGGAAATGATCAGAAAAAAAACTAAATACCATAATCAAAAACATTGTTTTTATTTTCAATAAACACTTTCATTATAAACAAAAACAAATCTATCCCTCGGGAACCGTATATTTTTCTGGGATAAAAAGTAGCCTATGTGTTATTCCAGACTATAATTTATCTCTGTGCCAAATTTCATCCAGATACGTTCAGCCGTTCTGGCGTGAAATAGTAATAAACATCCATACTCACAAACTTTCACATTTATCATATTAATACAGATTATAAAATTCCTCTGCTTTAGTGTAAAGTATAAACGTTGATAAGAGAGGAGCGTTAACAAATATGTGATTTCCATAATAATGGTCCACAGCTAGAGACGCTAAAGGAGCAGTGTACAGACTTCATATCCGATACGAGTCTAGAGGAAGCTACCCAGCGGCAGACGGAGGCGCGCGCGCAGGTGAGCACGCTGCGAGCCCGCGCGCGCGCCGCGCAGTCGCGCCTCAACGCGCACGCGCGCCGCACGCACGCCGCCGCCGACAAGAAGACCAAGGTCAAGGAGGACCTGCTCAACATGCAGAAGAAGGTATGGAACGATCCTTGAAACGCAATACCACGCGTCGTGCAAGTCGGTTGCAATACAGTTATGTAGCCGACGCTGCACTCGTTTTTTAACCGACTTCCAAAAAGGAGGAGATTCTCAATTCGTCGGATTCATTCATCAATTCTCAAAGATGCCTGAACCGGTTTGGATTTTTTTTGTTTCGAACGGTATACTTCTCCCCTGTCCGCTAGTCGTCTACCGATCACCACGCCAGGAGGTCGCGCACGCGCTCGCTAAAGTTTATGCCTTGCCACGTTTATTCGATTTTGTATTTCGTATTCTAATATTCATATTTCATGTCCAAAACTAATTTTGTACTTTCGCTATTCCTTCTCTGTGTAATTTCTTCCGTGTGACAATATAAGTGTGTTTAATGTGTTAACTCCCGTCTTTAATTTGTCTCTGCCTTTTTAATAATATATCTAAAACTGATTCTATATAGGTAGGAGACAGGAGTACTGGAGACCACTTCTATTTTAAATGTGAAACATTAATTCTTATCTTCGACGACACGTTTGGCTCAATTTGTAGTACTACTACTTGCTGTGCCAGCGGTCGCGGGTTCGAGTCCCGCTGGCATTCATTTGTGTGATAAGCACGAATGTTTGTTTACTCCAATCGTGTTTATGTTTATAATATGTTTGTATGTATTTAAAGTTATATATGTATGTGTAGTGTCTCAACTATCTGGTATCCATAACAAGCCTCGTAGCTTACCATGGAACTAGATGGTGCTGTGTGTTAATGTCCCAACATATTTATTTATTATTTATATAAATATAATATAGCGTGTAATATTATAACCACCGCACCTAGCGATCCTACTCGCCATTGTTCCCCGTACACCTTCTAGTAAGCCTGTAACCGCGCTACGTCACACGCTGACGTACGCCACTCACCCCACTAGTGTAATATATTTATTTTGTTTATATAATTAATTATATTTTCAATTTCCTTTATTGTAAATTTAATTATAGGTACAAGAATTATGTAACTTGCAAGAAACTCAAAAACAATTGGAGTCAAACAGGGAGAAGTTCTTGGTAGAACTAAAGGAACTGCAAGATGGTATAGAACCTTTAGAGCTGGACCTCAAGGAGAAAGAAAAGACTAAGAGCGAAGCTGTAAAGAAAAATAGGTACCCATTTCATTCCATTAATATATATTATTTGGGATGTCAGTTAAATTAAAAATAATCTAAGTGAAATTAATTGTAAATGATTTTTATTTGTTTTGTTAATTTCCATATAAAAATATCGATTAACCAAATTAACTCAAACATTACAACCAGAAACTACTTATACTTTTTACATCATCACTACATGATTAAATCCTGGAGAACGGTTTTTGATTAATTTAGATTCCATGACCAAAATAGACCGGTTAAAATTAGTCTTTGTGCGTTTCAATTTGGCGCGTCTTTGCTAATGGTGAATGGCTTAGTAGAAGGAGTAAATGAATTAACCGACTTATTTCGATATCAAAACCAAAATCTAACCTTTCTCTAAGAATAACTGTTAACCATTATTATTTCGGCTTATTAAACCGTTCGTTTTCATTAACCTTTTTTTTAAACAGAGCCCTGTAAGAAAAATATCAGCAATTTATTTGCAGAATTTATTACTATTTTAAATTTTTTTTTATTTTCTAGGTCTGAAATAGACGTTAAGAAGAATGAAGTAGTCAAAATAGAAAACGCTTTTGATAAAGTAAAATCTATAGACTTAGACATCAGACAACATAAGGAACGAAACTTGCCGCGAGAGATGGAAAAGATTAAAGAAGCTAATGAGAAGTTGTTAGGGAGACAAAAACAAATTATGACCGACCGAGATACTCTTACAAAGAGAATAGACAGCTTGAAAGATGAATTAGCCAAGCAGGAGGTAAATTTTGATATTGCATTATTTACTTAAGTTTCTTTCAATAAGTGGTTTGACAAAGTCAGAAAACAAAATAATAATTAATACTAGTAGGTTGATTCCCAAATACAAACTTTCATCCTCATTTCACCCCCTTTCCCCACTTTCACCCTCTTAAGGAATAATTTCCGGGATAAAAACTATCCTATGTCTTTCCCAGGGTCTCAAACTATCTTCTTACCAAATTTCATCTAAATCGGTCCAGTACTTTCAGAGCCTATTCGGTACAAACAAACAAACGAAATAATCTTTCCTCTTTATAATTTTATTATAGATAAATACAATATTGACCACAAACAAGTGTATGAGATGCATTTATCTCATAGATAAAGGAAAATTCATTAAATTGTAGGTTGAAGTATGAAAATATAAGGATTTCTTCATTATACTTTTTCATGAAAAAAATTAAAAAAGTATTTAATTTTATGCCGATGTTTACTTATTTATTCTCTATCCTTTGCAATAAATGTTCAATATTTTTCTAGATATATAAAAGAAACTTAGAAGACAATTTAAAACTGCGTAAGGCGCAAAAGGAGATAGAAACGTGCGAGAAAGATCTGGCAGTAATCAGTGAGAAGCTGAGCGGCGTCAACACCGACATGATCTCGGAAAAGGGGCCGCTGATCACAGAACAAACTCAAATATTCCGGGAGAAAGCACAAACTGAAGGGCAATTAAGTGAACTAAAAGTAACAAATAACTTTTGTAATAATTTTATTTATTCATTGATTTTTCGTATAATAAACGCATATAACACGTTTTTTTTTACAATACGAAATTATTATTATGTTACGTAATATTGTTAAAGTTAAATAGTTTTAAATATAAATATTTTATTTATATTACTTCTACAGATGTGCTTAGAAATGTAAAATAGTTGAAAAAATATGATTTCAGAACATCATTTTTTCCACCACATAGCATGTTTTGCTAGTTTAGATTTGCGGCTCCACTTATCGTCGGCCTAATTCGTTAATCTGCTAAGTCCGTTTTTGAGCAATTTTAGTTTTTATGCCGATTAAAAAGTTGAAACGATTGCCTAAATAATGTTAAAGGAATAGCGACGATATCAATATATAGAAAAGGTTAGAAAAATATGAAAGAAAGGAACTCAGAATTTTGATTTCTAAAAATGAAATGATATAATTCCGTTTTTTCTTCGTCCTGTAAGCTATGCAGAAATATACTTAACAGGTTAACGAATTAGGCCGACGTTATATCGATTACAAGTATTATCCAAAATAATCACCTATCCTTGGAGTGTGTGCCTAAACGTTCCTACAATGTCCCATGAGCACGATGGTAGGGATCCACTATGTTATATGTATATTTTTAGTAAAAGTCAAATTCTCGTACCTGATGACGGTCAGTAAGAATTCCATGATAAATTTCTCAAGCGACATCAAAATGAGGATATAAGAAACCTCTATTCCGAATTTCGTTCCAATGCGTCAAGCCATTACTGCGTGAAGAAGTAACAAACACGCTCACAAACGTTTGCATTAATAATATTATTTGGATTGACATTCAGTTATAGTGATTGTTAACAGGAAAGACTGAAACAAAATAAGCAGGAACTCAAAAAAGCTCAGAACAAAGATGTAGAAAAAAATTATCGTCAGAAATTTTACGAGCTTCACGTCACCAAGGCGATAGATAAGGATGTCAGAGATTACTCCGTCGCGCTAGAGAAGTGTTTGATGGAATTTCACAGGGAGAAAATGGAGAATATCAATCTCATTATACGGTTAATATTTCATTGTTTTATTTATGATTTATTAGTTTCTACCCAACTGCGGCGAGCAACAAAAATATATACAACTTAAATATTTAAAAATAGTTTAAGATAAGAAATGTGTCTAAATAACCAAAACTAAAAAATTGTAAATAATTTTTTTTTACAATAATAAAAACAAGTTTCATACTAACTGCGAGTGTTGCTACGTATGTACTGCATGTGTATGTCTCCAACTGCATAATACTGTTTCTGCGTCAAATCGCTCTTTTTAGTTGATAATTTTACAAAGTCGGGTTTTTTTTGTAATTGTATTAAATGATCTCATTAACTGTAATGTCTTTTAACAAAATGTTTAAATATTTTACTTTCAGCGGAATGTGGAGAAAGATATACAGAGGAAACGATATTGATTACATTGAAATAAAAACTGAGGGCAGTATGTCTGTTGATTCAGAACGACGAAAATATGATTATAGGTATATTGTTGTAATTTTGACAAACATAAAGTCTCTTTCCCATAAGAATGATATAATAAAACATATTTTTTATATTTATTTTATACAATTTTTAGAGTTGTACAATGTAAAAATGGAGTGGAGATTGATATGAGAGGGCGGTGCAGCGCCGGGCAGAAGGTGTTGGCGTGTCTCATCATTCGGCTGGCTCTGGCCGAAACATTTAGTTCACGGTAAGATGATACATCATGATTATTTTTACAAACTATTTGTCATGCAACTTTGTTTCATTCTGAATACAATATAAATGGTATATTTTAGCGACTCATCTTCGCTTTCCTCGTGTTCATCCCTAGGTACGTTTTAACGGTTAGTGTGAAATAGATAGACTATACATCTTATATACATATATCTTATGCAAAAAGAATTTTCCAAATTGGATTAGTAGTTCCTGAGATTAGCGCATTCAAACAAATAAACAAACTCTGCCTCTTTATAATATTATTATGGCTTTTCCTTATAACATGGTGCGGGTGACATGTCTGTATCGTATGAATTGGGTAGTAACAGCATTCAATCAATTTTATCGATAAAGATTTTCAGAGTAAAATCTCAAAAAAATATTAAAAATATCGTTAATAAGAAACTCATCTTTTATTATTATCAATTAAAAAAAAATTAAAAATAACTCTCTTGAGAGTGATTATGTGACAAAAAGACAAACAAAACATGGATGGCCCGCATCAGTTACGTAGAATGTTGGTGTGTTTTAAATTGTAATTTAAAACGAAAATTAAATAACGTGCCAAATGTCCTTCCCGTATAATGAATATCGACATCCATCGTAACAATAATGATTTAATTACGAATACTTTACGTTACATGTAAAGATGTTACATTGTTTTTGAATAATTATGTTTTTAAGATTTAGTACCTAACGCTCATAATATTTAGGTTAGAGTAGAAGTATTACGCCAAGTCTGTAAACCATGAGAAAATTCGTAAAAGAAGGAACACTTTAGATAATGTCACAGGCACATAAGTAGTATTTAAGAGACTTTAATATTGTACAATTTATTTTTCTAGATTTGGAATATTAGCGTTAGATGAACCCACTACCAATCTAGACCACGAGAACATTAAGAGTCTGTGTTCCGCTCTCGGTGAAATCGTACAGGAAAGAATGACTCAGAAGAACTTTATGTTCATTATAATAACACACGATAAAGAATTCATCGAATCCTTGGGAAATATCGATAAAGTAACGCACTATTATGAAGTCTCCAGAAATGAAGAAGGAAAATCAAGGGTTAAGAAGATTAGGTTTTCCTAATAGGTATATTTTTCTTTTTTTCGAACAAATCATTCCTGATTGTTTTTTTTTCTATTGCTCGTATTGTTAAAGGCTGAAGTGCCTTATATGTTATTTTATAAGAATTAAACTCATGTTTAAGAAATAAAAACTTTTATATTCATCAATAAAAATCTTTTATTTTTCTATAAATAGTTATAAGTTAACTTATATAATTATTACAATAATAACGCTTCAATTAATAACAAGTCCGGTAATACTACTTAATGGTTGACATATTTGAACTTGGTCTAAATGTAAAATCTTACTTTCCTGCAACACAGTCAATGTGACCCCCAGCAGTTCCGCTACTTGAGTGGGAGGGAATGATTGCGACAAACATTTAGATATATATGGGACCAAATCTTCTGTAAAACAAACACAAAAAGACACGAAATTTTGCCTTTCAATATCCGTAAAAGCCTGTTGTTCTCTATGATAGAATGCAATCAAAATTTGAGCTGCCTTGTCAAATGACTTTCTGAATCCTGTGTACACATCTTTGACAATATTTAAAGGGGCAGTCACTCGGAGGGAGTTCAAAACTGTTAACAATCCATTACAATATTCTGCTAAGGGGTAGTAATCTAACAAATTCTCAGGTGGGCCCGATGCCATATTTTCATTCACTGGTCTCTGCACATTCTTTATACTTGGGACTTTGTATGACTTCATCTGGCTCTCAAAGTTATTGTCGTTCTTATCAACGCCCGAATTAAATTGCATCAAAATATTATCTCGAAAGAGAGGCGTGAGTACACATCTTAAGTCTGCACCTACTCTTCCAAATGAAAGGCAGAGGTACATGCATTGATTCATTAGTGATTCAAAATTTGATTCATCTTCTTTCCAAAGATCTTGATTCAATATTTGCGCAAGGTCCTCAACCTGAAATGTAAGAAATAATATTTAGTCTTTCTAGCCAAAATAGAGGTTTTTTTCATATTATTCATAACTTCCAACAATTGTATATATGACATGCAATTTATAACTCACTTTTAGTTTTAGCCAACATGATAACGCACTGGTTCCACTTAATTCATCATCCCTTACTTTAGACTCTTGTGCATCGGACAGAAAAATAGATTTGTGTTGAGTGATAACATTAAACAAATGAATCCTATGCAACTCTACTATTCTTCTAAGTAATTTTTCAGGCACTGTAAAGAAAATAATTGTTTAAATTAAGTTAATCTCTGAAACTACTAATCTGCTTCTGAAACTTTTTGTGATAGGAAGCTACTTTATCGCTGAGTGATTTAGACTACATATTTTTCATTCATAATAATTAATAACTTTAATTGAAGTCAGAAAAAATCTGTTGTTGCTTGCGAATTAAACGTATATTAAAAAGACACGTGCTAGTTGTACTATTAAAGTATAAATTATAACCTAACTAGCAGAACCCGCGGCTTCGCTCGCGCTAAAATTACAAAACATATCTAAAAAGGTAGTTTCATGCAAACTTTCATCCCCTACATTACCCCTTTATAGAATGAATTTCGAAAATGCTAAAACACGTATTTATTTAATTTTATTGAAGAGCATTAATACCAAGTTTCAAGAAATTCTGATCATAAATATTTTTTTGGATTGTATTATAACGTGTTTTCCCGTAGAAATTAGATAATCTCCCGCGGTAAAAAGTACCTATATCACTTTCCAGCCCTCCAACTATCTCCATACAAAAAGTCTCTCAGTTTCGACGTGAAAGAAGGACAAACAAACACACTTTCACATTTATAATATTAGTATGGATTTGATTATTAATTGTATCTACTTGCATCAATTATTCGCGCGTCACTTATTATAACAGATGTTTTAAAATGCATAATAGTCGAAGTTTAATCGGGATTCGGGAATATTAATTAATGTCATTGACAGTCCGAGTTTTGTATCAAGTGAATGGTGGATGTGTATAAATAACCAGCCAAATTACGTATAGTCACGTCAATCTCGTCGGACTCTTATTACAAACATTTTTGAAGTGAAAACTTCTTTATGCAGGTTTGGATGGGGAGTAAATTCATGTAAGCCGTCATCGACATGGTCACGTGACATGTTAACGCTAATACTCAATGCAGATAGATATAAAAACCAGATACTAAATGTGAACAGTTGTAATTTACAAATTTTAATTTCAGATGAAAAAATTAATTTGCAAATCCTAAAATAAAAACTGTTTGTTTATAGTTTTAAGTTTTCACTTCTGTCAGCAGTCCTCATAACTGCTTTTTTCTTTTTTTCTTCTTTATAATTTTAATAAACATGCAAAAAGGTAATAATTTCACGTTTCCTCTAAAGATCAATACAAAATGAGATTTGAAAACCATCCAGATCGAGTGCCTTCAGTCTGTCCATGATCTTTCAAACTGAACTATCAAAAATGTTTACATAGAAAAGACAGTATAATAATTAGTGCAAACTTAAAGTATTAATAACCAGAATCTTCCCTCACTGGGGGTCACGCTCGACTCCTGAACAAGAACTTGCAAAACATCTGCTTTATAGTTCAATACTGATTCTAAATCAATACACGGTAAAATCATATATTTATTAACAGTAACAATGAAACATACTTTCCGTATTCTTGGCATCTTCTAGTGCTTTTTCAAACCATGCATTCCTTGCTTTAAGGAAATGTAAATGTAATCCATCAGAGTTGATATTGTTAGATTTTATCCCACTTGATTGCAGCCTGTCTTGTTCATCTTCAGTAGACTTAAATACTGTATTAGCTCTGCGTAAGTATCCTAAAATCTTAAAAATATATAATATTATCTACTGTTATAATATTAAATCATTACTTCAAGCCCTTAAATTCTCTACTATCTACCTAATACTATCATTTCAAGTTAAAAAATCATTATAAAATGAAAATTTATTAAAAAATCAACAAAAATTTGTAATTTCGTTTAAGCTACTAGAGATTTATCCTTGCTTTGTTTGAATGAATCCCTGAGTAACAATAACAATAGCTTGAGTTACTTCATATCATTACTATCTGTATACTAAATTTTATCCAAATTCATACAGTTGTTTTTGATTGAAGAAGTAACAAACATACAAACTTTCACATTTATAGTAGTAATCTGAAAGGACCTGTTGCATATTGAGAGTATATTTTATTTCATTTTATATAGGTGTGATACAGTGTTAGCCCTTTTCAAACTAGAGATAGTATATTTTTATTGAGGTAAGACATTTTCACTGTTAAAATGCTAAGAATGGATTTTTAGGAAAGGTCGGAACTTATGATTTACATTTTGTATACTAAGATACTTAATTAAAAGCTTGATAAAGTATGATAGCAATATTGTCAAGTGATTATAATACCTGTAAGCATTGTGGAAGAGGTAAATCATAATGTAGCTGATTGAAGAGATGATACAATGTTTCATACCATAGGGTCATAATTTCTGTTGTAGTACTCTAAAATCAAGTCACAAAATTTAAGTATATAAATTGATAATATCACCAACTATTGTAATTAAATTATGATGTTACCTGCACAATTGGTATTTCTGAATACCTCTTAGATAAATTAAGTATAAATGCAAAAATATCCAATGCACTTTCATAGTCTTCTGCATTTAAAGCTTCACGCATCAATGATGGTAGTTCTAATAACTCTAACAACTTATCACTTTGGTTTCTTATACTACTGTATCTCCTAAAATAAAAGAAATAATATTTATAAAGAATTAAATTATATATATATATATATATATATATATATATATATATATATATATATATATATATATATATATATATATATATATATATATATATATTTTAAGTACTTAATATGTTAGCTTAAAAATTTAGGATTTTTGACAGATATAGAACTCAAAAAGTATACTATAGGGATAATGATGGATGTTTATTATACAGATTTCAGAAAACTTCCATACATAAGTATTAAGTGAATGTGCATGCTGTAACTAGTCTGCAATATAACAATTATTTAAATATTTACTTCTTTTCTTGCACAATATTTCCAGCTATTTGTGAAAAACTTTCACATTGCTGTATAAAATCTGGTATTGTTTCTAGGACATTACTTAAAGAGTCTTTAGATTTTCCTAAATCTTTCATGATAGCTCTTGAAATATCTGCTGTTTCCACAAAAGTTTTATAATTTGTAAAAGCCAAATCTTGTGTCTGTTCTGTTAGATGTTTCATTTCTTCACTAAGCCTGTCAGGTTCTTTTTGCACTTGTTCCCAATTCTGTGATCCCAGCTTTTTTATATAATCAGTTATATCACTGAAATATTCCACATTTTCTGAAAAGTAAACATGTATATTATTAATGTATTAAATGTCAGAAATATCTACTTCCTAATATATAATTTAATAAAGAAGTTCTGTGTTAAAGCCTCAGTCAAACCTTGAAATCCATAAATAATTTTAAATAAAACTATCTTTTCGAATTTTGTCGCGGATTTATTTGCATTTTTGTTTCCCGACGTTTCGAATGACTAGAGACTGGTCTCTCCCGTGACCATGGATGCTGTAAAGCATTCGAAACGTCGGGAAACAAAAATGCAAATAAATCCGCGACAAAATCCGAAAAGATAGTTTTATTTAAAATGTCAAATATTCGCGTAAATCTAAGAAAGTATTAACCATAAATAAGTTAAAAATATTTAAATATTATAAGTTTAGCAAAACGAACCTGTAGTTGATTCTGGGAACAAAAGTTGACAGAGGTCCTTAAGTTCCTGAGCCATAGTTGAGGTTATTTCAATTATAATTTGCTTCTAAACAATTGTTGATAAACTGGTTTTCAATGATACACTAAAAAATGTTTTTGAATCGCAAATTTTCAATGACTAAACTCAATAAATTCAATTCTTTTGTTCATTGGCGAGTGCCAAACTCAATAAAAAAGGATGAAAAAATAAACTTCCACCAAACTTCAAAGATTATTTTTAACTTTTGAGTTTTGTTGTATACAATACACATTAATCATCATGGATCATGAAATAATAACATGGAATTGGATGGCGAATAAAATTATTAAACCTACACAATTGACATTGTACATGTGTATGACTTTATGTGTATGACGTTTAAAGATTTTTATTATTGTTTAGTTGATTTCAGGCATAGACGGTTTCAGGTTTAGCTTATTATTTAATGTATTATATATAATTTGACAACAATAAAATATAGTCCAAAACTCTCTTTGGACCACAACAGAATACTTTTACTCAGGAGACTTTTACTTTTGACTATATTTCATTGGAAAATTCAAAATAATTGAAGAGAAGAAACAGTAAATTATTTATAGTCTGTCTAAATATTTGGTCAAACCGTCAAATTTCGATGGCAAAAACATTCATTGGGAATTGAAAATTCATTGAAACTATTAGCTCTAAGTTTTATTATATTTTTATTAATAAATCAAATATTTCTTTTTATTTACGATTTAGTTATTTTGCTATTGCTTTATTCATATGAGTATAAATATTAAATACACGAAAATATAAAAGTTTTAAAATCACTTTAAGATTTAAAGTTTTATCATTTATGTGTTATCTGTGGCAAATGGATGAAATTTTGGAAACGGAAGAAAAGTTCATGATAGCCATTTGCTAATAACCAAATATCGCGTTTAAAATCGCAGTGTACGCTAAAGTGTAAAATATATAACTATATAAAAACATTTACAGTGATTAAAATTACATATTTTGTTAGGCTTTTGGTTATATTCTGTGTTTTCATCCATGTTGAACTATTGATAAGTTCTTTGATTGCGTCATGTAAACGTATAGTTATATGAAGTATCTGCAATTTTTGCGATGATCATTATATTTCCTTATATAAAAAGTACATCTTTTTATCCCATTGGTAAATTATCACTGAAATATAAGTTTGTGTATATCGCTTAACCTTTAAGTTTGACAAGTATAACCTATTCAATTCATATCTTAATGTCTCAAATCTTGACACCATTTTTGTTTAGCTTTCGCTATAGATTAATGGAACGTCTTTCTAAATTCTTCTTTTTTAAAAGTAAGTACATGATTGTTTCACTAAGCAAAATCAGTTTATCTGAAAGTATTGTTTTTAGCTTGATAAGGTTATGTTGATGTTTTGATTCCAGATGATGTATTATAAAATTGTTGACAGGGATAGCATTTCGAATCTATATCTACGTAGAGGTAATTACTTGTAAAGTATTGCAAATGTGTAATTCTGACTATTTTTTATATATTTTTAATTGTTAATTAGTTTAATTTTTAACAATATTGTGTTTTGAAGCAAAAAAATATAACTTTTCATCAAAAAACATGAGCAATTAAGAAGAATTGTGATCACTTAATAAAGTGTTCCTCTATATTTTATGGATAGAATATTTATGAAAAGTAATAATGAAAGTAATTCTTTAATAAACTTAAACAAAAATATCTAATAAGATGGAAGGTGAAGAATTTCATCTTCAATGGGATGAGGAGGATGTTAAGGTCAGTATATAAATTATTAATTTCATGTTGTATAAATATCTTGTTGTTTTTAATAACAATAACAATATATTTTATAAATTATATTGATAGCATTAAAGTTCAGAATATTATTTTCTTACAAGATTAAATGAACAGATACCCTAGTCTCTTTAAATTCCTGTTGTGTTAAATGAGAAAAAAAGTAAAAGGAAATAAGTCATATATCTTACAAAACAAATTCAAATGAATTAATATAACTTTTAGTTTAATATCTTTCAGCCCACTATTGTGGCAAATGAAGAAGTAATATGTGGCCTTGATAATGTGCAGAGTGAAGCATATGGAAATATTGTAAGTAAAGCAAATACTTTTATTTATTTCTGAATATTAAGTTAAAATATAATATTTTAAATTATCTGAAGATAAAACATATCTATTTGATGTACTAAAATTCATCAACTTCACAAAATAAAATTTTATATTTATTATTCACAAAAGGAAATTAACTGCAACGAATATTATTTTATTTATAGTAATTTAGAATGTTAATTTAAGAATATATAGATAGATATATAGTTCGTTCTCTTTTTAACTATAAATGGACTGTTGAGGGAAAATATTCTTTATATTGGTTTAATATAAATTGAGGAAAAATTTCAGAATTGGTAATATGAATATTAAAAAAGTTTCGACATAATTTCTTTCTTTGTAATTTTGTAGTTATTTGTCTATTGAAGCAAAACAAACAATATAATACATATAATAAATTTCTTGCCTATTTATATTTTTTAATAGAGACCTTTAATCAAATAAAAAATACAGTGTAAAAATATATAACATATGCACTATACTATTACTACATAAAATAAATATTTTACAAAATAGAATTTATAAAAATTTTGAAATATTAAGGCTATTCTTTAAAAATAGTGTTCTTCTTATATTTAACCATGATTTAGCATTAAATCATTTATGACAAATTATTAGTTTTAAGTGTACATTTTTTTTTACAAATTGTTTATTGGTGTCATGGTTTAGGCTTTCTCAACATCTATGCATTTGTTGTAAGTAGATTTTATTCATTGATCAATTCTTTAAACCATAAATGTCATATTAATACATTGCATATTTAAATTATTCATTATTTTCTTTCATTGTTTTATGCAGACCTCTGAAGAAATAATAGCTGATACTGACCATATAGCAGCACAAAATCTAGTTTATTTGTCACAAGATGTCAGTTATACGGAAAGTGCTGAATTAACGGAAGATCCTAATGTGGAATGTGTTACGGAAGAAGTTGTAACAGATGACTGGGTCATTTCTGGTGGACAGGAAAGGTACTTATAACTGAATTATTAAATTAACTAATTTTTTTTTTTCAATTTAATATTAAATATTAAATTGAAAAAAAATGTTTCTTTAAAATAATGCTATTTATTGTCTTTGATTAGATGTCTTGATATTATAATTTATAATCTTTGATGTCACATGTTCAGTGTGTTCAAGTTTATATAATGTTATAAAACTTAAAATAAATTATTGCATGTAGCTTTCCTTTCAGAGTGGAAGTGCCTATAGAACATTTAGCAAATCCCATCCAAGACATTAAAGAAGAAAATGACATTGATGTTCCACTACCAACAGATCAAGTAAGAATAGCATACAATTTTAGATTTAAAAAATGTAATAATTGTTCCAATTACAAATATAATGTAATTTAAGAAGAGTGTCTCTTGATATTCTGTGGTACTTAAACTTTAATGAAAATATATTGATTTATAAATATAAGAAAGGCTAAAGTCTAAACTGGCGCTTTTAAAACAAAGCATACAAAAATGGTACTATTTTATTGTATTTATATTAAATGTTTGAGTTATTAACATGTCTAGTCATTTGTTACGCTTAACTATAATAATCTAGAAAAATATAATTTATCTCATGGGACCACTAGATATATTCGGATATATTTTTATATCCATTGCATTTGTTGAGTTTCCCGTTAATATCAAAGGTGATCACCTACTGTATAAAACTCATAGTAGTCCTTTGATAGTTTTAGTTGGCCAATTTTGCCCTGAGATAGATACATTTATTGCATATCACACAAGAAATACGTAGCAAAGAGAAATATAAAAAATCCCCTACATGCCTCGCCCATACTTTCATATTTCTTTTTATGCTGGTTGTGTTAATAATGGCAACACAGTTTATTAATTTCTTCAATTATTATTGTTTTTATTTGTTATTTCTATGGTGTACTGAATTTTTAAATCTAGATTTAAAGATTTTTATAAAAAGAAAGAAATTTCATTTGAAAATTTGGTTTTGTGTATTGGCTCGCCTATTAGAGCAGTCAAGAAGTTTGGTGAGAACTATACATATTCTCAAGTCTCATAGTATAAAGCTATTGTATAATCATTATATCAATACATTTACATAATATATACAGACATATATTGGGGAAAAGAAGCTAAAGAGATAAGTAACGCGCTCGCTACACATAATATATTTAATTGAATGTTTGTATACTTGTAAGGATGAGTACACAGCAATGCGACCATGGCCGTGCGACTTCTGTTCGCGGCGGTTCCGCAAGAAAGCAGCATTGATGAACCACATGGTGGCGCACCAGAACGACCGCCCGCACGCGTGCAACCTGTGCGGCGTGCGCTACGTGCGCAAGTGCGACCTCATGGCGCACCTCAAGGTGCACGCCTACGTGCCGGACCCGGACCCTATGGATTATCAGCAAGGTTTACCCTCTTGTTATTTTATTATATATATATATAGCATAAAACAAAGTAACTGTCTGTGTTTGTCTGTTTCTCCGCTTCTTCTAAACCACGCAACGGATTTTGATACGGTTTTCACTAATAGAAAGAGGGATTAACCAGGAAGGTTAATATATATAATTTTTAAAATGACTATAGAATCTATACTATAGAATCTTAAACAAACTGTTCTAATATATATTTTAGGGCAGCTCCACACTAGTGCCAATATCGGTCTGGTACAGTATTGTTATACAAGAAACAATAAATGCATTCACACTATCAGCAAGATTCACGTTCCGGTTGATCACGCTCCAACAACGCTTCTTGTATAGAAATACTTTACCAGACCGATATCGGATCGAAAACGGACTATGATCGGCACTATAGTGTGGAGCGGCCCTTAATATTAAAAAAAACCTAGTGTATGATGATTGATTAAACATTGAATCATTTTAATTATTTCTGTTACAGACGAACTTCTAGCACACACCCCTATAGTAAAAACAAAGAAAAAAAGGGGTAGACGGAAAAAGAACCCAGAACCTGTTGAGGTAAATTAATAATAATTATTGTAAATATAATTTACTTAAGATTTAAAAAAATACCGTGAGAAAATGTAATATCCAAAGAAGCTCTTTTTATTAGCAATTACACATGTGTAGTAGAGATTTGTTGATTTATAATGATAAGCTAAATAAACTATTTATCTTTACATTTATCAGTCATAACTTATGTGTAACTTGTATGTGTCCTTTTATATACAAGGAAGTTGTTTGGTCCGAAAATAAAAATAAAACCTGGATATTGACAAAAACTCCATCTACTGGCCCAACTAAAGTGCATTTTGATTGCTTTGTGACTACATTTGTATACAAAAAAACCATCAAGTCAATCATCAGTGAAGCCGTTTAGAATATTTTGTAGTACATTTATTTAAATTATACCTTCTTAACAAATATATTTGTAATGTAACATCACTCTATTTGAGACCCATCATGTTCTCAATTGTATTTTTTCTTCTTTTTATGGATAGTTTTTTTTTCTACATTTATTACTTCCTTGTCCAATTAATTATTTAAAAAAAAGAAAAGCACTTGTTCAGGGTGAGGTCCAAAGTTACAATGTTGGTCCAATGTTAAATTCCAGATAACAATTGTTGATTTACTCTTATAATAAACCTCAAAATACCCGGTTTTTGCCGCCGGCGCCAACTATTAGTAGAATATCCGAATTAAGTAATTTATTCATGTAATATTTACAATGTAATTTATTTATGTAATACTTATACAGACTAAAAGAAAGTACAAAAAAAACTTAAAATATCGAATTAATCAGTTAAACTAAAATATTTGCTTTGACCCCGCTCAATACAAATAAATACCTGCCAAAATTACTAAAATTACCCGCTTTTCGGGTAATTTACTCTCCAATTGATAGCGCTGATTGTAATATTGATCATGTATATTTAAATATAGAACGGTGTATGGGAGCACATGACGTCAGCGCGCACGCAGCAGTGGTCGCGGCGCGCGCGCACGCCGCCGCCCGCGCCGCCCTCGCCGCCCTCCCCGTCGCTGTCGCCGTCGCCGCCGCCGCCGCCCTCGCCCTCCCCGCCGCCGCCCGCAGACCCCTCGCGCCCCTTCGTGTGCCGCCACTGCGGGATCGGCTTTGCGAGAGAGAAGGCCCTCCAGTCGCATGCTAGGGTACATGTCCGATAAATTCTAAGGCAGTGTTTCTTAAACTTATTGAAGTCATGGACCACTTTTAGAATTTCTAAAATTTCACGGACCCCCTATCAAAGTATATTGTAGAAAAAAAAACAAAAAACCCACTTTTATTGGTAATTTACTCACACTTAATTAAATATAAATAGAATATAGCTACTGAGAAGGATGCTGTTGTTTGGCTTGAATGAGCTCGTGAAACCTCATGAGATGGATGAAACAAACGATGGGTTAGTTTACTCCACAATTTTTTCATTAATGTTAAGAACTAATTGAGCTGCTGCGGACCCCTGATACAGATATTGCGTACCCCCTGCGGGTCCGTGGATCCCACGAAAAAACCCTGCTCTAAGGACTGATCTACATTATAGTGCTTATCACGTTATTTGTAATAATTCATAATATAAAAAAATAGTATAGATTTTTATGCATGTAAGGTAATGATGGGACATTATTGAGACAATGGGTTGCCGATGTTTTTTTTATGTGAAGCACTTTATATATGTTATTTAAATGTTTTTTTTATTACAATTTTAGAAGAGAAATAACTAAATTACATACTAACGTTCTATGTAATTGATGCAGGCTTATTTGTTTATATATTTATATTCTTTTGTTACATACTGGATCTCGAGAGAGAGTTATGTTTAAAATGTATTATATTTTGAATTGACAATAAAATATGGAGTTAGTATAAACGATCAAAAGATTTTACCTGAAAATATTTATCGATAAAATTTTGTCACTTCCCAATTCATGTGTTACTGACATGTGTCACTCGCACCATGCTAAAATCCGCACCTAAATAGTACAACAGAGTTATTCAACTCTGTTACTAAACTCTGTCAATAATAAATTTCTGTGAGGTTCAAGACGAATTAAGTAACACCTCCTTTGAGGTTGGTCAATAATAAGAACCATTGTGGTACGAGACAAATTAACACTCCATTCTCTAATTCTTTCAATAACATGTTTCTATGTAGTACAGGCCGAATTAATTCTTTCTTCCTCTCTAAAAGATGAATGATAAGTGCATGTGTGGTACAATCTTAAGTAAGTAACTCTTCATTAATTCAAGTTGGTAAATAATAAGTTTCTGTGTAGTACGGGCTGTTAGTCTTTTTTTTATTGAAGTAGGTCAGTAATAATTACCTGAATAATACTGCATATATGTATATTGCAAGGCTGAATTGAGTAAACCCTCCTTTGTATAATATGCACGTGGTGTGTCGCAGGTGCACGGCGGCGACTCGCCGGTGGAGTGCGGCGAGTGCGGTGAGCTGTGCTGGTCGCGCGAGGCGCTGCGCGTGCACGCCGCGGCGCGCCACCCGCACCTGCGCGCGCCCGCGCCCGCCAAGCAAGAGCCCGACTACGATGACTGCAATTCTGGTACTTATACTGCATCTTTTATTCATTTATTCATTCATTCAGATAACATTACAATCAATTCCAATATGTTACAAGTTCAATATAAAAAAATTTAGAGTTTCTTGCTGTTCTCAGCAGAACTGCCTTCCAAGTCAGTGGTCGATTCCTCACGGACTGACTACACTGACATTTAAATTTAAAATGTAAAATTGACAATTCAAAAGAGCTTTTAAAAGTCTATTTGAATAAAGTATAGTTTGATTGTATTTGAAAGGAAGAATATAATTACAAATTATGAGTACTCATTATATCAAAGTGAGAAATCAATTTTCATTAAACTTAACAGATCTGCTATTAGAGCAAAAACATCTCTAAACAACTTCATAGCTTATAGCATACTTCTCAACTTTGTAACATAAACATAATGTCACACATTTTTATGAAAAAGATTTTGCTCGTACTCTGATATTCTGGTTGGTATGGTTTCTGTTTGACGTTTGTGTTTCCCGACGTTTGTGTAGGTGACGACATGGAGTTCCGGCTGTCGCCCGCGGCGCACAGCGGCAGCGAGGCGGAGGCGGGGCGCGCGCGCGGCCGCCCCGAGCGCGACGTGCGCGGCCCCGAGCTGTTCTGCGGGCACTGCGGCGTGGCCTTCCAGCGCGCCGACCTGCTGCGCCGGCACGTCGCCGCCGCGCACAGGTACACACTACACCGTACACTACTCGAGAAATGGCTTTTGTGGTTTTTTTTTCTGTTAATAATTTTCCAGATTTTTGCGAATATTTGACATTTTAAATATAACTGTGCTGCAACCAAAAATCTAAATAAATCCGCGAATAAATCCGAAGAGATAGTTTTTTTTTTCAGTTATTATTTTTTTGTTTGTTGATTGAGAACGAAATCTCAAAATAAAACCGCGACAAAATCCGAATAGTTCCTTTTTTTATAATGTCACATTATACGAAATAATACTACGGGACCTACAACGCATATACTGTAACTGGCACCAGCCAGTGGTCAGTTTGCTCGTGACAACGGCTAGTGTAATGCAGTTGAAACGTTGGGAATAAGTTATTTTGACACACTGAATATATAATATGCGTTAAGCTCTGCTGTGTAATTTTATGTAACGATAGAACACGCGTATTTACAAATTTACATTACTGTAATGTATATGTCGTCATATATATATATGTCGTCATATATCGTATATTATACATGGTTTTTGTGGAATTATTTTCTGTATGGATAAATATAAACACTGCTATCCGGGTGAATTTAGCATTCCTATCTTTTATACCTTCAAAGGTTTTTTAATAACCTCCACCTAATACTACATATTCCATATGATCCATTATTAAACGACAATGTAACTGCGCGCAGCTACAAGCGGCACGACAGCACGAGCACGTGGGAGCAGGAGCACACGTGCGACGTGTGCGGCGAGAGCTGCCCCGACGCGCTGCAGCTGCTGGCGCACGCCGAGCGCCACGCGGAGCGCTCGCGGACTACCAGGTGCCGGCCCTATCACTAATTGCGATAATTACCTGCTGTTTGACGACACGTTTAGCTCACTTTGTAGTGACCCCACTGGCCAGCAGTCGTGGGTTCGAGTCCCGCTGGGGGGCTTCATTTGTGTGATGAGCACGAATGTTTGTACTCCAGTCGTGGGTGTTTATATTTATAATACGTATGTATTTAAAGTTATATAGGTATGTGTAGTGTATCAACTATCTGGTATCCTTAAAAAAGCCTAGTAGCTTACCATGGAACTAGATAGTGATGTGTGTTAAGGTCTCAACATATTCATAATAATATTTCATGTACCCCCCCCCCCCCCCCCATTGTCATTACCCCAGAATGCCCACTATATGTTGCTTCTATACTATGTGTTGAACTTAATAAAAGATAGATAGGTAGGGTTTATTGCACACACAAAAGAAGGGTACAGAAGATGAAAAAAGAATCTAAATATACATAAATGAAACGAAATGTTGTAAAATATATTATAAAATTCTTTATTTTCATTCAATTATCGGTATTCGGTGATACGTCACGCGTCGTCGGACGTCTTTATGTGGACGTCTTAGTTGCATTGTTGTTCTTAAATAAACTCAATAATTAAATTTCGCAAACTCAGACCTTAAAAACTAATATTGTAAGTTTTAAAATGGGTTAAAAGTAGTTTAAGTCATATACTCCTATACTATAAGTATAAGAGATAAGAGATGAATTGATCACAGTGTCGGAGCACGACTTTTAGCGTGTCCTTCCCGCCTAGGGAAAAGTCGCGGTCTTTAAGGAAACTTATAATCAAACAATTTCTTTTTTACTACTGTTTTTTTTTATATCATTGTACTTTTAGATAAATGAAATTATTTTTTAATATAAAATCTTTTATTGTTGTATAAATATTGACGTAAAGTACATAATTTAAAGGTTTTCTTTCTACCATTTAGACTGTCTCATAAAAAATTCTTGTATTTGTTTTAGATTAAAAAGAATGGGTAGAGGTAAAAACAGTAGTGCATCGAGTAACTCGCGGCAGTTCCCTTGTAGAGAATGCGGTAAGTATTTTTATAGTTAATTTATTATTTATCATATAAAAAATTAAAATATACAAGAAAGTGTTTGTACTCTTATCTTCTGTATAAGTTTTATACCTTTCCTATTTTATATTTATTGTTTTATTCTTATTGAATTATAGTGAGAAATTTTACGTTCCTTAGTTTACCTAATACTATGCAAATTTAATTACTTTATTTGTTTTACGACTTATTTTTCTAAGTGGAACTCTTATAACGTACTCTTAAGTTACTCTTTATAACATCAGCTATCTGTCAGTGAAAATCACGTTAAAACCAGTCCAGTCATTTCAGAGATTAGCTTGAACAAACAGACAGATAGTTTTTTTTTAATTGTATTTTTCTTATAAGTACCATGTATAATTTCATATGTATTTAGTAAAAACCTTTTATTTCGAAATTATATACAGACATTTCCATTTTATTTATCTGTATAGATAAGTTTATGCGGGTGAGATATTTTTTAGCTCTATATAAGCTTAGAATTTACACAGACATAAAATTGTCTTAAGCTTAACATAAATGCATTAAATGAGAGTACTAATACATAGCATGTAACATATGCAGCCGCCTTCTGTACATTTATTCTTTGTTTATTATTTCTCACTGTGTTTGTTTGTTTTATAAGTTCTATTATTATTATACTTAGGCAAAGTGTTCGGGTCGCGCAGCTCGCAGCAGATCCACATCCGCATCCACACGGGCGAGCGCCCCTACGCCTGCCGCTTCTGTTGGAAGGCCTTCGCGGACGGCGGCACGCTGCGCAAGCACGAGAGGATACACACTGGTTAGTTATTGTGCTTTTTAGGGTTCCGAATCCAAATGGTAAAACGGAACCCTATTACTAAGACTCCGCTGTCCGTCCGTCTGTCTGTCGGTCTGACCATCTGTCACCAGGCTTTATCTCATGAATCGTGAAAGTTACTTAAAATTTTCACAGATGATGTATTTCTGTTGCCGCTATAACAACAAATACTAAAAAACAGAATAAAATGATGGCGCACGAGTGCTGTATATAGTTAAAGCTTGTAAGTAGACAATAATAAAAAAATAAAAACATTGCAAACCTTAATTTTAAATTAAAATAAATAGTTTCCTTCTTGAAATGTTCACGTATTTAATACTAGCAGAACCCGCGGTTTCGCTCGCGCTAAAACTACAAAAATATCTCTAAAAAGGTAGGTTCACACAAACTTTTATCCTCTATTTTACCTCCTTATAGGATGAACTTCGAAAAATGCTAAAACACGTATAAATTATTAATTTATACTGAAGAGTATTATACCAATTTTCAAGTAATTCTGATCATAAATATTTTTTTGGTTTGTATTATAACGTGTTTTGCCGTGGGAAGAAAATAATCTCCCGCGGTAAAAAGTAGATTTATGTCACTCTCCAGTCCTCCAACTATCTTTACACAAAAAGTCACGACAATCCGTCACTCTGTTTCGACGTGAAAGAAAGAAAAACAAACACACTTTCACATTTATAATATTAGTGTGGATATAACGAATATTATTATGGTTGTGTCGCAGGAGAGAAGCCGTACGCATGCGCCGTGTGCCCGCGCGCATTCAACCAGCGCGTGGTGCTGCGCGAGCACGTGCGCTCGCACCACTCCGCGCCCGACCGCCGCGCTAACGGTACGCTACCGACTTACCCTCACATCCCTGGGAACTTAACAGTTTTGTTACCACCTACCACTATGCCTGCCACCTGCATATATAAGTACAGATTGATTTGATTTATGTGAAGGCTTACTAAAATTTAGTGGAACTTTACCCGTCTTAATAAGGCGTCGTAGGATCACTCATGCTCTCAACAACAACGCTTCAACGAGGCCTAACAGTAACATATGTGTACTCGAGGTCATATTCTAATCAGTCCAGCCATTGGATGTGAAGGAGTAACAAGCATAACCACACATATGTACAAACTTTTGCATTTATAAATCGGTGACGGTAATTAGGTAAAATCACACACAACCGAATCCGTCGAGTAATTCTTTATTACTGCCTATATGTACTTAATTACATTGTACTCTTACCTAGACATAAATAATCATATTTCATTACCTACTACAATTTATATGAATAACAAACACTATTAATGAAATCTTTTAATGTCACATTAATAAACCAATTTCAATTGATTATTATTGATAACTAAAATAAATTTATTTGGGTTGATTTTGTTATTAAGTATTAAATAAACATTCGTTTTTATAAATGTTTCAGGTGGATATCAATATTGTTGTGTAGTGTGTGGACGACCGATGCACTCAAGCGCCGAATTAGTCCAACATCTTATTCAACACTGTGATGAAAATACAGCCATGAAAAGGCAACCTCAGGTCAGTTTCTTTATCCTTCTTATTTGTGAAACAAAATGCAAGGGGCTTATAATATCAATATCGTAGGTGAAATTAAATCTCGGAAATTAAAAATACAAAAGATGTTATATATTACTAACGCCTCACCCTCGGTTCGCTCAGGTTTGTCTCTAGGAAAACAAAAACAAACCTATCCCACGGGAACCGTACATTTTTCCGGGATAAAAAGCCTATGTGTTATTCCAGACTATAATCTATCTCTGTGCCAAATTTCCGTTCAGCCGTTCTGGCGTAAAAGAGTAATAAACATCCATACTCACAAACTTTCACATTTATAATTTTAATATGAATTTGCTTAACTAATTTTAATGAAAAAATTATTATACTTGATTATGATATTAAACGATTGAATTATATTATATACAGAGTGGACCAAGAAAGTATAAGCGGCGACGAAAAATAAAAACCGAAGAGTCACCCGCTCGACGCGAGTGGGAGGTTCCGTCGCCTTCTCCCGCGCCCTCCCCCGTGCCCTCACCCGCGCGCTCGCCCTCGCCCGCGCCCTCCCGCTCGTCCCTGCTGTCCCCGCGCACGCGCCGCGCGCCCCGCACCTCTCCGCCGCGCCGCCGCCGTCGACGCGCACCGCCCCCGCGCCCCAAGATGATACACACTGAGGAGCCCAGACCGAGGACTAAACAGGTATATACAATATTATAAACACAAGAAATGCAATTCTTAAAACTTTATTACGCAAATATAAAAATCATTTCTAACATCATTACCACTTGTCTTACGGTGAAGGAAAAAAGTATGAGGAAACCTGCATATCTGAGAGAACCTAGCAAGTTTTCGAAAGGCATGTGCAGTCCGCCAAACCGCACTTGGCCAGCGTGGTGGACTATAGCCTGATCCCCCTCGTATTGAAGGGAGGCCCGTGCCCAGCAGTGGGACGTTAAAAAGAGCTTAATACAATACATAAAAATGTAAATATTAATTATTAAACACTTACACATATTAATATATGATTACGAATATAATACAAAGGTTACGAAAGCAAGTTGTTTGTAAATCATAGGAACAACCATTAGTGCACAATAATAATGGTATGTATAAATATCACCAGACCTATTCTAGAATGAATAGAGTAGAGTGTGTGAAAAATAATGATTTACTCTTTGAGCTCTAGAACTAAAATAGGACATATTTTTTAATAACTAATTAAATACTACCGATTTGTTAATTTTTTATTAACGTAATTTGTTTTCACCAGGTACGAAGTCGGAGACCTCCACGGCGTCCAGCGGATGATTTGCGAGCGATAGGGCCGCGCTCCCCGTCGCCCGCTCCGCCCTCCCCGTCGCCCGCTCCGCCCTCCCCGTCGCCCGCGCCGCCCTCCCCGCCCGCACTGGCGCCGCCCTCCCCGCCTGCGCTGGCGCCGTCCTCCCCGCTCGCGCCGACGTCGCCCTCTCCACCCTCGCCCGCGCCGCCCGCCGCCGCGCTCGACGACGGCCCGGTGAAGTGCGCCATGTGCTTGCTGGAGTTCCCGCATCTGGATGCGCTGCTGATGCACGTGCCGGTGCACATATGACGCACGCAACTCCCGACCGGGCGGAGCTTGAAGAACAGACGCGCTTAGACCACTAATATGTTGCCATATTTGATATTATGTATACAAACATGCTATCGGATGTTTGGGAAAACATGTTGTATTGTCATTTAATTTGAACAGATATATGTTACAGTAATTGGATATGGACAATATATGTACTAGAAGTATACAAGAGAGGTATCTCAATTTTTAGATTTTCGTATAAAGTATGTTTTTGAAGAGAAATAGTGTGATGCGGTGTAATTTTAGCGTGTCGTAGACTGCGAATCGCGGCCGAAAAGACTGAAACCGCAAACCCCCAACCCCTAGTGATATATGGATCCCGGATGGTACTCGCACTGAATGCTTTTGTCTTTATCTCTGAAATATTAGTGTCGCCGTATACTTGTCTGAGAAGCCGGCTGTATGCGACATAACGCGACTGAAACGAGCACAAGTTGTGTAGTAACGCTATAACTGGATGTATTTATTATAATCTATGGAATATATCCTTTGTGTTTAGAGAACGCAAAAATAAAAAAGTATAATTTTGCACACAAAGCAAGGAAACCTTAAAACTTGTATGTATATATATATATACAGGTCCTTTAATTAAATATATATAAAAGTTGGAATCTCCCTCATAAAGGGCGGCCCTTATAGATCATTCCTACTAGCGTTAGTTCCCGTACCGCGGGCCTGGCAGCCAAAGAGTTAATCAATGTATTTATTATTCACGCCCTGTTTATCCATACATTAACTATTTAATGCTAATCTTTATAAATCATAAATCAATGCAATTATTATTTTTATAAAATGTGTACTAAGTAACAAAAATGTTCATTTCATTTAAAATAAATCTGATTCATCATAAGAATAATTATGAAATTCATCATGTATTTGTGTAATGGTGATTGTACTTGAAAAGTTTCATGTTCAGACTGTATAGTATGTAATTAAATTAGGTGAGGTGTCAATTGCCTTTGATAGTTCTGTACATAATTGTATTATAATATAAATAAATATTAAATAAATTTGCACGAAGTCTCATTTATAACAATAGGGTTGTCAACTTCTTGCTTGTGACATTTATTGGATTTTTAATTACCACCATCCAAAATCTTGATAATAAAGTCCTCCGATTTCGACCATGGTGGCTAGTTTTACTGAGACTAGCCATGTGCACCATCTGTATAGTGTGCGCGAACACAAGTGCACTCTCTTTCACTATCACACTACGGTGGGCGACAATTCGACACGGATTTGGAAGAGATCAGACTAGACGTGAACATGAAAAGTAACCTTATGTAAATGCTAATACAACTCAAAATAAAATTTAATTATTGGACCTTATCTAAGCTAAGCAAATAAGACTTACTATAAAAATTATAAATTACTAGCAGAACCCGCGGCTTCGCTCGCGCTAAAACTATAAGAAAATATTATTTAGATATTTTTAGGTAGTTTTATACAAAATTTCATCCCCTATTTTACCCCCTTATACAATGAATTTCAAACAATGCTAAAACACGTAAGTATTCATTTAATTTTATCGAAGAGCGTAATTCTGATCAAAAATATTTTTCGGAATTGTATTTTTCCGTGGGAATTAGATAATCTCACGCGGTAAAAGGTAGCCTATGTCACTCTCCAGCCCTGCAACTATCTCCACACAAAAAATCACGCCAGTCTCTCTTTCACTGTTTTCTACAATTCTAAGATATAATGTTTGTTTTCTACAATTCTAAGATATAATGTTGATTTTATCCTTCCCATATACCCGATTCCCATCGATTAATTCAATAAAATAGTGACGGTGTCCTTATTTGCATTTTTATTTGGTTCGATTCCCGGTTCAGGTAAGCATTTTTTCAAAAAAATAAATGTAGTTATTATTATTGTTAATAATAATGTAGTTATTATTATTGTTAATAAAGAAATGTTTCCTTTAAGTAAATCTTCATTATTTAAGGTACTTTTCTTTCATGTCTCATCGATTTGTTCCAGCCTGTATATTATCTCTACGTCCGATACAATCGAAGTCGCATCGCGGCATCGCACTTCCCTTGTTTTTTGTCTTCCGTGGCTATAACTATGACTCACTCTATGAGTCTATAGCAAAGAGTATAGTTATATACTGGTCTATGGGTTTTACAGTTTACTAATAATAATGTCAAACAGTGTAGCTAACTTATGGGTTTTCCCCCCGAATTTAGGGGGAAAAAATAGCACCGGAGGTTTTTAAGGGAAAAAAAACTTCTTAACTTTCACATTCGTGAAATACTTGAACATTTTGATGAGTCAACTATTTAAATTTTTGAATTATTTTATAATAAATATGATATCATTAGTGATGAACCGCATAATGCCATAACTGGTAACATTTCTGAGCTTGTGCTTGTAACTAGTGCAGCCAACTTAGGGCTAAGACTTAAATTATATGCCTTTTCTTAATTATTCCCTAAGTTATGGAATTTATTATTATTTTTAAATGGTTGTACGAAATGACTATAATAATAAATACGTGTTTTACGCTACTTGTAATCATTTAATATTAGATAATAACCTACATTTTTCAAATTGTCACTTAGGGAGTTTTTAGGGTTTTTGAAATTACTTTTAAGGGGATAAAATTTCAAGTGCTGGCAGCACTGATGTCAAAACGCGTTTTATAATTTATAAGATTATAAAATAATGTTGGAGCTTCAATTAAAAATTCACTATTGTTTTACTTAGAAGTATATTAGAAAAAATATAGTTCTTTTTAAACTTCATTTAATTAATATCAAATGTTTCATTATATTTTATATATAAAATTGATATTTGACTTTCTATTCGTTTTGAAGTGAAAGACGAAACGTTTTTGGTGATTTTTCAGACTCAGATCTGTCACTGTATATGTTGTACAAATTACAGCAGCTGCTGTCGTGTTTATTTCTAAATGAATCGAATTATCTTTGAAGTTGTGTAATTTAAATACAAACTAGACAGTTGGAATTATTCTAATAAGATTGTTGAAAGCCTTTTGCTAAGCTAAAATTCTCGCAAATATTTCATAATTACATTTACTGTTGGTGAAACGGTAACTTCTATGCCTTTGCCTTTTTCTATGACCAATATAAATAAAATATAAAATTTATTGTTTATCATCACGGCCGGACGAAGTAATACCAATATGAGGCGAGCTCGAGAGAGTTATCAGTATCAACCTATACCTAAGGCTCCTACAGATGATGTTCTAGAACATGAAAATGAAAGAATGGCTCAGGAGCTGAGCGGAAAAATTACTACATTAAAACACATGTCAATAGAAATTGGCAATGAAGTACGACTCCAAGACCAAATTTTACGAGGACTTGATGATGACGTAGATAGGAGTTCTGGATTTCTTGGGAAAACTATGGGAAGAGTCCTCAAGTTAGGCAAAGGAAACCACAATTATTATATTTTCTATTTATTTTTATTTTCCATTTTTGTGTTTTTCTTGCTCTACATAGTTTTAAAGTTTAGGTGAATTATTTTAATTTACAATCACAAAATTATTTGTTAATAGAAATAAAAAGAATATCTAAAGAACTTTTACTATTGAACAGGTCTTTAAAATCATAAACTTGCTAAGCTGTGTAACTTTTGTATATAATTTAATTGGATCATATATTTAAAAGAAAACTATTAAACCTATTGTGAAAGATTTGTTTTTTATTACATCATATACCTTCAGATTATTTTTATGACTAGGGTTTTTTTAAATTGAATCTTATGAATACTTTGAATGTTATGCAACATTTTACATTAATCTATACATATAATAAAATTGTAACTAAGCTTAATCAGTACATTTAACATTTTTTGGAAAATCTTATCAAAACAGACATTATTATCGATACAGAACTGAATCTATAGTTTTTTTTAATTTTTCTGTACATCTGCGACTGCATTACGGAAAAAAATCTTTCATTTCATTACTTCTTTCAGCATATATTTAAAGATTGGTGATATAATAGTTTCTTGGATTTATGTAAATATTTGACATGTTAAATAAAACAATCATATTGCACTCATGGTCACAGAAGGGATATGGGAGTCTCTTCCAGTCCCATGACAATGATTGTAAAGCACTCAAAACATGAACAAAAAATCAAAATAAATCTGCAAAAAAATCTAGAAATATTGGTGACATTATATTTACAAAGATTGCAGTTTCATTTATTAAAGTAATACTTACTTTGTTATGTATGGTATGGTATTTTCGGACTGTTTTCCGCAACTCGACGTCTATGCGCCTATTTAGCGTGAAACTTTACTTTGTTATGTAAGATAATTAAATTTTATATTGACAAAATATATATTACAATACTAATTTACTTAATACAAATTTCTCCTAATATTTAAAAGTATGCGCATACATCTCTTTGATGAAGTCACAAGTATCTTCTCCAAATAATATTTGTGGTGCTGAAATGTATAAATTGCAATTCGATTTTAAAATTTTACAACAACTTCTGGCAGTATCAATTAAAAAGGCAGTAATTCCACAAGCATTTTGTATATTGTCTTTTGTGCAATATTCACTAAGGTTGTCCAAGACTATTGTTGATGGAATATGTTGCCAATTTGGTAGTGTGACAATACCTTCTAAAAGAGACTTTATGCAGGGTGCATAAATAAAAGTAATCATTTTCATATAATGCCTATCAATTTGATTCAAATCTTGTGATAACTGAGGCAGTTCGTTAAGTTCTTCTGGTAATATATACAGAACTCTTCCATTCTTTGTAGCAGCTATAGATTTGTTAAATAACATCTTACGATTTTGTTCAATATCTTCAAAATAAAATTTACATACAACTTCAGGATTGGTCATATTAAATTAAAACCTTATTATTTATTTGTAGATTAAAACAAAGTTTAATGATTAATTAAAATGCTGATAACATTTTGAAAACAGGTTAGTATTTCAAATGTCAAACCAATTATTTTCAATTCAATTTTCTTGATAAAGGCTTCAAAGCGTAAAGCACAAAGTTATTGTATTTTATAAACTGTTTAAAAAATATAAACAGACATCAGTTTCAAGTTTCAACCTTTCAGTTTCAGTTAAGTTTGACATGCGTAGCATCTCTGATTCTCTTTACAGTTTGTGAGTATTGAGTAAAGATTGCCACTAAACAAAAGAATAGAATAGAATTGAGTAAAGATATATCAACTCGATTCACTAACTCGAGTTGAATTCTCTCTGACTCGAATTTGGATTTGCGTGGTAAATGAACGAATCAAGCGAGAACGCGATTGACCTTACACAAGCGCGGCGATTCGTTCGTTGTGTGCATGCTTTGTACAGTCGTCAGCACTTCGGACTGTACATTTATGTTGCAAAATTGCTCCTATTACAACCGAATAAAATGCCACAGTATTTAACTTAATCGCTGTCGTCCGTGCTCCCGCCATAGCGTATCAACCGACTGACAGCGTTATAATATCCATACTAATATTATATATGTGAAAGTGTGTTTGTTTGTTTGTCCTTCTTTCACGTCGAAACGGAGTAACGGATTGGGGTAATTGTTTTACTGAAGATAGTTGGAGGGCTGGAGAGTGATATAGGCTACTTTTTACCGTGGAAGATTATCTCATTTCCACGGGAAAACACGTTATAATACAACCCAAAAAAATATTTATGATCAGAATTACTTGAAACTTGGTATTAACGCTCTTCAATACAATTAAATAAATATATGTTTTAGCATTCTTCGAAATTTATCCCGTAAGGGGGTAAAATAGGGGATGAAAGTTTGTGTGAAACCTACTTTTTTAAGAGTGTTTTTTGTAGTTTTAGCGCGAGCGAAGCCGCGGGTTCTGCTAGTTAAAATATAAATAAATAAATATAAAATAATATAAATAATTATAACTGTCCCAATATATATTTATTACGAATCTGTACCATTTTTTAATATTGTTACGAAGCCGAGTCATTAATTTGGTACAAACAAAACAAATCATTACCTTCATTTTTCATCCAGTTAACTCGAGTTACGTGAATTTCAACTCTAGTTAAATCGAGTTATATTTTTCCGAGTTGGCACATCAATTGTGAGTTTGACAATTGACTTTGACCATAGCCTTACACATAGATAAATAATAAAGAATAGATGACCGAGCCAGTGTTGCCAACTCCAATAATCCGTATCCCTAGATTCAATATCAAAAGACGCCAGAAAGTACCTAATTCTAAAGCTAAATTCTATGAGAAACTGATCCAGATTCCAGAATTTCGTTCTGAAAGAAGCACAAAAGGCCAGTGGCGGTCAGAAAAAGGAGTCGCGAGTGCGGATAGGGTAGGGGCGTGAAAGGAAATTAATTAAATTGTTTGGTATTAAATTATAATAATTAAACAATTATATTAATAATAAAACACCACACATTTAATAACGATAACGTTATAATTCAATCAAATATATTATCACCAATTGTTTGTTTACTACCGAAACAGCATTGAAAAGGGCGACGATAGGTGTTTCTCTGGCCAAGTTATTTAACAGATTAACTGCCCGCAAAATAGACACAATAGTTAAACAATCGAAATGTTCATATGTCTAATGGACTCAAACAGGGAAACGGTTAAAATGATGTCATTTACCAGAGAACTGAAGGGTTAAAGCGCAATATGCGGCATAATATGCTCAACTTAGAATTTTTCAACTACATCAACGCTCTGCACAATATAGCACTTTGAAAAGTACTGCTTTGAAGTGATGCGCGCAACGGATACTAGAACTCAGTAGCTAAAAGTATAAGACGTGTTTTTTCGTGTTTGTGCGTCAAAGTACCTACCGCATTGTTGTGTAGGTAATTGGAAAACAGGGTCTTTTAGCAAATTACCACTGCCCCTGGAATGGCTGAATGGGACTTAATAGCAAAATCATATAAAATTGGGTTCGACTTGTATACATGATGCTATAGTTATTTTTAGGCAGTTTTATTTTAACAGAATAATTAAGATAAATAATAATACATTTATTAATTGTAAATTATCTTTAATAAAATCACTCCTATAAAATAAGTCTTTAAATTATAAATTAGGCATAATAAAATGAGACATTTGACACATGTGGCATAGAAAAAAAAATGTAAGTGAATAACTTTTGTGTTTTAAAAGAAATTTTAATGATTATATACAATGCTAATAAATGAGATGTGAGATATTGATATTTATAATACCAAAAAGATAATTGCATTTCACATTGGGTAATTTTAATACAATATGGAATTGTAATATTATTATATAATTATTCGCCTTGTTTTCAGAATGGTTAATATGTGCGTCATACTATACATAGTTATATAAAAATATTTACATTTTCATTTGCCCTTTACCAATGATATAATTTCTTATATTTAATAATTCAATACATAAAATTGACCACAGGAATAAACCTACAATGACATGTAGTATGGCGTCTTTATATAGGCGAAATGTAAATTTCAATTCAAATTTAATAAGAAACAAATTCTTTGTTTCGCAGTAATAGAAAGAAAATGTATTTATTTAAAAATAGATACAGATTACAAAAATTCTTATCTCACTGGTTTGAGGAAAGAAGGCGGAAAATCACATATTGAATAAAATCATACTGAATATTCTTTAAAATATATCCTTCACGGTTCTAAATATAAATTCAAAATATTTTATTCAGCATTACATTATTACTTCGATCAACAATACTACTAGATAACGTGTCACATACAAAATCAAAGCTAAATTCTGTTCGCGCGAATATGAACTTATACAGCTTCATTTTTATACTAACGAAACAAGACGAAGTTTATAGTAGTTTTATTTTCAAGCTAATCAACACCATAGCACCTTGTAATAAAGTCACAAATCTTCGAGTTATCATCATACACCGTTTCGTAAGTTTTATAATCTTTATTGTAAAATCAACCCTATATAAAAAATCATAAAGCACTTTTTCCTGTTCTTGCTATGTGAGCTAAATCGTTATTTTTTTTTCTGTTTGCTTCTTTGTATTGTCGGGTATATTCGCAGGGCCTACGTTCTTAGCGGATTTAAAATTGTTCAAAATTTCATTTTTATATTATTTCGTAGGTTAAATCTTAAAATATTGACATAATCTACATTTATTTACCGAAAATAAGACACTCCGTCTGAAAAATATCTTTTTCGCGCATTATTTTTAACCACCGACGCAAAAAGAGGGGTGTTATAAGTTTGACGTCGATGTCTGTCTGTATGTCTGTGTGTGTGTCTGTCTGTCTGTGGCATCGTAGCTCTCAAACGGATGGACGGATTTCGATGCGGTTTTTTTCATTTGAAAGCCAGTTTCCTTGCGGTGGTTCTTAGCTATGTTTGGTTAATATCGCTCCAGCAGTGTAAGAGTATTAGCTCTTTTCCAAAATGATGTAAGGCATTTATTACTAGATTAAGAGCTTCACGCGTGCCAGTGTAATCGTTAAAAGACAATTAATTAATTTGAGTAGGGGGTTTTTTTAATTTTCTATTTATAATTATTGCAACTTTTAAATATATATTGCGGCATTGTGAACGTGTTTACGTTGGCAGTGTTTCAGTAGAACTAATCGAAATATACGCTCAGTTTGCTCGTGAGCTTATATTTACCGAGACGGATTACTTACGCCGACCTGATATCAAGTAGTATTGTTGATCGAAGCATTTTTTTTTACTAAACGTTATGAGTCAACTACCAGTTTGGAAAGAAGAAGCCTCAGACATGAGAAGAACTGGCGAAAGAAACTAAGTAATAATAACTACAATGACATTATATTGTATTACTATCAGTCAATCTACATTATTATAATATCATATAACTTGAAAATGTGGATAATAATAACAAAAACGTAATTCAAGTAATATAATAACATACAAGCAACTTTTTTAGAAGTATTCGCTGTTATTTACGTTCCATATAACACAACTTAGTTTTTTTTAATATTATCTCGAGTACTGTGGGCATCAGAAGTGAGTGAAACTTGTAAAACCATTTATGAGAATGTTATAATAATAGAATGAATGACTTATGTTAAAAAATTACTTCAACCTTATTTTGTTTTATTCTATTAAAATTAAAAAAACCTTACTTCTAACTGAACTGTAATATTTTAGACCTAGCATAATAGATATTATTTACACTTCTCTAGAATCATCCAAATCTTATTCAACAACTTTGCTAAGGAATTATTTGTAAAGAAATGTATTTTCTAAATCATATTATAACCTCATGGACCTACAACGTGTTCAATTGGAGACAATCATAAACATGTTACATGATGTAAATCATCAATATATGTAATGGCTATGTAAAGTTTGCATGGTTTTTTAAGTGGCCTGCACGTTTTACTTGTAATAGTCTTAGAACTGAATAAAAATACAACTGGCTTAAGGATACTATTGTATTAAATTATGACAATTTAAAAAATATATTTAATGCACATGTGAGTGATTTCAAATTTCATATATATCATTTTACATGCAGTCATTTTAATTTAAGAAGTAACTACTTGAGTTAAAAAAGTAGGTCCAAATTTTCTGTTATCTATTTCTTAAGGTCTTTGAACTATAAATATGTACATTAAGTATTAAGCCATTTATACCAATTGTACAAAAATATTCAGTTCAATTTGCAGAGCGATGCAGTCATAGGGGCTTTAGATAAAATTAGTGATCAACATCCACTTATAGTTCATTCTTGAGCTTTACTGGCCTCTGTAATGGATTCATACTGTTCCTTGTCTAGTTCCGTCATCGTGAAACTACCGTCTGGTAGCAAGAGCACCACGCGCCGAGTACCACCTGCAAAATAAAAATCACAGAATTATCACATTGATATTTTTCCAGATTTATAATACATAGTAATACATCCTTATACTTATATACAAGCAAGCACACATTAACTCTCGCTCTGTCGTATCCATGGTCACTGTAAAGCATACGACCAAAACAACAAACCAAAATAAATCCGTGAATAAATAGTTTTATTCACGAATTTAGATTAAATAATTATTCGGGTAAATCAGGCCAAGTATTTGTGGCCACACTAACCAGGCGAGGGCAGGTCCGCCTGCACGAGCTGCGCGATGACCTGCGTGGCGTCCTCGCCGGGCTCGCCCTCCACCTGCACCGCCACCTGCTGCAGCGCGCCCGCCTCGCCGCCCGGCATCAGCTGCGCGAGCTGCGACGGGTCTATCGTCAGCACGTCCTGGAAATTATCCAACAATATATTTATTCATGTCTGAGAGAACCTAGCAAGTTTTCGAAAGACATGTGAAGTCCGCCAACCCGCACTTGGCCAGCGTGGTAGACTATGGCCTGATTCCCCTCGTATTGAAGGGAGGCCAGTGTCCAACAGTGGGACATTAAAAAGGGCTGAATACATACACATATTCATTCACATTAACAAATGTAACATATACTAATATATTAAGTGTTTGCATGTATGCGCACTTATTTGGAAATACCAGCGTGATTTAAACATTTCTCGTAAAATATGTAATATGTATACTGTATAGTATGTATATAATATTTATTGAGATCAAGCATCACACTATGACCTTTGATGACGCAAATTATACGAGCAATATTAGTTATTTTATTATATATTAGTATAATGTCCTCCTGACCGATCTCTGCCACGGCAGCCAATTTCACTGAGACTAGCCAACTAAGCAGAAGATATCATAGTGCACAAGTGTACGCGAAGAAATCAGGAGCAGAACCGACGACTTTACTTGTGTTCTCCAAAGCAGGGAGATGACATACCGCCAACTTTCAAACTCTGGGCCGTTACTGAAACTTTACAGAAAGACTTGGTAACTAATCTAGGCCCGATCCAGGACTCGAACCTAGTACCTCCACGTCTGCAACCGTACATGCTAGCCACTAGACCACCGAGGTTTTATTATTAGAATAAGTGTGCTGTATGATATTGTGTATAGGGTATTAGTTCACAATGCCTGGAAGCGAATGAAAAGCGTCGTTGGGTCATTACATTGTTGTTATTTTATTAACGTTCAATACAATTTTTTTACGTTATAGTATCTTTAAAACAAATCACTAATTTACCTGTCCATCTTCTCTCGTAACATACGTGACACCCTCAGTTTCACCATCCACGGCACCTTCTACTCCTTGCACAGTACCTTCGACTCCTTGGGCAGCCACTAGTAATGTCTGCAAGGAATAATAGGCATTAATAAACTTTTCAATATGACCATATATGTATACTATAAATTAGAGAAACAAAATATTTTTTGTAAAACCGTTAAAATATAATTATTTATAACAACATGATGTTGGTAACTCCATCCTGATAAGGTCATGAAAGTAATAAAAAGCAAGATACTTGCATAACTTCAATCTATACTAATATTATAAAGAGAAAGATTTTTGTTTATTTGTACCAAATTAGCTCCGAAACTACTGGACCGATTTAGATGAAATTTGATAAGAAAATAGTTAGAGACCCTGGGAAAGACATAGGATAATTTTATCCCGCAAATCATTCCTTAAGGGGATGAAAGTTTGTATGGGCAATCTACCTAGGGATGAACCTGAGCGAAGCAATGGTGTATCTCTAGTAAAACATATGTCTTCTCACCTGTCCATCCTCCCTGGTGACATACATGACGCCCTCGCTTTCGCCTTCGACTGTGCCTTCTACACCTTCCACCGTTCCCTCCACACCCTCAGCGGCCACTAACAGAGTCTGACCAGCCTCGTTCTCTCCGGCCACCTGTTGAATATATGTTTTCATGTTATAATAATGCATGGGTGTTGTAATAAAAAAATGTCCTGTCATTGCTGAAGTCATTTTTTTTATAAAGCTAAAACCTATACAGCTAAATAAAATTGAAGTATCTGTTTGTAATGTCAAAATAACAGCCTTTTACTAAATGCATATAAAATTACATACACTTAATAGAGAAACACATTTTTTTAAATTTTAGTCTGTCTGCCTGTTTGTTCCGGCTAATCTAAGAAACAGCTGGACTGATTTTGACGAGACCCACTGGCCAATAGCTGACGTTATAAGGAGTAACTTAGGCTACTTTTATTTTAGAAAAAGAATTAGAGCTCCATTAGAAAAACATACCCAGAAACGCATCAGAGTGAAGCATGCTTACGTCGCTAGTAGTAAATATATTACTATCAAACAGACCGGGATAGAGATATAGTTAACATAAAGTAGACAAGTCATTTATTTTAGACCCTGAATGTTTGATTTAGATATAACATCAAAAGAAAAAATATGACAATCACTTGAAATCCTAGTTGTGTGATATACATTTAGCTTAAAAACAAACAAATACAAATTCAACATTTATTTCTACTTTAAAGAAAAAAGATTTTTATATACAATATCAACAACAAATGCATTAGCACAATCATTATTAATAAACATTAAAGCAGTATGTGTATCTGTATATTATACGATGAAACCTACCTTAGGAATCTATACTAATATTATAAAAAGGCAGAGTTTGTTTGTTTGAACGCGCTAATCTCAGGAACCACTAATTCGATTTGCAAAATTCTTTCTGCATTAGACAGGCCGTTTATTGAGGAAGGCTATATATCATTCTGGAAAATGTACGGTTCCCGTGGGATAGATTGGTTTTTATCTAGGGACGAACCCGAAACTAAGCGAGGGTGAGTCGCTGGTTAGTAATAAAAATCATCTGCCTTTACTTTACGTCGTGTTTGAGCAACAACTATTAAATATAATATGTTCAACTCATGTACTTAATGATTCGTTATATAAGTATGTAAATGAAGTTGTTTACTTAGAGATTAGACAAGTGGGTGGGGATATGAACTTTAAAATAAATCATTATTGTCAGATTTGATGCTGTATGATATAAAATGAATGATTGAACCCTTATACTTTTTATCAATACCGCCTTGGACATAGCATAAAGCTATATGTATAAACTTAATCATATTATATGTTACCCTATAATATTTATGTAAGTAATATTGTATTGTTTGGTTTCCTAAAATAAATAAATATTACAAACCAGTCTCAAGAGTGTAAGAATGTACATTGTAGAGTTCACATATAACAACCCTTCCCCTAGAAAACTAGGATTCTTTAACATTCTTCAATTTATGAATTAGCGCTTCATTTGCAGCATATAGAATCTAGAATCAACTGCTATACATATGAATGACTGCAACACGTGTACTAACTTGGTAAAGCACGCCGTCCTCGCCCCTGATCATGATGGGTGGGTGCGCGGCGTGCAGGAGGCCGACCTCCTCGCCGTCGTCCACGCCCACTCCCACTCCCTCCTCCAGGAGCTGCTTCACCGCGCTCGCCTCCACTTTCACTTCCGTCTATATAGAGTAATGTGGAGTATCGTGCCTTAGTTGTGTTGTTTTTTTATTCCCTTGCTTTTCGCTCAGCATTATTTCCACAATATGTAATGTTTTTATACATGCTAAACTTACACGACAGTTAAAAAGGTCAATTCAATTGATTAGATAATATTAAATATCAATTTATAAATTATTCATAGAATCATTTTAAATGTTATTTTTCAAGCAAATGTATTATTAAAAAAATACAATAATGTTGTACAATCGATTTTTGTCAAATGTAATTAAATTTTATATTAATATATAATAATTTAATAACTACAAATACTTTTTTAACTATCATATAATTTTAGCATCAAAATGACCCATTGTTAGAAAATGAATGCTATGGTTGTTAGACCTCGCTTCAAGCATCAAATTAATGTTATAAAAATCTACTTACGCCGTCTTCATCCGTGAGTACTGGTAGTGATGGCTGTGCGCCATCTCCTTGTACCAACATGCCCGTTGTGCCACCAGGTGAAATTTCAACCTGTTAAACATAAAATAGAAGCATCTTTTAAGTCAAATACATATGTATTTGCAAATATTGTTAGCGATTCATATTTATGAGTGTATGTGCTTATGAGCACGTAAAGCAATATTATCGATTTTATTGATTTATTTAAGGGTGTAATTTTCCACTCCCGGTATAGCCTTTTTTTACAGCGACAAATAATTTTTAGACATTTATATAATAGTTGGCCGCTACGATCATAATCTTGGTTCTCATCCTTCCATTGTGTAAGAAAAAGATATAAAGATAATGTTATAATATAGAAGATTTATCATCAAGACTTCCCATTAAGTAGTCTTGTAGTATTGTCTGCTTTAGCCGAATTCCACATAACCACCTGTAAATGCAGGTGGTGGCAACGTTGGGTAGTACCGGCTCTTCTAGCCGGTGAGCCCCACATCACCACCTGGGGGATCAGGTGGTATGCGTAAATGCATTTCCCGACATAAAAAAAAAAAAAAGGTGGTGGCAACGTCGAGTAAAATAAAAAGTGGGATTTGCCTTCATAAGCATGGGCGCGTGCGTGTCGGGCGGCGGCGTGGCGGGCGGAGGCGTGGGCGGCGGCGTGGGCTCGCCCTCGGCGCGCGCCAGGCGGCGGCCCGTCAGCGGGCACAGCGTCAGCTCGCGCTCGGGGCTGGGCGACGGCAGCGGGCCCAGATCGCGCGGGAACGGGTCCTCGATGCCGTCCGATGACTCGGACGACGCCTCCCACTGCTTGCGGGTTGGGAGACAATCAACATTATATATTATGTATATAAAGATTATATATAAATATAGAAGATTCCAAAACAGCCATAATGTTTAATAGCATGGCTAATATTTTCTAAACCTAAAATTTTTACAAAAAATAAATATAAAAGTATTAGTTATACAATATAACCTATTAGTCCCTTATACCTTACCATGGATGTGATTTAAATTTTTATTAAAATTGATCTATTATAATAGAGAATTACAGAATACGAACCTTATCAAAGTCTATAGAAACGGGTTTCTCGCGTATGCGCACTATATTGCCGGCGGCGGTCGACACGGAGTAGCCGCGCCCGCGCCCGCGCACGCCGCCGCGCCCGGGGCTCCCCGCGCCACGGAGCAGACTGTCTCCCTAACAAACAAATTATAATATATAGGTATTTTAATTTATGGATTCGTGGATGTTTAAAAAGTTTATATTCAAAGATTTAAAAAGTAACTCATTTAGTGTTAATATTTGTTAATTTAGCACTAATGTGCCTGCTAACAATTGATAGCTAACTGACACTTGAACATGCACGTGTACATGTTATAGTTATGTAACAAACAGTTCATTCAAATATGAGAGATGACTGATGAGAGATGTTCTCCTAGCCGATTCCGGCTATGGCGGCCAATCTCATTGAGACTAGCCAACTGCGCAGGAGATATGCCCAGGACCTCCTAGTGTGCAGCTGTACATGCTAGCCACTACACCACCGAGGCAGTTGCAGTTCAATTCAAATATATGCGGATGGGGACATTTAGTTTGATTATGACTATTCATTTTATCTTCTAGCTTAGAATGTGTACATAACATACATTCGAGTCCAATTAATTAAAAATATTCTTAACAAATACAAATGAAAAACCTTAAAATAAAAATGCCACAATAACCTGTGCAAGTTTCCTATTAAGTATAGTGACGGGCGACTTGCCGTCGGAAGCGCCGTACGGCCGCTGTATGGTGCGCTGGATGATCTTTTGTCCTGATGGCGTTATTATCGTCTTCTCTGTTACTTGCTGTCCTCCAGATGCGTATGTCTTTCTTATCTGTTTAAATTAACCATTTACGTTAATAATTATGAATAACGTATAATAGGGATCGTGCGTCTAGACTTTTACGCCATCTAGTGGCAAACACCTGAATTTATTGAGATCATTTTTCAATACATAATGTCAATGTCAAGAAAAATTGTTGACTTTGAATTTGATTACACTAAGTAATACACAAGTACTTTAAAGTACATTTTTTTTACTTTTATTACTTTTTTCTATATATAGGAATATGCTTGGACTTGAATATTTTTTTTACATTTCTCACTATCTTCGGGAATAAAAGACTAGGTGGACATCAGTGCTACCCTCCACATTTCATGCACGGTCCCCATGTATTTAGTATTGAAGTCCTTATCATTGGTTGACTGTAAAAGATTGCATTCAGCGATAAGGCCGCCTTTGTACATCACCTTTTCTGTATGTCTTTTTCATAATGTATGGCACATTAAATGTGCAATAAGTACAAAAAAAGGTAAGTATAAAAATATTATTTACCTGTGATGAAGCAGGCGTGCTTGCAGGTGACTTTTTGGCTTCTTCCAATTTTTTCTGTAAAAATAATAAATTTTAAATATGAAGAAGACAAAGTAAACATATTATAATAAATAATAATAATTTACATATCATACATTAATAAAATATCATTTATACAGATAAATAAAATTGAAGTGTCTGTTTGTGATGTCAAAATAGCAGCTTTTTACTAAATGCATATACGAAATTTGCAAGAAAAACATAATTTCTAAAATTTTTGTTTATCTGTTCCAGGTAATCTCCAAAACGACTCACTAATTCACATATTTAGACATACAAAATAATGTAAATTAACCTGTTTAGCAGCCATTATCTGCTTTCTAATGACATCTTGGTCAATATTCAAGCCCGGGCCTAACTTGCCGGGTGAGTCAATTTTCATTATACCAGAGCTTTTTGACATTATGTAGACACCTATGAGGAAAAAATATCTTTAAAACAATTATTACTTATTAAAAATGTCAAAAATATTTGAATTACTGACACCAATGAAAAAAATCTTTCTACACATGTATATATATCTTAATAATTACCAGTAGTGAGATTAGGCATATGTTTGGGGTCGACTTTGATGACGCCTTTAATATTAGGCATGCCCTTGCCCCCCAGACCCAGAGATTTCACCAGCTCAGGGTCTATGTTGGATTTTGGTGAGGATTGCCCATTCATTACTTTCTTTTCTGTGAAGAAATGCGTATATTAACATTTTATTATATTTAAAAAAAAACAGAAATCCTAGTAATACTACAATCAGCTTAATTTTTTATTATTCTGACATTTCTATAAGCTTTTTTCTAACACATACCTTCCGATAAAGACACATCACATTTGCTAGCTGTTAACAAAAAGTTTTCGTCATAACCTATAGCATTTGAAGTAAAAAAAACGATATAACAATAAAACTACATAGGGCAGGGCATTAGGTCTCGGTCCAGAGCTAGGCAAGGGGTCGATGAGCTCAGATAGTAGAGCGTTGGGCAAGTCAAGCGTCACCAGGCCTGCCAGATTACAGTCGTTGATTTACCCAATTTATAAACCTCAAAATACCCAGTTTATCCTGCCGGCGCCAACCATGAGCAGATTACCCGAAAATAGTTTTTTTAAAGTAATTCATTCATGTTTTATACAGAATAAAAGAAAGTACTAAAAAACTTAAAATATCGAATTAATCAGCTAAACTAAAATACCTGCTTTGATCCTGCTCAATGCAAATAAATACCCTTCTAAATTACCCGCCATCAAAAATCGCCTAAAATTACCCGCTTTTCGGGAAATTTACCCGTCAAATGGCAGCGCCGAGAGTCACATACCTTTGGTGGAGTCGGAGTCAGAGAAGTCGTCATCGCTTGAGAGCTCGCGCTTGATGCGTTTGGCTCCGGGCTCGTCATCGGCTCCGCACCACGCCTTCACTTGATCGAGTGCGCGCGCTTTGCTTGTTCGTTGTAAACGCCTGTTAGCATCAATTGTTAGGTTACTTATATTAATAAGTAAATAATATTTATATAGGTAATAATTTATTCCCTATCTATCTTCTATAATATAAAAATGAATTGCTGAATGTGTTGGTAAGCGCAAATCTCGAGAGCAGCTGAACCAATTTCGCTAATTCTTTTTTTAAGAATATTCCTTGAAGTACATAGATGGTTCCTATGGAGAGAAAAATTTTAAAAATTGCCTGAATAAGTCTAAAAACAACACTTTTCTATATGTACTCCCATACAAAAGATACTTAAAAGTCAATTTGAACTTTAATACCATACCATAAAGTTTAAGTGTTAGTGGAGAGGTTCCGGGAAGGCAAAACAATTGAGTGACGTTAGTATCGTATAAATATTAATGTCAATATTTGTCAATATTAATAACAAAAAAAAAATTATGTGGCTAACGCTGGCTAATAACTATTTATATCTATTTAAAACGTACCTAGCGACAAACCCGAGCGAAGCGAGTGTGAGCCGCTAGTAGTATTATAAATGTAAAGGTTTGGATGGATGGATGTTTGTTACTCAATCACGCCAGAACGGCTGAGTGGATCTGAGTGCAATTTGGCACAGTGATAAATTATAGTCTGGAAGAACACAAAAGTTACTTTTATCTCGGAAAAATGTACGGTTCCTGTAGAATAATTTGTTTTTGTGTTTCACAGAGCATAGGATCCACATGCAAAAATATTTTTTTCCTAAAATACACTCACAATAATTATTTATATCTATTTAACCTACCTAGGAACGTAGCTATGGACACACCCGAGCGAAGTAAGGATAACTAGCGACTAACCTTGTACTATAAATTAATCTGGGTTTTTAATTGAGCTCAGAAACTACTGTTCTGTTTTTATGTCTTGCACCAATAGAAAGAATGATAATGTATAAAAATATTCCAAAAATAATCTGCCAGTATAATGACATTTGTGAATTAAATTGGAGAAAACTTTGTTCTAGGTGAATTTATTTGATAGGAGCAAGGGTAAGCCACTAGTATATATTATTTTACAAATGCATCTTACCCAGTTGGAGTTAAAACTGGGCTTTCTGTCTTCTTCACCATCTGCTTAACAACTTGCGGTAATGGAGTGCTCATTTGTTTAACCTATTGAACATAAACAATAAAATATAAATTACCAAACAAGAATTATGCAACGAGAAATTTATCCTGTTTTTAAACAATAATACAAGTCTTTAAAAAAAAATGTTGTTATATATTATGTTATATAAATTAATGACTACTCAAATTAAACAAAATATATTTTCACAATAACACATAGGATTTATTTAGAAAAAGTTACCAATCAAAAGATAAAAGATAGAAAGAAGCTAAAAATAATTTCATACCTGCACTGGATGCTGCTGCTGCTGCTGTTGCTGCGCGCGCAGAGCCTTGAGCTCCTTCTGTCGCGCCAGCTGCTTTTCAAACGCCTCCAGTAAATGTTTACATGTCTCCATATTCTCCACTGGCTCCCAAGTGTTTTGCTCACTATAAGAACATATTCATGTATAAAAGAGCATCCAATCTACAAAGAATTAAGAAAATAAATTTAAGAAATCTTAGGAGTTTTATTTATTGACCACTAACTTAACTGGTTGTCACATAATCTAAGGCTGGTCTTGCAGTGTTGCATGGAAAAGTCTATAGTGGTTTAATTTCTCTTGTGCATTTTATATTAATTGATAACTGTTATAAATGTTTAATCAAAATCGAAATAAATTTTGATAATGAAAAAAAAAATTACGGTTAAAGAAATTCTTCCTATCTATTTTTTTAAAAAGATGCGACGTAAAAATTTCAAATTGCTACAAAGCAACGGAAGATGTAGCATGTCGTGTCTGGTCGCAGAGAACATCAATGCACTGCATAATATGTAATATACTGCCTACAGCATTTATGACAAACAAAATATACTTTATTCAAATAAATTTTTACATGCACTTTTGAATCATCAATTTTTCATTTTAAAATTAAATTGTCAGTGTAGTCAGTCCATGAGGAATCTACCACTGGCTTGGATACTTTTACCCCGGATACCTTTTAACATTCAAAGGTGAAACTCCCTGTAGATATTCCTCCCAATCTTAACCACATATAATATGAGAAACCATTATTAACTTATCGTCTAATGCGGCTTATGGTGTTTATCATAGAAACTATTTACCAAACAATATAAAACTCACTGCGGATATCCCTCCCATTTGAGCAAATACTCATAGTGCTTGCGTCTTGGGTTAAAGCGTTTGGCCAGTATCTTCTCTACCACGTACTCGCCCGCCTCCGCGCCGGCGCCGCCCTCGCGCTCGGAGCGCCGCGCAATACGCTCCTCTGCCGGCACACGCTCTTGTGCGTTACGCACAGATTCTACAGAAAGGTCCTGAAACACGCAATATTAGCTTTTGTGTCTAACCGGTCTTAGTTCCCAAAGTGGTCCACGTGACCACGGGAGACTCGATGGGGTCCTACGGGGGACGGAACCTTCACATTATTTGTTTCGTATACGAGTTTTGGGAATATGGTAGAAATGTAGCTGCAGGGGGTCCACTGGAAGGAACCAGCTCAATTTTGAAAGTGGTCTATGAGAAAAAAAAGTCTGGGAACCTCTGGCTCCAATGTAAGCTTTTGCAGATCGAAATGAGCTAGCAAGAAAAAGAGAAGAACAATACAATATTATATAAGTTGCTTTTGCCATTTTGAATATCACTTCTATAGTGCCAAGTGTACTAACTATTATTAAAAGCGAGAGAATACAGAATAATTGTTAACTTATCAAATATTTAGGTTAATTAATCTTAGAAGAACTAAATTTAATTTTCATACTAATATTGTAAATGTGAAAGTTTGGAAAATGTATGGATGTTTGTTACTCTTTCACGCTAGAACGACTTGACGGATCTGGATGCAATTTGGCACAGAGATAGACTATAATCTGGAATCAAATCAAAATATACTTTATTCAAATAGACTTTTACAAGCTCTTTTGAATTTCAATTTTACATTTTAAAATTAATTTAAATGTGTAGTCAGTCCGTGAGGAATCTACCATCGACTCGGAATGCAGTTTTCTGCTGTGAAGAACCGGCGAAAAACTTAACAGTTGCTCTTTTAAAATAATAACTGTGTACAATATTATAATACAATAATTATCTATTTATCCTATGTAAGGCCAGACCAGACATTAGTTCCACACATTGATGTCTACGAAGTATTCCATGACAGTATAATAAGCCTTATTCAGTAATACATTTTAGAAATTAAAGCACATAGGTTACTTTTTATCCTGGAAAATTGTATGGTTCCCGAGGGATCGATTTATTTTTGTCTAGGGACAAGCCCGAAGTGAAGCAAGAGTAAGTCGCTAGTTAGCTACATGACTTATTTACATAGTTAACTATTATCATAATACATAAATATTTATTAATAAGTATAATTGATTTTATCCTACAAATTATGACAATCACAATGTGCATTAGTAAAAGTTAATATTTACTATTATGTACTTCATTATTACTTATAAAAAAGATGTTTTTTAATTATATTCCAGTTTTGTTCTTACTTACAAACAATAATAAAATACTTACTCTGGATTTACTGACATTTGCCGCAGGCAATTTATTAAGTCCTTTTTGAGCAAAATTTGCTTTAACATCATCACTTTCTTCACCAGAAGGATGAGTCTCACTATCCTCCTAAAATTAAAAACAGTACATTTTCTAACAAAAAAAGTTGTCAGTCATAGATGTCCACCAGTTGTTAAACATCTATGTTGATATTAGAATTCATAATTAATAAAAACCTATAACGAAATATGTTAAGTTAATAAAATCAATTAATTTTTGTTATTATTTTAATTATAATAATAATACAGAATATGTATGTTACAACAATAATTGTTATTAGATTAAGGAGTATACAGTTAAAACCGTTTATGACGACATCGTTTAGAACAACATATCGGTAATATTGACCAAAACCAAAGGTGCCGGCTGAATGCTATATGACCGCCTTATTAAAAACATTGCTTTTTACGACATTACTTATTACGAGATACCTCTTTAAACGACTACATTTAACTAATATTTTCGGCGAATTATATCTGTTAGAATGACCAGCTGTAATGTAAGCAATTTGAATAGGTAACAGTATCCACATCTGGCCCTCCGGGGCTCAGCATAATGGTCAATGGCTATAAAGATCGCAAAAGTAAACAAAAACTTGTCGAGTTTTGGGTCTATTGTAATTCTTAGAAACAAAATACACGTACATGCAGTATAATCAAAACCCGCTTCGTCATATCTCTTCATTTAGTTTCTTACTTATCTCTACACAAGACACACCAAATCATGTAGTTGAGTTATTTGTGAAACTTTTAACATGTCGCAAAGAATAAGAAAACAAATTAATATCGAGGAAAAATCGCATGTTATATCAAAGCTAGAGAGCGGTATTCCAAACAAAGACTTGGCAAAAAAATATGGTGTATCACATTCAACAATGTCAACCATTTGGAAAGGGAGGGAAAAAATTCAAACCCTATATGACAGCAATTTTTTGAAAATGAAACGAGCCAGAACAACGAAGCATACGAAGATTGAGGAAGCTTTGTTAAAGTGGTTTAAATATCAAAGGACAAATAATGTGCCAATAAATGGACCAATTCTTCAACAAAAAGCAAACGATTTTGCTCAGCGTTTTGGTGAAGATTTCGTTTGCTCTCTCTCTGTGTATATATATGTTCACATTCAATAATACCACTTCAAAAAAAATACTTTGTACCTAAAAAAAGCATCACCGGCTGCTACGACTATCGGTTTGTACGACCAAATATGAGTGGTCCCTTCGTTGTCGTTATAACAGATTTTGACTGTATTTGTATCCATTTTTGTTATTACGAATTAAATAAAATAAATAAATATGTAAGTATATATATATATAATGTATTTTTAATAGAGACTGTTTTACAATGGAGTGTGTATAGTATACACGCGCGCACACACACGGTAGTCAAGAGCGATGGCGTAGACGGGGTATGATGGCATGACAGCGTCATACCACCGTTTACCGTAACACCACGAGTCGGTTTTAATGCCAAGGCGCGAAAATAGATGTTTCACCTCAAAAATTATATGTGCACAGACAGTAATTTACATTACTTTATTAACCGTAACATCAGATTGATAAATCATATAAAAATTTTTTTACATTAGTGCTTACCACTTTAACAACTTTTCTAGGTCTTCCTCTCCTTTTAACTTCAGGAGTAGCTGTCTGCACAGGGACAAGCTGATCTTCCGTTTTTAGCTCCATCTATATAAAAAAGTATTCCTTATACTATATGGGTATATTGTAAAAATTTATTTGCGGCGATTGGTACCACCCTATTCTATGAGTCTTTGTGAGATTATTTTTATTTGTGAGTATCGTTAATGAATTGCATAACGTCACATCCCTAGGCTTGTGGTACTGACAGATGTCAACGACATATAGGCAACTGTCACCCGCACCATGCTACAGCACAAATAGTTTACAGGAGCTACTAAAATACTTAAATAAAACTCACTATTTAGCATATGTATGTGAAAAAATGTGCATTCTTTTGCCCAATGCTTTATAAAACAAATAAAAACAATTTACATTTAAAATATCAATAACTATACTATGGGACATTCATGTGAAGCAGAGAAATAATTTTTTGATTGTGAAATTTGTTTATATTCCTGTCAATTATACTTCCAGTATAACTATAACCTGGAGTAACACATATGCTATTATATGTTACATACCCAGAGGCTTACTCAAGCAAAGCAAGAGTAACTCACCAGTATATAATAATAAACTTACTACTTTGGCATGAGCAAATTTAGACAAAGATTGCACATTAGACCCTGCTGTGATCCAAGCAGTTCTTTGAGCTTCTGGCATTCTACACCACTGTTGGTATAGCTTCCAACTGTTATCAGCATTTGATGTAGATCCATCACGTACAGATGAACACTTCCATAAAAGAAATGCCCACACTTGTGCCTTACTTTCATTCTAAAAAGAAAAATATTAATATTGAAAAGACATTAATATTTTCTGCAACTTAAATAACTTTTTAAAAACAAGCAAACTTTCAAGTCATGAGACTTACAGTCATATTTACAGCAATATATCTAAATACACTAAGCAATATATAGTTCAAATAAGTAATTAAAATAATTAATGAATGCTATTTGAAAAAGACCGTAATAGTAAATATTGAACTTACACTATCCCTTACAGGAGATTTTCCAGTACAATTATTAGCATTTTTGTGATCTTTAAATTCTTCAATAAAATGGAATGCTGAGTGGCATTGCCCACACACAAGCACATCAAGTGTAGCCATTTCTTCATGTGCTTCTGTAAAATCAATAGATTGTTTACTATTGCTGAATGGAAAGTTTACACATGTTTCACTGTTACTTACTAAATTTACTTTTTCGAATTATAAAACAAGATAAATAAGATACCTTTTAAAGCAGTGGGATTTTTTGTTAGCTCCTCTGGATTCCCTGCCGGTATTTCCTCAGTGGGAGATTCTCCTTCTTCCATAGTTGTCATTATAGTAGAATATTACACTAAAAACATTACACATATCAATATATTTAGTGTTTTTATAACCTTACAAGTGAAGTATTAGATTCCCGCCAACTCCCTCAATTACTTAGTACATATTAATAAACAGATTGTCGTCATCGTAGTAAGAATTTAATATGTAAAATAATAAAAGACTATTTATGAAAAATTATCGTATTACCTTAAACATTAAAAATTATGTATATTAATTGGAATATTTAAAATCTTTGTGACACATAACACAAATCGACGCTTATTGACTTTCATCGCTCTCATTAAAAAATCTTATCACAAGATAAGTTTAGAATAAATTATTTTGAAACATACAATATAATTACTCATTTATTATAATATCTTTGTAAATTCTAATAATACGCTTACCAAAACAATGTCAAATTATATTTTTTTTATTCTTTATATTACACTGAACAACACACGAAAAACGGAACAACTAAAGCAAGCATCAAACGCTATATGATGAAAAAAAAATTTCGCCGACATCACCTCACTACCCCTCTGGAAATGGCCGAAATTCTCAGTTCTCGTTGCAACTCTTTAGTGAATCCACCAATAGCAGCGCAGTTTCAATGCCCTATAAGCCAATAGGAGAATAATATTATATTGACATAACGTAACAGACTTGCTGTCACCATGTTGCCGATACAAAAAGCCGAAAGTATATTTTTACCGACATATGTAACCGACATTATAAGCCATTTATTAAAAGTCTCAAAATCATTTGATTAATTATTGTTTCATAGTTGTAATGATACTAATTATGATTATATTATTCTGTATAGTAAAATAAAAGTAAATAATTTAGTAGTTAAGTAATGTTTTATAGTTAAGATTACATGGTGAATTCAGAATAAAGAACAAATTTGTTCTGTATTCTGGGATGGCGAATATGAAGGAATATTTTTTTAAAGAAAAACTCAAGAAATGTGCAAACTTAATCATTTTATAACAAAATCAGAAAGAAAGCGTTACTTAATTTATATTAATTTTTGCTAGCATAATATCCTTGCCTATTTATTTTGAGAAAAGATAATGAGTAGGTACTTTGGTGATATTTTTGAAAATAATTTATTGAAATAAAAAACAGAAAAAAAATATAATATTTGAATATTCTAATATTAGGTATCTATAAAATACTTAGCTACTGCTTGGTTCTTTCTTGAAAATGGATTTTTAAGTATTAAGTATTTAGGCTACAATTTATTCCGAAACCGAAAAAAGGTAAAAATTCTTTTAAAGACAGAATAAAATAATAATAATCAAGAGTATAAAATAAGACATGAACTTAAAATTTAAAGCAAATAGGTATAAGATTTTGCAATATCCATAAATCAAAATAATTCTACGTAATGGAAGATTAAGATATACCATCATACTTTTATAATTTTATGCGAAAACTAGTGAGTAGTGGCTCTCCTTTGCTTCGTTGGTTTGTCCCTAGGTAAACAGAAATAAAAACCATATCAATCGAAATTCCTTTTGTATAGTTTAAATTTTATCCATATTGTGTAGTATGGATTGGACTAAATGAAACTTACTACTGGACTAAAACAAGGTAATAAAACTTGGAGGTATTCCTATTTCCTTGCATATATTCTTATATTCAGTACTTTTGCATTCAGTGTTTTTGGCTGCCTCGGTGGTGTAGTGGCTAGCATGTACGGCTGCACACTCAGAGGTCCTGGGTTCGAGTCCCGGGTCGGGCCAAGTTTAGTTATTGAGTCTTTCTGTATAGTAAGTCTCAGTAGCAGCCCGGAGTTAGGAAGTTGGCGGTATTTCACCCCCGTGCCTCGGAGAGCACGTAAAGCCATCGGTCCTGCGCCTTAACTCTCACTGGTCGTGTCGAGCAGTCGTCCCACCTAAGTATGAGAGTGACAGGAATAGAGAGTGCACCTGTGTCTGCGCGTACACTTGTGCACTATAATATCTCCTGCGCAGTTGGCTAGTCTTAATGAGATTGGCCGCCGTGGCCGGAATCGGCTAGGAGAACATTATCATCACTTTTGCAAAATCAGATTAATAATTATTTTATGATCGTCAATACGTTAGTCAGTGTGAAAGCCACCACCGCCTCGGAAAGCAGTTCTCATAGAGTATATTGCTACGTAATATACAAGCAGTTCTGTTGAGAAGAGCCGACGAGAAACTCAAAAGTTGCTCTTTTAAATAATTTTACATTATAATTTGTAATAATAATTTTCAGTATTACAACAATTCATGACTAGTGACTACAAGGTAACCTACGAATATATTTAAGTCGTAATTTGAATAATACGTCGTTTTGGTTGAAGTAGGGCCATTTTTTGTGTGAAATTTGTTTTGAATTAGACTTCCTGACTTATTATTTATTCGTAGGTGGAGGCAACATCTCTGTGCAAAAGCGCGGGGAAAACAAATGAATATCCGGATCCTTTTTTAAAATACATTTCTAACGGCCAATGTCAAATCCCTAAATAGATATAGAAATAAATTATAGATAACTATTTTGTACACGACTGTATCTGCGCACGATTCCCACTACTGAGGCTGGTCAAGTCTCGTCTTTCGTGGCGCGTATTATACAAATTAATCAAATGTATTTTTGTATGTATGTTGTAATTCCATTAAAATGCTCATATTATATAAAATTTATTTATTATTATTATTATTAAAAATCATATCTAAGTCGTCGCACTGTTTCTGTGTGAGAGATGGTCAAACAAATAAACATTTTCACATAATATCTAATATTAGTTTATGTACTATAGGGTTTACATTCTCTTTGGTACTAGTATAGTATCATGTCATCTGTCGTATAAGTAATATACAGTATGCATTGTCGCAGCAAAAAAATTATATACATAGTAGTATTTCAAACACTGTACCTATAACAAGACAGCCAAATTCTTATAACCTACCTACATAGCCCTTCTTCTTCTTCTTCTTCTTCTTCTGACGCGGCTTTTTCCGCACTTAGGCATCCTTGCCCGTTGTGCGTGAGCTTGTGCTGCTGTGTGTGTTATTCTTTCCATCCCAGAGCGTCCCAGTAGTCTAGCAGGCTGCCGGTGTCCTGGAAGATTTCTGGGATCGATCTATAGGGGCCGAGTTTTTCTTCGCGTAATTGTTCCAGTGCACTACATTCAGTTAGAATGTGTGCTGGTGTTTCATTTTCTTGGAGGCACGCTCTGCATAGGGCGCTGTCCGTGTGACCTATGTTAAAAAGATGTTTATTGAGTTGGCAGTGTCCTGTTATCAGTTCCACCACCGTTTTTAGTTTGGGTCTATCTAGGCGTGTTAGTTTCATTGTTAATTTTTTGTTAAGTGTGGGGAAGGCATCTTTCGATTGACGGCAATCTGTGTTAGCCTTCCATAATGTGTTAACTGTGTTATCGGTGAAGTCTCGTAACCATGTTTTGTATTCACAATATGGAATTGGAGATAGAGGTGTAGGCCCCTGAACTTTCAGTCTAGAGGCCTGTTTGGCTAGGTTATCGGCAGTTGAGTTGCCTTTGTTATTTGTGTGACCCTTTACCCAGGAGACCTTTACTGTGTTAGTATGGGAAAGGTGTTCCAGCGTTTTGTGACATTCTAATATGTATTTAGATTTTATTGTGTTTTTAGTTAGTGCTTGTAAAACCGTTTTGCTGTCGGTTTTTATGTGTATTATTGAATTTTTTATCGATTTATTTAGTAGTTCTTGTGCTCCAATTGTGATGCCAACGCATTCTGCTTGTAGCACTGTGTTGTACATACCCATGTGACGGTTGGTTTTGATATTGAGAGTAGGGCAGAATATACCTGCACCTACTCCTTCCTTGGATTTGGATCCGTCTGTGTAGATGGTGTGGATTGGTACCATTGTTGGGCTGTTGTCTGCATTTCCGTCATCTGATGGGTTTATAGTATAATGTTTTTCTATGATGTGTGTTTTACTTATTCTGTCGTTTGGCCATTTGAGCTGTGGAAATTCTGCCTCATAGATGTCGAGGATCTTTGTGTGTTTGCCCAGATTGCGTTTCCATGAGTTGACTGATTTTAGTCTTAGAGCTGACAGGGCAGCTTCTTGTTTTATGAAAATGTGTAGAGGTGGTATGCCCAGAATTATTTCTAGGGCAGCCGATGGAGCGGTTTTCATGCAGCCTGTTACTGCTAACGTGGCTGTTCTTTGGAACTTTTGAAGTTCGTTTTGGATTGTGTGTAGTTCTGTTCTGGGCCACCAGACTACACTGGCGTAGGTGAGGGATGCTCGTACCACCGTGGTGTAGAGCCAGAGCATTGTTTTTGGTGTAATGCCCCATTGTTTCCCTACCATGCGCCTGCATTGGTTCAGTATCTTGTGGCTTGAGGTGATTTTGTTGTTTACGTGTGTGTTCCAACTAAGTTTGCTGTCAAGTGTTACACCTACATACTTGACTTCATTTGATAATTTCAGTTTTTCGTTGAATAATGTTGGCATTTTTGTTAATTTGATTTTGCGTTTCGTTGTGAAAAGCAGTAGTTCCGTCTTTGCGGGATTAATTGATAAGTCGTTTTGTATGCACCAGTTTTCTGCTATATTAAGGGCGCTTTGCATTAGTTCTCCTAGGGTGGCTTCAATTTTACCACTTATTAGGATGGTTATGTCGTCTGCATAGCCAATGACTTGTATGTCATTGTTATTTTACTCATTGAGGAGGCTGTTTACCACAAGGTTCCAGAGTAGTGGTGAGAGGACACCCCCTTGTGGGCAGCCTCTGGATACTAGTCCTGTGAGGTTGTCGTTTGTTTCTGTGTGAATTATGCGTTTGTTCAGCATTTCGTTAATCCACGATATTAAGATCTCGGGGATCTTGTATTTGTTTAAAGCTGTGTTTATGCTTTTGAAGGTTGTCTTGTCAAAGGCTCCTTCAATATCTATGAAGGCTCCCAATGTGTTTATTTTATTTGTTAAATTGACTTCGATAGTACTTACTACCTGATGGAGCGCTGTTTCTGTGGACTTGCCTGCC